TAAAATTAGACCAATGGACAAATGCTGGTATTGAGAAAATCCCAGATGTAATGGTATGTCCTCAAATTATGACTTTTGAAACTATCAGAGAAAAATTTACTTTACCACTCTCTGAATACTTTAACTTTATAAGGATTAAAAAAAACGAAATTGTTTTTCCTTGCAAAACATTTTGAAATGTATGAGGCTCTGGGAAAACTTATAACAGGCTATGAGATAAAAAATATATATATTTTTTTTAATGTGCTGATATTCTGAGAATGTCTGAACCACCTCTAATATTTCCAGGAAAAAGACCTAAATAAAAAAAAATTCTGGAACAGAATGGACTGTCTGAATTTAACAAAATTACAATTCAAAATTATCAACAGACTTTATTTAGTATCTAGTCTTTTATACAAGATATACCAGAATGTTGACGATGTGTGTTGGAGATGTAAGGCCAGAAGAGGGGATTTTATACACATCTAGTGGAAATGCAATTTTATACAAGTTTGCTGGAATAATTTACATTAAGCGGCATAAAATACACACAAACCTTTAAAAAACCTACAAAATACTGACAAAAAGACAGACAGTCAGGAGGTGATGAACCCGGGAACACAGTGCTGTGACACTAACCTGGCAAGGAACACAAATGGAGCACAACAAGCCCCAGAGGCCTGTGACACGCTGCATGAGCGGAGACCGCAACATGAAAGGGAAATGCAAGAGATTCCGGCCCGGCTCCGTTCCCCCCCCATCCCGGCTGAGGGGGTGATCCCGGCATAAGAGTCCAAGCTTTGGAGGCTGGAGGTGGGGGAACACTCGACACACGATGTCTTCCCTGATGGAGCCAAAATGGCCGACAAACATCTCACATCAGCACAGCAATGAGGGGCGCCCTGCGCACACGAGGCAGAAGCCCAAGCTGGGTTGACCCGGCCACCGGAATGGGGGACCCCATGACTGAACCCCCTCAGGCGGCAGACCGGTCGGCACGGAGCCGGCCCTGATCTTCGGATTTGGTGGTGGTCCGGAGAATATGCCCCCAAATCTGTGAGCCCTGTTGCACTGGAGTGCCATGTATGAGACCGGAAGCGGGTGAGGCAGGACGGGACTGGAGCTCCAGGGAGACCCTGCTGTAGCTTGGGAGGTGCAGGAGGCTGGAGCCCTGGCAGACCCTACGGGGGGGAGTGCCAGACAGCTGCGGTCTCTGAGTGCCCACAGCGCGGTGGAACTTACCGCGGGCACGGACGCAAACCTTGGGGGGGGGGAGGGGAGCCAGCCGTGATCGGGGATGCCAGGGGGACTCAGATGGGAACAGCTGGCTCACTGAACGCATATTAACCCTGTGACAACTTACGGTACAGCTATACCGGAGGGAAGCTCGTGGACATACCACCTGGGAGGCTGGGAACTCCACGCTGGACAGTCTCCTCACACCGGGCATCATATAGCCCCCTCCAGTGAAGTGACTCATGGAACAATAATGTAACACACATCAATGCCCCAGTGTAAATCTTAAACCTACATACTCAGGCTATATCTTACCACGCTTATCAGTGTCCTGTGCACTGGCCGCAGATTAACTTAAAATCACTGCACAACTGAAATACTGTGACATAATGCGCTGGGTTCCCGGATGTTGCAACGCGCAAGAGTTTAAAAAAGTTGTAATAACAAGGCTCCTCTATACACCGTGAGGGCAGCAGGCTTACTTGAATGTTAACCCTTCACGCACATTAACTTCAGAACATCACGCCTTAATACCCATTACTTACAGCACATCCCTGAAATCTGTTAGACCCAAACTATATTATATTTTATGCTGCATTAAATTAAATGCCTGCAACACATTTACATGGTCGCATATATTGGCAATTAGAACCACATGATCATTACGCCCCGCTAACATACACAGCTACGAGCCGCAAGGCCCGCCTATTACCAAGCTACTTGCTGACACATGCCGACACCAGATTACTTACAGGCTTCATTTGATGCTGGTGAATTTATAGAGTTATAAGACTTAGCCTGGTACAGTCATAAATGTGATTATGGAAGATTTAATGCCTGATGACAATAATTTGCTATACTGCCATGAAATAATAGGCCTCTGTGTAGGCAACTGTAAGCTTTTCATCGTTGTGGAACTGTGCCTGACTTGTTTTGTGCTTAAAATAAAAAATGATTTAAAACAAATTTCAGATGTGACGAACCGAACCGCCGAAGTGCTGAATTTCCGAAGTGCTTAGGATTTCTGAAAAGTGGCAAAACAGGAGAGGGAGGGAAAATTACAGGAATGATGACAGGAATCTAGCCATAACCCTACCTTTAACCCTAACCCTAGGTGTGTAAGTGGTTAAGGTGCTTAGGGTTTAGGGTTAGGCTTAGGGTTAGGGATAGGGGAATTGCCAAAGTTCCGAATTGCCAAAGTCCCGAAGTCCCGAAGTCCCGAAACTGAAGTGCCGAAGTCCCGAATTTCGGAAGTGCCGAACCAAACTGAATTTTTTTCCCATGCACATCCCTAATTAACGCCAATAAAAGTCTGAAAAATTTCCTTCTACAAATAATGGTGACAGCTAAAATTCTTGTCGCCAGATACTAGAAAGAATATGTACTGCCAAACTGGTTCTTAATAACCAGTCCTCACCATTCTCTTCAGGCTGCTGCGGAAGTGACATTGGTGCATATGGCCACAAGCAGGAAGAGGCGGAGCGCTGGAGTGGGGTGTCCCCGTTGGGCCTGGTGCCAATAAAGGAATCGAGTCTAATGATGGGATTTCAAAGGAAGAATGACGGGTGCAATACGCTTCCTTCAATCAGGCTTTCACCCGGCGAGGGCTTCGCGCAGACTGAGCTCTGCAGGGCGGGGGAAGGCTTATAAAGCCTTGCCCCGTCCTGCAATTAGGCTCAGAGCACTCTGATTGGTAGGTTTAAGCCTTCCAATCAGAGTGCTCTGACAGGTAAATGAAGAGACTGACAGGTAAGTCTCTACATTTACCTGTCACAGCACTCTGATTGGTTGGCTTGAAATCCACCAATCAGAGTGCTCTGTGTCATTTTACACAGTGTGGGAACATTCTTTGGAATTTTCCCACGCTGTCTAATTTGACTCATAACTCTCTGATTGGTTACTTAATCCACCAATCAGAGAGTTATGATTCATTAGTCATTAGTTATGAGACATTAGGTCCCCCCCCCTTATTAGTATTTAGGGCCCCCACCCACCGCTCAGGGATGGGGGCTAGAGGGAAGGACATTAGGTCCCCCCCCCTTATTCTGATTTAGGGCCCCCCCATTATTTTAAATTAGGGCCCCCATCCGACGCTTGGGGCTGGGGGCCAGGGAAGCTGCTCACTGTTTAATTGACATGCCCCTACTCGCGGTATAGCGAGTAGGGGCATAATTTACTAATACTAAGTAATCTTTACTTAGTATTAGTAAATTTGGCTGAAAGACCAATTTAGGTCTTTCAACCTTTTAGTAGATAGCTCCCTAATACCATGGGAATTAGGGAGTTATCTACTTATTCATTCCTGTCATTACATTGACTGGCTAAGTAACTTACATTTTATATGAATGTATGTTACTTGATTGTTTTAAGTGTTGCAGATGCTTACAACTGAATCCTGGCTATGTTTGTATACTTTTTTATTTAAAATTGTATACAATGTAACATTCTTCTTCTTTCACTGGGTAAGTATATAAGTACTTAGGCAATACTGTGCTTCGGAACTTTGGCACTTTGACACTTCGGAACTTCGGCAACTTGGGAACTTCGGCACTTCGGAAATTCGGTAATTTCGGAACTTAGGGATCTCGGCAATTCGGACATTCGGAAGTACCCAAATATCCGAATTGCCTGAAATTCGTCAGAATTCACATTCGGACCGAAATGAATTGCACATGTCTAGTCATGTACTTGAATATTGAAGGGATTTTACATTCAGTACTGAGACAATGTACTGAGACAATGCTAAGAGATTTTGAATTACAGTCAAGCTGAGACAATAGACCAGCGTCTTGGTGATTTTTTTCCGTTTAGTTATTTTTGCCTAAGTTTTTGCAAATTGGTTTTCAATTCACTACTCAGGTGGTTAGTGATTAAATCCCTAAACAGTGAATTGCCTGCAGTTCTCCAAGCAATTGTAAATTTTAGATTAGAGTAGCTAAACTGTAAACATTTTCGAAATTGACTGGTTTTCAGCATCCAGCTTTTGGCGTTACAAGTGTATATTTAGTTATTTGTCTATGAATCCCTCACACGCCGTAATGAATAACCAACAGTTTGGTGACTAACCTTGTTGAAAATGTATTTGCTAAACAGTTGAAATCTGAAAGGCAAAACTGAGGCATAAATAGCCAAGCAGTGTCTAAAGCTGATTTTTTTTATCTTTTTTTTTTTTTTAGAATTTTCCCAAAGGAGCGATTATTGCCTAAATTTTGCTTTTCTTATTTCAATTCCCAATTCTGTGTTCAGAGAATAAACCTAGCTGTTATCATCTCCACTGTCACGTTACCAAGGAAACATAATTACATCTACCCTTTTCTACCTCCTTAGGGGTTAAAAGCTTCATGTCACAGGGCGAGAGATTACCAATTATTACCATGTTACTATCACAATAGCAATGTGCTCATACATTGCATGCGAGAACATTTTAATACATCCAAACGGCAACAAAACACATTTAATGGAATGTATTCACTGAGCTAATCATTGTAGTAAAATGAAACCTGAATTACAAGATTTTAGGGCAAACTAGTCATTCTGCGACTATAGCTGAGTTGGAGAATAATGGCACCTAATCAGATATTTCTGTCTAGATGTTTACAGTTCACATTTTACTGCAGACCCCATTATGAAGGTTTGATAAAGCCTGAGTGGTTGGGGGATATAATGCATGGCATGCCTTACTAGGGCAGGCTGCTAACAATAATATTTGGGGAGGGCACACAGAGAGCCATCCCTGCTTTGTGTCCATGAGGCTCTTAGCACCTCCCTGTGGTGGCTGTTCACAGACACAGAGCACAGAGCTTGCTGGTGCACGCAGACAGAAGGGGGCGCGCTCATACGGCGCGCGTTCACGGAGACTCGGAGCCCCACGTGTGCACGCCCTGCGCTGCTGACACCCGAGCACAGAGCAAGCAGCAGCAGCAGCATGGCCGGGCTGCTTCACCCGCACAGGGGCAGCCACTGCTGCACCGCCTCGGCTGTCAACCTCCTGCTGGGGGTCTTCCATGTCCTGCTGCCCTGCTTTCGGCAAGGAGGGGGGCAAGGTGAGGCAGCTGGAGGGGGGAAATGGCAGAAGCACAAAAGGGGGAGATGGCAGCACGCCTTCCTATGGAGCTAACCTCTGCTGCTGCAGCTTCAGTGGGGATGGAGGAGAAGAAATGGGCCTGCTTTGGGCAACATAGATCTGTTTTGGGGGATTGTGCATTATTTGTTTGGGGGTGGGGGGTCTTTCTGCACCCCTCATTGCTTAGCATTGGTGGTGTGCATTGAGCTGCTAGGACAGATGGTGACAGGGGGGCACTGAGGGCGTCAGAGAGAGTGGGTACTGGGCTGTGAGTGCAGTATGCCCACTGTCAGTAGGGAGCCTTGTAGGTCAGCTAACCACCCCCTGGATATTGGCCACATACTCTCTATTCTAGTGGTGTGGTGACCTCCTGGACATGTCCTCAACTTTAACGTTGCTGATCCCATCAGGTCATCTGAGAGGCTTCCAAGCAGCTGCTATTGCAAAGTATTGTTTCCCTTGGCTGCTAGGTGTGTGCATGTATGGGGATATGCCATGCTTGTATCCTTAACCTTTTGTTCAGTTGCCTGGGATTAAATGAGTTCTTTTGTCTTTGTGTTTTGTGCTACCCATAGTCATTGAGCCGGTGCCCAGCATGGTGGAGCTATGGCAAGCCGAAGATGCAGAGCTGATGCTTCCCACACAGGTGAGAGCTGGTCACATTTGCAATAAACAGTATCTGTCCCCAAGAGCTTGCAGTCGATTTTTGCTGTTTACTTCTGCATGCTAATAAAACGGTGTTTGGAACACAAAAGTCAACATATGAAAACTCTCTTTGTTGTGTTAAATAGTGGCTGCTAAAATATGGCACTATTTGACACTTCCTTCATACCTTTAATTGTTTTGAGAGAGAAGTTATTTGGCATTGTGTGCATTGTACAATGTGACTATATTTACCCCTGCTGTAGCTGGGATGTGGATGTAAACTATGTCACTTTCCAGTTTACAGGATAGACTGCTACTATAATCAAGTAGACTTTATCCATAAACAAACCATGTGGATGTTTTCTTCTGCTAACAATAGGGCTATGTGTGAAACAGCCACTGTTCCATGTGAGGCAGGAGATTCTATAATTTGGCATCTATAAAATGTTACCATTGTTTTGGCAGATCTGCTTAATATTTCTTTCTGTTATAGCATTGGAGATTTAAGTATGTAAAGATGTAAACAAGAATGAAGAAAAACGTAAACACAATACTTTTGACTTTTAATAGCGTTTTGCTACATTAAAAATAAAACCAGTGTCCTATTGAATGATTTGCCCTAATAATAAATAAAATTCAAATGAGTCCAGTCTGTTACCATGAAGTGATCATGTGTTTTTATTTTTTTGTGAAGAAGAATTTGCACTCTAAGCCATTTCTGTTTTCACACTTCCTGTTTCTCCAAATTGAAGGTAGTCATCATGCCTTTAGATTATTGGAAGCGTTTGCTTGCAAGCAGTATTTTGTCAGTTTATTTGCATTGATGCGTGATTGAGAATGCTTTGCTTGATTTACTCATGACAAGCGTTGGGAAAACAACTTTACATCATAAAAATCCTGACCATTCATCTGCCCTGGAGGAGGAGATCAACTGCTGTCTTTGTTGTTTTGGCTTTTTTTTTTTTTTTTAATCCTTGCAGTGTCGAAACGACATTGACACACAACTATATGTAAAAAGATAAAAAACAAACCAAAAAAATTATTATATATAATTTTTTTTGTTTTGTTTGTTTTACTGATGCATTCCATGTGTTCATTGTCTAATACCAAATTTACCAAATCAATTGCAATAATGGTGTTTAGTTACATTGGCATCAATGGATGAGATACCAAGAAATCATATCAGAATAATAATAAAAATGGAGCATATTTTTTTTTCTTCAATTTAGAATAGTCAACATACAGACTGCAGGAGATTTGTACAATTATCACTAATACATGAGGCCGGGTTCTAAAAGTGGAGCAATCGCCATGGAAACTAATATAATCAGCAAGGATAGTCTGATGGTTCACATGGTGATTGCTCTACTCACTTTCCTGTTGGTGACACTCTTACAAGTCATCCGTATTTCTGCCCTTTATAGCCTTAAAATTACATCTTCGAAAACATTTTTTTAAATCTGTCAATGGATTATTGACAATCTGTCCATTCAATGCTTTGCAAAATGTCACATTTACACACTTCTTTATTAATACTTTATCTACGGTTTCCCAGCTGAGTTTAAGAAATAGCTGTATCAATCATATTTTGCTAAATTACTTGAGATGACGTTTAAGTCGATTCTTGATTTTTATTTTTTTTCTGATGCATATAATGAATATTACATTCAATGTTTATACTTCATGTGAGTTTGCTTATTTAAAAGAATAATATAACTTTTTGTGAGACACTACAGTTTACTGTGCCGAAGTTCCGTAACCTGTTATCTAATATTTGCTATATTGAATTGTCTGGGTGTCCTTTGTCTGTGTAAATATGTCTATGCCATTATTAGTCTGCAATAAATCATATGGACTTTTGCACGATATACACTGTTAACAAACACAATTTATTTATATGAAAGTGAACTTGATACTGCTTTGATTCTGTACCATCATCCACTGTCCTTTGTTAGGCCTTACACAGGGCATGCCATTGTGCCAAATACATGTATGACAAACAAACCCTTTTGCCAGAATACTGCACCTAGAAGTCAAGCAGGGAAGGGGAGGGGAGGAGGGGGCAAGTGACTGCAGACCAGCCCAGGCAGCCTGCAGTACCCACACTGTGCCCGATAAGATTACAGCAGGGTGGAGAGAGACATGTTTTAGTTAGATGCCACATAAATGCTTTTTATGCACATTTAATTTATTTTAAATGTATGTTTTTTTATTTTTTTTATTTATTTTTTAATAATCCATGCATGCTGGTAGGGGGGTAGGGGGGTGAGGATTATGAAGACATTGAGTTATATACCAGTATACCAGGTATCAGCACTCCAGACCAGTGATGGCTAACACTGGCACCTCAGATATTTCTGAACTACATTTCCACAATGCTCAGCCAGCCTTAACATCTTGGGTAAAGTAGTTGACACACTCTCCCCACACCTGCTTCCCTCCCTTTCTTCCTCCCTACATCCCCCCCCAAATAAAAGAGGACAGAGGGGGTGATTTTATAAAAGTGTTCTCTTATAAAATGTGGAGGAGTCACCAGTGGACTGCCGGACTGCCTGGTTTCCATGGCGATTGCACCACTTATAGTAATTTAGAATAGTTTTTAGAAAGAATGCTCTGATAAATCTCCCCCTGCTTGATTCTGAGCAGGGTGAATGCTTGGTCTAATTATGTGTTTACAGCTTTATTAAAGAGTGCTTGTGAGAGAAGCATGAAGGAGTCTAATGAGTTACATTTTCTAGGCCGCATTTCAAGCCAAAGTTTCCTGACTTTTGCCTTGGAAGAAAGTGTCAGATATCATCTCCTCTTTTTTTTTTTTTTTTTCACTGCTTGAGCGTCTGGGCTGTTGTACACACTGATGGTAAAATGATTAATTCCAAGTGGTAATATCAGTTTTGGTACAAATCCTATAATCCCAGAATTATTTGTATTAGTTGATCTTAATTAGTTGACTTTTTCTCAAGATAATAAATTTTTAATTGCTCTAAACTGGTGGGGGGGAATGAACAAACCTAGCATAATAAATCCTTAGAAAGACAAGGGTGAGTTGTCCATCGCAGGGCATTTTATAGTGCGTTTCTATTGCCACACAGGATTAAGGTGTTCGGTTGTCATGAGTTCCTTTGTGTTCTGCTGTATATTTTTCAGATCTTGAATAAACTGTGGTTATATTCAATTTTTCTCTGTCATTTCACCACTATGATGTGACCCTGACAGGCGCTAGGAGGGCAGTTAACCAAGCATGGAGACAGGCCATTAATTTAGCTCTTTTCATTGTGTTTGCTCATTATGATGATGATGATGATGATGATAGCCTTTGTTTGATCAGATTACCAGGGAGATGCTGGTATGTGCTTGTTGGCTGGAGATAGGAGACTGCCACCCCCCCTGTTGTCGTCTCCATGTAATTGTGAGCGAGCTGTCACACAAAAGGAGCTGCACGCTTATTGTACTGTCCTTTAATCAGCAGGAGGGTGTGCGTGTGCGTGAGGCTGAATCCTTAATGTACTCCCGAAATACCAACACAAGGCGTGAAGCCTGGGTTCATTATCATTCTGCACAACTGCCAGGGGAAAGGGGTGGGTGGACAAATGGGCAGAGGCACCCCTGGGATTCAGGTCTTTGAAGCAGCGTTTAATATTCAAGATGAACTCTACTTTAAGAATAACAGATTTAGAAATGGATTCCTGGAAAAAAAAAATCTTTCACTACCCTTAGAGATTAGTCGCTCTTTTGTTTCTATACCTTGGACAAAGGGAAAACTTGTGCCTCCTATTGTCTAAAGCATCACTGCAACCATTTGTGAACACTCAACCATTATTAATCTGAATTTACGTTGAATGCCTAATGTCAGGGGTTCATTTAAGCATTGTTATCGAGTTGACACCTGAGCTTTCACATTCTGTATTCTACTTGTCAAAAAAAAAAAAGTGGTCATTATCCCCCCAAATTCTATATTAAATAGGGAATAGTTGACTATTGCCCATATTTACTACTGATGCCATCTGGATCATCCTATTAAAGTTGGAATTGTTAGAAGGAGGGGGGGGGGAAAGAAAAATTGGTGTTTCTCATGTTTGCTTAATCTACTAGGTCTTAGGGCTGTAGATGGTGGTGCAAGTGAGGGAAAGACATCTCTCACAATATATCAGAGGCATGTGAATTGATACCTTGTTTTGGGCATGCCTAACTGTAAGTGAGATGGAGCACAGTGCTAATGAATGGGCCAATACCTTGCCTCATGACGGTGACTACTCTCTCATTGTTATAGGAACACTATGGACATTAACACAACATAAGTGCATTTCATAGGTTTAGGACTCATATTCATGCCATGTTGTTTTAGCTTAGCTTAACATCTGACTGATTGAAAGGTAAATTGCATCTCAGCCAATTAGAGACAAAAATTGTGCTAAGGATGCACATAATAAAATGACCATGACTGACTGTGGGGCAGTGTCATGTCAGCAGCTTGGCTCTCATTACCTGTGTTGAGTACGTACTCGGAGTACCTCTAGTAAAGAAGTCTAATCCCCTGGCACCAACTGGTACAAATTAAGGTTTCTCTCCTATTGTGGGGAATGTATTTGAAGTCTCTTCCATAATAATGATGTTTATATAATATTAAACTTAAATTAACATGCTTGCAAGTTGTCATCATGCAACTTGATCTTTAGTGTATAGACAGGCCCACTCAGTGATTAGTTTGGTTCAAAGTTTTAATGACCCAGATTTTCTTGGATAACCATTAAGAATGTAAAACAAATGTATGTTTGTTTTTTGTTTTGTTTTTTTTTGTATGGCTTTTTTTTGATTCCTAAATCAATATTTTTGATTGTCAAAGGTGGCTAAACTATTTTCACAACCAATTTAAAGGTTAACTGAATTACAAGCAGGCATCTGTGGTAAAACGTACAGGAGCTTTACATCCTGTTTTGAGCCCGTGTCAGACGTATGCAGACGTGGAGAATGTAAAAATGCATAATTTGGAGATGATAATGAACCTATGAAACTGCTGAGTTTTTTTTGTTTTTTTTCAGATATTATCTGTGTGCTTTTCTGACATTGTCAGAGGCCTGTGGTGGGTTGGCATTTTGATACCAAAGCACGCAACTGAGTAGAAATGTATTAAATTACACACACCAGGGTGTTCCTATCCCAAAACTACTCAAAATGGACACCAATAGGGTTATTTAGGAAAGTGAGAATTTATGGAATATTAAATGTAAATTTAAAGTATAAGGCCAAAAGAGCCAACCTGATCACATAGCTGACTGGGAGAATTCTTCAAGTTTTGCTATTTTATCCTTAATGGCACCCAGACCACTTCAACTAATTGAAGTGGTTTGGGTGCTGTGACCCTTTTGCACTTCGTGCTCAAATGTAAAACATTGCAGTTCCATAGAACTGCAATGTTTACATTGCAGCTCTAAGTCTGTCCTCTGTGGTTGTCTACCAGACAACCACTAGAGGGCTTCTGGAATCCAAACAGACTTTTGGTCCGTTATCTGATGCTGGACGTCATCACGCTCTGCATGAGGACCTCCAGCGTCAGATTTTCCCCAAAGGAAGCATTGAATAATGCTTTCCTATGGGGAGGTCTAATGCACGCATGGGGTAGGTCTCCCACATGGGAGGAGCATGGGTGGAGCCTGACCCAGCGCCGAGCGACATCAGCACTGGATTCAGGTAAGATGGGAAGAGGGGAATGGGAGGGGGGTGGCCTTAAAAACATATAGTGCCAGGAAAAGAGCTTTATCCTGGCACTATAGGATCCCTTTAAATTTAAAATTCATTTTTCTCATTGTAGTGTAAAATTATGTAAGACAAACCCTTTTTAAAGCAGGTTTATATTCCTAATTCTTTAGTGCCTCTGTCCATATGCTGTTTGGTTCCCCCCCCCTGTTTGCAATAAAAATGTAAGAAAATTGAAGATTTACTCACCTTGTTCCAGCAAGGAGACTCCCCAAGCGCTCCTTACCTCTCCAACTTCTGTGACAGCATGGCTTCAGCATCCTATGGTGCTGTCCAATCTAATACTTCTCATAGAGCATTGGGGACCTGGTGGGCATACAAAGTGAATGCTGCACGCATCCAAGCTTCCCTATAGGAAAGTATTGAATTATTGCTTTCCTATAGGGGCTTCTCCGTCCTGTGTTTTACTCTCAGTGCTGTGGAAGCTCCTCTAGTAGCTGTCAGAATGACGGCTGCTAGCGGAGGCTTTACTTCTGTAATGTAAACATTACAGTTTCTCCAAAACCTTGAGATGGCCTTGGTGACTTGAGTGGCGCTTTAGTTAAAGAACACTTTTGCCCATGTTAATATAGTGTGCCTTATGTGTCAGACGTTTTGTAGCACACAGGGTTCATATCATGGCTTAAACTGAGTTACTTTGCCTAAAGTATAGTTTGTCACCACATTGATACCCAAACACACATGTCATACAACCATTTAGCTTACTGTCTACTCTTTATCCATTTTAGTTTGTGTTTTAAAAACATACATTATGCATAGCTTACATAGAATAGGTTAAAAACAAACAGTGGGCTAGGAATATGTCAGGTATAGAAGTTGGTAAATGGACAACTGGAGAAAAAAGGGATGGCAGGAGCAGTGGAGTGGAGATTGGATTGGTGAGAGAGACAAGTGGAATGGAGGGCTTGTGGGACAAAAATGGGGTCATGTATGAGGATTTGTAACTGATGAATGTCTGAAAAAAAACCCAATATGATTTCAAATCTGCAAAGAATATACACCACTTTATTCACAAACTACAGGCAAACTTTATTTCTTCACACAATCTCATCCATGAAAAGAGAGAGAGAGACACAGAGACACACCCACCACCAACCCCCCCACACCCCTATACATATATCTAACGTTACGACTACACAGCACTGGCCCTCCATACAAATGCATGCCTGCATACACTTCTAAAACCTACGAAGTGTAACAATGTATTTATACTTTTCTAACAAAACGTTAGCCTACATAGAAATAAACTTTGCGTATAGACACACATACTATTTACAGATACTGTACTCTAGCAGATCACTTAGATTTGCAAACTCTTGATAAATACAGCTATGTATTCACACACTGCACTGATGAAGTGGACGGAATCATGAATTTTGTACGGATAGTTAAACCATGCACATGCTGAAATATTTGCACTTTTGTGCTGGGGCTAGTTGCACCCCCGGCACACGACTTAGGCAGCCAGGAACACGAAGAGGAAGTCAGTGATGCGGCATTGAAATTCCTCACCAGGCGCTGGATTCCAGGTAAGTTTTAACCCAACTTATTTAACTAAAATGGGGGAAGGGGACACTGATAAATAGTGCCCAAAAGTATTGTAGTAAGCCTTTAAGTCAATTAACTACTTGACCATTTACCCGTCTCAATAAAGTCTGTTTGTATCTTTGCTTTTAAAGTAAACAAACATAACTGAAGCCGTTGCAAATGTGACTTGTATTCATCTTAAAGGGACATTTTAAACACCAACTTTCTTTTATCTTAATGAAGTGATTTTGGAGCATTGCAATGGGAAAACATGCTGTTTCTAAAAAATGGCACTGTTTACATTCGTAAATTTCCACACCTGTTAGTGGCTGTTAGCCACTAGGATCTTTTGACACCTACATTTACTTGATGTCTGGAGCCAGAATGCAATGTGTCCAGGACTTCTTTGTGAGAAGGATTTGATTGGTCAGTAGTGGTGATTGACGCATGTTGTGCGGTGTCTGTAAGCTAAGGTTTACAGAATATATATATATATATATTATATTTGAAGTGTTCCTTCTAAAATCTTCTTTTTTTTTTTTTTTTCATTTCTTCACATTTCTGAAATGCCATTTTAAGGCAACATTTTGTAACGTGCACCTGGAATCGAAAACAGGCGTGAATTGAAATACACCCATGTTGTCTTTTCTTCCCCCTTCTCATCATAACGGTTATGAAACCGCTTTCATGGTATCCTTACAGGAATTTCCTGGAAACTATATCCATATGCATGTGCAATACTGTCTGAAAAAGGATAATTCATTCAGTGTTAACAAACTTCATATTCCTGTGTATATGTGTGTGTATGTATGTATGTATGTATGTATGTGTATATATATATATATTCCCATTAAAGAGACACTCAAGGCAGCAAAGCAGAGCATCGTGGAGATAATCCCTTTCCCAAAATGTCATATGCATTTTTTTATATTGTTGTGCTCAACATCAACTGTAATGTACTTGTATTCTTTAATAACATATTATGTCCTCTACAAAACAACCTATCATTTGTCACTATTCTTGTCTGACCAAATAAAATAGTGTCCATTACAAAGTTTCCTGAATCCACTGTAATTTTCAATAAAGTCACCAAGAGCTAAAATAAAAACCAAAAAAGTCTGACCCTGCAGCTGTGCAAGAATTTTCTTAATAGAGCTGGTTATAAAAATTGGCACATTTTATTTTGGTAGTTTCTGCATAGAAGTGGGAATTTTGGAAAACTGGGGTCTGAAGTGTGATGCTCATTTTGAAGGTGTTTAGAGTATTCTCTGACATTCTCAGTACTCATTCACTACCCCTCATACTTCATATCATTTAATTCTGTAGTTTATTTTAATACACCCAGGAGCAGTGGAGTGGAGATTGGATTGGTGAGAGAGACAAGTGGAATGGAGGGCTTGTGGGACAAAAATGGGGTCTGTAGTTTATTTTAACCACACGTTTGGCAACAGAAATAAAATGTTTTAGAATTTGTTTTAATCGTAAGTGGAATATGTTTAAAGGGATGCGACAATGATTTGTTTTTAAAAACAATTTAGTTGGTATGCCCCCTTTAGCTCCATTGAACTAAGCAGCCAGGGTGTAACATTACTAGTTATCAAATTGACCATCAGGGGGTGTATCAAAGTTATTTTATAAATGTGCCAATTTCTATTAAATCTGCATGTTTTGTAAAATTAAAAAAAAAACACATTTGTCACACAAGTTTAAATGTTTGGAATGTTCCCTTTAATGTTGGATGAAGCGGCTGCTGGTCTCTTATCTCTAGTAACTGCTGAAAAGCATTTTAACAGCTGCCATTTTCATTAATGTAGGCCAAACTAAATTTAGAATAAAAAGATGGAGTAGATAAAAATGTCCAATTTGCCTCCATTAACTATGTTGCCCTAAATTTGTCAAACTTATTTTACAATGTACTGCAATTCAGTGTATAACGCATGTAGATTACTATGGGCCATCTAATGATCACATTATAGTGTATATATTAAATATATATGGAATGATCATATCAAATAGTAGCATTCTGTCTTTGTACTTGAATTCTAGATTACATTTTCCTCTAGGGGCAAATTAATGGGGATTCTCTGCACTATTCATATTTACATCCGGAAATGGATTCCTGCTTCCTGTTTGTGCAGTAATATGCTGTAAATATAATGCACCATGTCAGTAATTCATACATTATTTTACTTATGTTGTTGGACAGGAATAGGGAGATAATTTGCTGGTGCTAGTTTTTAAATTAATGAGCAATGTAATATTTATTAAGAGCAGATATAAAAAGAAGTATAACGGATTGTGCATTTGTGTGTGGGTGCGCGTGTGTGTGATCGTATTTCTGTGTATGCACACAGTGTCGGTAGGAATATGCTGATTTTCCTGAATGATGATGTGGTATAAGTGTGTGTATTTCTAAGTGTATCTACATGTGCAGCCTCAATATGTATTTATTCTTCTGTGTGTACATTTAGAAATACTGTACATTTTCACATCTCCATGCCAAATGAACATAATTTTAAAGGGATATTCTAAGTACCAAAACTACTTTTAGTGTAATGATGCAGTTTTGGTGTATAGATCATGCCCTTGCAGTCTCACTGCTCAATACTCTGCCATTTAGGAGTTTGATCACTTGTGTTACTGTTTATGCAGCCATAAGCACACCTACCCATAATGTGACCTAAAAGGCCTGCATGACAAAAAAGGTTTAATTTTCAATCAGATGTGACCGCACTATATGTTTACTTTATAAGTCTTTATCTCCTGCTCTGTAAATCAAACTTAAATTGCACACAAACTATTCAAGGTGAGAAGACGCTGACGTGCATTGGAAAGCATTGAGAAATGCTTTCCTATGGACTTTTTCAATGCGCGTGTGGCGAATGACAACGGAAGAGAGAGTTCCCCAGTGCAGAGGGAGTGTTTAACCCCTTCCTCCCCCTTCATCCCGGCGGGTGAGGGACCCTGAGGGTGGGGGGGGGACGGGGACCTAAAGACCCTATAGTGCCAGGAAAACGAGTTTGTTTTGCTGGCACTATAGTGGCCCTTTAAGTCGTAAATGGCTTGAATTGTTAGACCGCAGGGGCATAAATTATACACCATTAAGCTAAAGTTGTTCTGGCCCTTTGTTGTTTAATCCCTGCGTAATTCCATCTGTTTTACTCCTCCTCTTGTACCGTTACCCCCAAAGGTTACCATATTTTATTGGAGTCCAGTGGCTCTTCTACAAGACACCGTTAATACATGTCATGCATTGTGTGAACTGTGCACGTTGTATCCAGGTGTGCACTGAGAAGTAAGCTATGTGTGCAGCTGCTTATCACACACACACACACACACACACACATACACCCACACCCCTCCTAATTCATAAAATCACATGAAACCATGCAACGCCTAACCCCAATCTGGCTGGTTTATTAGCTGCCATGTGGCGTGCCTCCTAGATCCCATAAGGCTGGCCTTGATCATGTATCGTGTAAAGGCACCTCATGTGCCATATGCAGCTGAGCCCTGTTATAGACCTTACCAAGGTAAAGCCACTTTAGTGTGAGGAAATATGCCCTGTCTCTTCATGATGTAGTTTTCAGATGGTAATGAGTTACATTTATCTTGCAAATAAGTGTTGCTTTCTGTTCAGCATAATACAATGTTTGAGTTCTAAATTTGTCAGTCACAGAATGTATGGACTTTGGTAGTGCTGATTGCTGAATGTAATGTAGGCACTGTGAGTTTCATGTTATTTGGGGTGCTTTGTGTAAGATGTAGTTGGCAGTGGGCTGGCTGACTGTTGGTAACAGGGTTTTGTTGATTGGTGTGTGCATTACATGCTCTGGTGACTGGTTTGATGGTATGAAGTGATGGGTACTTGGCTATACCTGTCATACTTGATAACTGATGGGTTAGTGTTGTGACTTTTGTGTGATGTGTAAGAAGACTGGGTGGGTTAGTGATGCAAAGGTAAGCTATATGGATTGGCTCCTAGAATAAAGAGAATTTGTCAAACTCTGGCCATTCCTATTACTGCAATAGCCTGACAAAATAAAATCCAATTAAAAAAAAAAAATTCTTACATTTTTCATTTTGTGGAGATCTACATAACCAGCCAATAGTATTATTTTTTATTTTTTTTTATCTATCCTTCCATAATGGCATTATTTGTAGCTGTCTCTGAAGATTGTTGTTTTTGTGTGTAAATTTAACTTTTTTTTTCCCAGGGTATTCTTCACCATTGTTTTTTCCTCCTTTTAATGTTGTCTAATTTTGACTGTTATTTGCAGACTGACTCTTCTGGTCAGAATGCTGGGGAACATGCGCAAGAACAATCGTAAGTACCCGTTTTTGTTACTAATGGTTCTATATCCATCATGTGCATCACCCACATGAAATTAGATTGTGACTGGACAAAGATTTATGGGATTACAAAAAGAGCCATATAACAAATTGAGTGGCTTTTGATTTGGAGTTTCTTTTCCTTGTCAAGGAGAGGTATGTCAGCTTTGTTTACCTGTGCAAAGTATAAACCAAAAAAGAAGATTCGGGATGTGGCTATGTCAATCTACAGAAGAAATATAAAACAAAACATAGTGTGGTATTATATGCGCAACAATCTTTTACACTCACAAGATATAGATGATAAAAGCGCTCTTAGGGTGCCTCCCCTGGAATAATGGGGGGCTAGTTGGTATTGCTTGTCACCTCTGGATCCTTGTTCCACCAAAAAGACATCCACAGGTCAGGGTTCAGCAATAAAAATTTTTTTTATTTAAATAAAAGGTGTAGTCATCATATTCAGCATAGGATATAAATAGCATAAAATAGTCCTACGCGTTTCGTTCAGCAAGAACTTCCTCAGGGACCACAAATAAAAACAATCATGTATCAATATACAATACATAAATAAACATCCTACATATCCTTATTTATGTATTGTATATTGATACATGATTGTTTTTATTTGTGGTCCCTGAGGAAGTTCTTGCTAACAGCAGTTCCAGTTAGCCGAACAGGAACCATACGAAATCCTTCACGAACCAAACAGCCGAACGAGTAAATCATATGAATCCGATACCCCCAAGTAAGAGACCAAGCTGCGTATTGAGGGTTAAGCAGAGATCTGGTTTATTGAGGGCTACCTGCCCGGTATTTATGCAGGTCTCCCACCTGGTGGTCACTCCCCTAGGGGACCAGATGGAAGACTGGGACAATGTGGATACAGTAGCCAATCACATTGGCACAAACATAAACACTCTCCTTTGATGTAGATAAACCCTCCTCTCTATCCTGGAGATAACTGGGAAGTAATCCAATTATCTCCATGGATAAACTCCATTTTGTACCTGAACATAAAAATACAATAAAATCAATAACTTTACATTACACGAACAGAATCCCCACATTCAACGTATCCCCAGATAGCTGGGATCTGTTCACACATTATTACCGAATGCCGCTCAGATCCTGTGTATGGGGGCTGCTTGTGGAATTGTGTGTGTGGATGGATATGTCACATTGTGTGTTTGGTAGTGTGTGTACGTGTGGGACTGTTTGGGGTATTGCATGTGGGGTTATGTGCATGTATGTGGATTGTTAGCGTGTTACGTTTGTGTGGATTGTATATATGTTTGTTTGTGGGCTGTTAGTATTATTTGTATGAGGGGAGGGTTATTGTGCATTTCTGTGTAAATCTAGCAGTGTGGGTGGCTTCCCTGGGTTTCAGTGGGGACCAAACTGGCCAGGTACAGGTCAAAGACAGGAGCTGCAACAGCAGCTGCAGGCTGCTCTACTACATTCACAAGTGTTGGGAGGAAGTGATCTGCAATGCATAAATTGAGGATTGTCCTTCACCACCTTTTCGTATTAGCAGATATCTGAAGTTTCACTGGGACTCCTGATAGGCCAGAGCCTGTTTGGCTGTAGCAGCCTTGAGTGCCGTGCATGGCACTAGTGCCATAGGTTGCCTACCTCTGCTCTACTGTATGCCCAGAATTGATTGATCTTTATATTTATCACCAGGGCCGTCTTTAATATTGATTGGACACTGGGCAAGCATCTGTTTGGGCCCCCTGGGCATGAAATCACTCCCTCCACCCCAACCTAGAGGCGAAACTAATATAGAGAGTGCCTTGGTGCAACAAAAAAAAATTCAGGCCTGCCCTGTAGCACAAGAGTAAAGAAAAGATAGATCCCCATCTGCCATACAACTCCTGCGATGCTATGCCAGCTGGGGATCTACCATCCTTGCAGGGTTGTATTTTTGAGCAGTGTTTGTGCAAATGAATGTCAGCATGTTATTGTGTAGAGTGTATGTGTGCATGTAGGAGTGTATTTGTATGTACTGTTACCATTGGAATGCAGTGGTGTACTTGTGTGTAGTGTTTGCATTTTAATGCAGGGATGTGTGATTGCTTGTAGTGTTGGCTTTTAAATGCAGGTGTACCTTTGTGTGTAGAGTCGGTGTTTGTATATAATTTTAGCGTTTTAATACAGGAATGTGTTTGCATGTAATGTTTGTATTTGCATGCAGGGGGGTGTTTGGATGTAGTGTTGGCTTTTAAATACATGTATACATTTGTGTGTAGTATTAGTGTTTCAGCAAACTGGTGTGTTTGTAATGTTTGTGTTTTCAGGGGTCTGTTTGCATGTTGTGTGATTTCTATAACACATATACACATACACATTAACACGCAGATACACACATGCTCACACTGACACATGCTCACACCTTGACACATACTGGCACATACACACACACACACACTCAGATACACACCCTTTGACACACAGATACAAGCACTTTGATATACACACACTGGCACATACACACACACACTGACACAGGTATATACACACACACATACAAGGTATAAATGCAGGGGTGTATATGTGTACAGTGCTAGAGATGGAATGTAGGAGTGTATTTGTGTTGGCATTAAAATGCTGGGATGTATGCATTACCACACACTCAGATGCACACTTACACACACACCGGTGCACATACAGGTGTATGAGGTATACATACACACAGAAACACTGACACACAGACAAACACAGCCAGATACACACAAGGACATAAACACAGCCAGATACACACATATATATGTGTACATTTACATATTTTAATCTCTGCCTTCTAGCAGCTCTTGGACAGCAACTCCCAGCAACCTTGGCCAATATAATGTCTCAACTCTGTTCTTACATACCCTGGTCCAGAATTTGGCAAAAGTGACATTTGAAAATGGTGTACAGCCTTTGATAACACTTGATGCAATATGTTAAAATAAATACTTTTTAAATTTATATTTAATAGGGAACTGTCAGGTTCTTCTAGGATTTTTAACATGTACTTATTCCCTGTGTGTTACATTACAAACACCAACACACTTAAATAAAAGTGATATCAGAAATAAGCAAAACAAAAAACAAAACATATTTAGCCACCCTCCTGTCTCCTTACCTTTTGGGTACAGAAAGGTGGCTTCCCTGGGGTCCAGTGAGAGCTTGTTGGCCCAGGCTGATGGGAGTCTGCCATCAGCTTTCTCAGTCCCTCTCCCCAACAATGCTTGCATCCTCCTCCATGTGGTGTGTGCCTCCTCCCCAGCTGCACTGAGGAGGAAGTGATCAGTTCTTACTGGGAGGAAGCAATCTGACCTCACTTCCTCCCAGCATGCCCAGGAAACAAAGAGACTCACAGGGCAGTATGTGAGGGGGCTAGCTGTGAGTATGTAGTCAGCCACCCCCCATATAACAGGGGCCCGGGCCGGTCCAGAGCAGTATTAAAGGGCTGTGGCCCCTGATTACCTCAGGTGCCGCAGGGGGCCCATGGGGCAGCTGCCTTAGGGCCCCCAGGAGTAACTGGGCCCGGGGCAGCTGCCCCTTTTGCCCCTCCTTAAAGACGGCCCTGTTTATCACTGAAACTGCTAGCAATTCTGTTAAAGTTGAAACTATTTGTGGTGTGTTTTTTAAAAAGTAAAAAAAATATATTTTTGATGTGTACGATGAGCAGTGTGCTTTAAGCGTTGATAATTGTCTCTAGACTTATGGAGCTAGACTTATTAAAGAGTAATTTTGGGGGGGGAGGAGGAGGGTTTTGGGGAAAGTTTCCAGATAGCATTAATATTTTCATGAACCCTCCTCTGTTTGTCACACCCTGAAATTAATATAGCTTCATGCTTTGGATTTATAACGAGTAATGACAGAATGGAAGTTTATTTTTAATAAATTGATGTTTTCCCCTAATTGGTAACATTTTTGCTGCCATGGCAATATGAGCATCTCATTACTGCACAAGTGCTTGCAATTTCCTCACTCCAGTTGTATGCTAAGTCTCAATCTCCTTACTGGCTGGATTTAATGAAAAACCTGTGGCTGTTTGCATGAATGTTGACATGCCGCCTTCATGTTTATAATATCATTGAGAAAATTGCACTGAACTAGAAATCATAAAGCTGTGCTGTACAGAGGATTGGCTACCCCAGAGGAGGGTATAATGCCAGCGTTAGCACAATGCTACCATTTCTGGCATTCCAAATCTATCTGCACAATATTAATTTTACCGGGGTCACATGAGGCTGAAAACCTTGTTTATATCCAAGAGTTGGGCAATGTTATATAACTAAAAATGTTCTGCTTAAGACATAACATTGTAATTTCATGGTCTGTTTCCATCTGCCTATTTCAAACTACTTGGAACATAGAGCCTGAAGTTAAATATGGCTATCTCAAAACTAATTTCTTAGTGTTCTGTCCAAAAAAGAGAACGTTTTGGTTGTATAAGGTAGGGTTCACATTCTCCAGATTTTTCTTTTTTCTTTTCTTTTTTTTTTTTTTTGCGCCCCAAATGCTGTGATGGTAGTGGTCAAGATCAAAATGTTTCAAAACCTGGCCATACGTAAAATACTTTGGATTTACAAGTCAACAGACGTGACCGTTTTTTTTTCTTTTCTTTTTTTTTCATCCAGTTAAGACTTGTATGCATTTTACCAGGTTTGTTCTAATATAGCTGGTTATAAGAATTTAGTAACTTTTCAGTTTAAAAGCAAAACCTATATAATGGAGATATATATATATATATATATATATATATATATATTTATGTGTATGTATGTTTATAGTATATAGAGGGTTACCGTTTCATCTTAATTAACATTTTGTTTAAAGAGACTTAACAGAACACTATAGTGTTGTGATACAAACATGTATTCCAGACACTATAGTCCTTGTATGACTGCTTAGGGCCCTGGCCTCTCTGAGATTGCGTTAAACAGTTATATTTACTCCCTTTTTCTCCCACACGGCGACAGTCTTGTTGCGGCTGGCTCCACCTCCATGGCTGAGATAAAAAAACTTGATTATCTCAGTCAATCCAATGCTTGCCCATAGGAAAACATTGGAAGGGTATCGTACATGCATGGCAAAACACTGCGCTGTGGCGATTAGCATCTCCTCCTAGACATGCAATGGATCAGTGTGTCTGTATGGGGAATGTTCAGCGCCTCCATGTAGAGAGTAGTGACTCTGAGTGCTAGTGCTGTACAGCACTGGACTAGAAAGCATTTCTAGTACCTGTCTGAGTGACTGCCATTAGAGGTGTTACTAGGCTCCAATGTAAAATGCTTTCTCTGAAAAGGCAATGTTTACACTGAAAAACCTGCAGAGACATGCTATAGACAGCATGTAGAATATTGCATATTCTATGTTTCTATTAGGATAATTTATATCAATTATTAAGTCATCACGATGATAATAAGTTTAAATTATTCTTTCCAAGTTCTTTTAAAGTAAACCTTTCTCCTATTGAATGAAAAGTTTGTTACTATGATGATGATGTGTATGGATGTCTGGATTGACATAAGTAACAGATGGTATCAATAAGTCACAAGGCTTTCTTTGTCTGAGAAGTCTGGAATATGGATTGGGTGTCTTGTCCTTATATGGCTAGGGATATATTTTGACGTCATTATGGTCATATCTATATAGATTAGTGAACAAAGGACCACGAGGTCTTGGTCTTGCTGGCTGTTGCTTGCTGCACGAGGTGGTTGTCCTCGTCCGGCTGTCTAACTATATAGAGACTAACTTTCACTTCAGGAGTCCAGCAATTACCATCTGCTGGTGAACATCCATGATCATGTAACATCCTTTGTTGTTTTATGTATCAGTAACTATGAATAAACCTGAAGAAACCGTAAGTCAGATTGCGTATTTGTACTTTTCATTAATATGTACGTATATTAATGTCGTGAGCCTTTGAACCAAGACTATATATACAAAATACGTATATATCAATCAACTGGAAAAAGACACAGAAGAAACGGAAAGTTTTACACACCAGAATCACCACATTAAGCAGTAGTGGTTCTGGTGACTATAACGCCCCTTATTAAATGAATTCTAACGCTATATTGTATATAATATCATGAATTGTTCTTGGAGTTACCCTCTGACCGCAACATACTAGAACCATCAGTGTATGTGTGCGCGCGTGTGTGTGTGTGTGTGTGTGTGTGTGTATATGTATATGTATATGTATATGTATATATATATATATATATATAGTGTGTATGTGTGTGTGTGTATATATAAATTTTTTTTTAGAGGTACACTGTTCTGGTGCCCCGGTAGTCCCCGATGTAAAGTGTCAAACCGTCTTATTATGGTTTGACTTGTAATATGGGGTCCTCAGTTGGCGTTATATTGCTTGGCGTGCTTTAAGTCTGAAAATGTAGAAAGTATTCTTGTGCAGATGTAGTTCGACTTCTATAGATAAGTCAGCTAATTGAGGTCGAGAAGGAAGTAAAGGATAATTCAGTTTTGCTGAGAGTTGTAGGAGGTTGTGTATATATAATTTTTTCAGTTCCACTTTATAATGTATATTTCAAAAAGTTCCCTGAAACTGACAGATCTGTTGTGGATCTGGTGGCCACAAAGTGCAGTGGAGGTAAGTTTTACATATCTCAAGCTATCCCTTGCGACTCCACCATCTTCTGCTGCCCTCTTTGGCTCTTGGCACTTCATTTGTCAGGAGGTGCGTCATGCAGGAGACTACTTCGCTGAAGATTATGGAGGATCCAGCCAGAGCCCTGGAACCTCTGTAGATCAATGTCTAAATCCCTCAGCCGTCAATTAGGACGGCTTCTGGGTTTGGACAAAGGTTGACGGCGAAGTTACACTTTTTGATAGAATAAAGCTAACTCAACACATTTATTGCATTACATTCAGAATTATATTATCATTTTAATGATATATCATTTTATGGTATTATTCTGATGCATAGAAGACTATTATGCACCATCAAAATTTAGAAATACAAATCTTCCAAAAGGTTTTCACAATTTTAGCCACTAGTGTATAATCCAATGTATACTGACTCAACAGCCCTTGTTGAGGTCTTATTAAACTTGTACATCTCATATACATTATCGCTTCTGTTAAGTCACCAATTCATTCTGTGATGCGTCTGAGCACCATAACTACTGCAATGTATTGTTTGTGGTTCAAGGAATCTGTGGGTATAGTTAAGTCCGTCAAGTGTTTTATGTGGTTTTACAAAAGTAATTTCCCAGCACTCCATGCATTTCCCTTTACATTTAATATCATATTTCTTCTTCCAACTTTTTATCGCACACCACAACAATGAAGGCTTCCATTGTCAATTTTTGTCAAATGAGCTCAGCTAAGTTGCTCATACATGAAATGCTTTTTTATGCACTCCCCCAACTTCCTACAAAGCATCTGGCACTTTAATCTATCATTAGCACTGCAAATGTTTGTTACCTACATATCACCATGATGCTCAGCAAGTGGATTCTGGGAAATATGGTTAACAAACATCTGTAGTGCCAAACGGCTGTATCTCTGTGGTGCATTGTATCTGAAGTTGAACATTACTATGTTTTTAAGAAAGCTATGCAATGATTTTTTTTTCTCACAGGCTGAAGAATAAAACAAAACAAAACTTCTTTACAGTTTCGTATATCCTAAAGATGTGTTTTTTGTTGTTGTTTTTTTTGCTTAGGGATGTTAAAGTTTGGTATTTAAATGGGTAAGACTGTCCAGCTTCTTACTGTCTGATTCAGAGTGTTTGGTTGTCAAAACTCAAGAGCTATTTTTATAAATCTACATGAGAATTATGCTGCTGTCTGCTTTATTCTACAAAGCCTTACTTCTGAAACGAAGTGAACTGTTTACAAATAAAGAGCCCCACTCATGTGGGCCAACCTCCCCAGAAGTTATCAGCGAAGTAAAATCAATTGACAGACTGTTGGCCGTCGCTCACCTATATATAATTTCCTAGTGATACAAGTGTATTCATTCCATGACAAATCTATACAAAATAAAGACACATTAATACATATTTGCTGTAACAAGCTGACATGCAGTATCTATTTGTGTGGAATTTCGGAATGATCCAAGAGTCTTGTGAAAGTGGTGAGGGTTATGTACACACTTTTTAGAGTCAAATCTGTAATCTGTCCTCACCAAGTCCTGATATCCAGGGTAAATTATTTACAACTCTTGAATCACTTCACAGTTAGCAGACGTACCCCAGAGAGTGCAAAGAACTATGTGTACTTGTAAATAATACTGGGAAAATGTTCTATTACATTAGTTAGAACATTTCTACCAATCCTCCTAGTTTAGGATGGGGTAATTTTTTTTTTTTTTTTTTATATTCACTCCATGTGACTTCTTAGAATGAAAACAATACACATAAGTCTTTTAAAATATGTAACATAGCAATATAAATTCTATTATTCATGTTTTGTAAAATTTCTATAAATCGATGTTTACTAGTCGTCTTCTTTATGATGTCCTCTATACTAATTCTATACCATTTCTAGTTCTTTCACATGTGTTTTTTTAGTAATTTAAAGTTAAAAATTAAACGTTAATAGGCAATATTGGTTGATTTTATTTTTATTTTTTCTTTCTCCATTTCTTCCCCATTTTTTTTTTCTTTTTGCATTATTTTTTTGCCACAGGTTTAACTACATGCAGGCCTTATAAAAAAAAATTAAAAAAAAAAAAAACCCAAACAATCAAAACAAATGTGTTTTCTGCTCTGTTCAACATTTTTAGGGTTATTTACTAAACTTAGGATTCAAAGTGTTTGTTCAAATTTAAGGCCAGATTCGCCAAACTGAAAGCATAGCTGACTTTGCATTATTTTTTAAATGTAACTATTTTAATGTTTAAATTTGAAATTCACTTTAAATTCTCACATTAGTGATTTACGCTGTATATCAATGTATGTTTCTGTATAGACTGCACTGTTAGAGAGATCCATCCAACTCATAAAACGTATCTACATGTCTTAGCAGGACTGACCCAACCCTTACAATTTGTAGTGAGCTAGATTCTTTAGAGTTCCCAAAACATATAAACGCTGCTATAATTAAGCATGCTAATGGGAGCATTTTACTTTTGAGCTTATGCAACACTTGACATTATATAGCTACAATCCTGTGATTAAAGAGATTTCGTTATGTAAATTGTCATAAAGAAATTGTCAGTTTATCATGCCTCAAAATGAATGTAGGTTTAAGGCTGCATGTCAAGCTCTTAGAGGGTGCAATATTTCTAATGTATTATTTTTATTTTTACTGCTATTTTAATTCTGATTATTATAGCATGTATAGAAACAACTTTGTGTTGGCATTTTACAAACTTGATTAAACCTTCTGCATTCCAGATTGTTGCATAAGTAAATGTGGGTGTGTGTGTTTATGCATGTTTCCATGTTTGACAGTGTTGTTATGAATCATAATGTGCGAGTACATTTTCTCTCTAAACATTCAGAGGAAATAAATGCACTTATCACATTGAGATTTACAGTGTCTTCAATGAGCCAAAGATATAGAAGTATCCTTATTATATTTACTTATCCTTGTTAACTAGTGTCTTGGCTGACTTCATGATGTTGGCTTTTTTGTTTTTCCTCTAAATTAAAAGTTTTATTTGCTGATTGTGTTCTTGTTGGGCCTTCATAAATTCCTATAGAATATAGCTTTGCTTCTACCTTTATGATGGAAACAGATATTTTTTTTTATCCTTAATCAACTTTTAATGTGGGTTTTACATATGTTTGGAATATGTGAACATGGGCATTTTTTGTTCATTACTTTGCCTGTATTTAGTTTTCCAGCATTCTTTACATGACCTGTGTCTTCTTTCATATGCCTCTTGACCTTCAATAACTTAACTGCTTTGGGTGTAATATTTACTTGATCTGCTTTTGGTACTAAAGAGACTTCCTCCCACTCAACAACCATCACCACCACCACCTATATTGCTGCTTTTTGCACAGAACAAATGAAAGTGCTGTCTGTCATATATGTCAAGAATACGTAAAATCATGTTAACTAACACCCCCCCAAACTCTTGAAATTAAAGCAAAATCCAAGCATTTTATTATTCTGTGTATTTTCTGTACTGATATGGACTTCAAAGCTCTCCTTGCAGATTGAACTTGCTGAGACTCTGATTTCACGTATCGATCAGACCGTTATGTTAAATCATTTGAAAATTGAATTGTCTGAATGTCATTAACTCCTGTTGCGTTACTAGGCATAGATTGCCCAAAGCTGAGTAGGGCACTGTCCAATTAACTGTGAATTATCCTCTTATGGCATTGATCAGATTTTGCTGTGCTTCTAATTGTTGCAGCTAATGTTTGGCCGAGAGACCGCATGATGTCCTAATATAATAAAGTGATGTTAGTAACTTTGTAGGGAAACATGGTCTGCAGTGTTTATAATTGCCCTCAGAGCACTTCTCAAGTTTAAAGAGGGTTTACCTAATTTCTATGTGATGGTTAGCAATGTGATAATCCCAGTAGACCATTTAATGTGAAATAATGACGAGAATACATACATATATTGTCTTCAAAGTCCAGTCAACTTGAGATGGTATCATATTTGTTTCAGTAGAGAATGTAGTAAAAGTGCAAAAAATGTCTGCAAGGACTAAACCAGTATAATTTTCTATATTTCACTTGAAGCAGGAAGAAATTGAGTCTCTTAGCTGATCCTAACTTAATCATGTGCAAGACCATTAAATTCAGTCTGACATTTGTTATATTGAGTTCTAAACTGGAGCCTGTTCAGTTCCCTCGCACACTGCTTAATGAAGCTAGAAGTGGGAATATGATGTCACTCTGGCTCCCGGCATCACTTTGTGGTGCGCGAGGGAGCGGAGCAGTAAAATTAGAGCTCACTCGCCGCCTACTCAGCCTGTCCGCCCCCCGCCTGCCTGTCCAGCAGCCCCACTGGACCGTAGGTAAGTAATCCACTCCAGCTCTCCCAGGGAGGCTGGGTGGATATAAAAAAAAAAAAAAGTACGTGTGTTTGTGTGTGTCTGTGTGTCTGTGTGTGTGTGTGTGTCGGTCGGTGTGTGTGTGTCGGTCGGTGTGTCGGTCGGTGTGTAAGTAATCCACTCCAGCTCTCCCAGGGAGGCTGGGTGGATATAAAAAAGGAAATCACACGTGTGTTTGTGTGTGTGTGTGTGTGTGTGTGTGTGTGTGTGATTGTGTGTATGTGTTGATTGTGTAAGTAATCCACTCCAGCTCTCCCAGGGAGGCTGGGTGGATATAAAAAGTGCGTGTGTGTGTGTGTGTGGAGTGGGGTGTGTTGGGTGGTGGTAGTAATCCACTCCAGCTCTCCCAGGCTGGGTGGATATAAAAAGGAAATCACTGTGTGTTTGTGTGTGTGTGTGTATGTGGGTGGGGTGTGTAAATCCCTCCAGCTCTCCCAGGGAGGCTGGGGTGGATATAAAAAAGTGTGTGTGTGTGTGTGTGTGTCTGTGTGTGTGTGTGGGTGGGGTGTGTGTGTGTGGGTGATTGGTAGTAAGTAATCCACTCAGCTCTCCCAGGGAGGCCAGATTGAATATAAAAAGAGTCTCGTGTGTTTGTCTGTGTCTGTGTGTTGTGTGTGGGTGGGTGTGTGTGTGTGTGTGTGTGTGTGTGTGGGTCGGTGTGTGGTAATCCCTCCAGCTCTCCAGGGAGCTGGGTGGATGGGTGTGTGTGTGTCGGTCGGTGTGTGTGTGTGTCGGTCGGTGTGTGTGTGTCGGGGTCCCGTGTTGTGTGTGTCGGTCGGTGTGTGTGTGTGTGTGTGTGGGTCGGTTATGTGTGTGTCGGTTCGGTTGTGTGTGTGTGTCGGGTATGTATGTGTGTGTCGGTTATGTATGTGTGTGTGTGTCGGTCGGGTGTGTGTGTGTGTGTCGGTCGGGGTGTGTGTCGGTCGGGGTGTGTGTGTGTGTGTGTGTCGGTCGGGGTGTGTGTGTGTGTCGGTCGGTTTGTGTGTGTGTGTGTGTGGGTCGGTGCGGGTGCGCGTGTGTGTGGGGGGGTCGGCCTGTGAGTGAATGTGTGTGTCTATGAGTGAGCGTCTGTCAGTCAAAGTGCGGCCTTGACAGGAAGGGGTGGGGAAAATTTTAATTGGGGGGAGTGCCCGAGCACCGTCCTACCTAGGGCAGCACAAATCCAAAATACACTACTGGTGGAGACAGTGAATGTCAGTGCTACACACTGTACAGCACTGCCCCAGGAACCACCTCTAGTAGCCAAACGAGGAGTGGCCAGTGGAGGTGTTCCTAGGCTGTAATGTAAACACTGCATTTTCTCTGAAAAGACAGTGTTTACAGCAAAAAGCCTGAAGGTAATGATTCTACTCACCAGAACAAATACAATAAGCTGTTGTTGTTGTGGTGACTATAGTGCCCCTTTTACTTGAGTAAGATGCATGTTGTGATGCTATTTGGTTTTCATTTCTGAAATGACTGTTTCTCTTCTTTTATGTCAGGATGGTTTATTCAGAACTTTATTGTAAATGTGGTTCCCCAGTCCTGAAAATCCATGATGGATTTTTATTTTATTTTTGTGTGGGGTCCTAAACCTACATAAGGATGCATTTGTAAATGTCATTTATTCTGTTTTTCTGCTCACATCTGTATCAGTTTATATAGATGAAAAACAGTGTCTTTTAACCCCTGTGTGAAGGTTCAGAAATGGCTTCCCATGTTACTGTAGTGGTTCACTGCTATTAGGAACAGGCTCATCATACTACTTAGTAGGGATTTTCTGATACAGTTTTTCCAGAGCTAATGCCGATACAGATTATCGGCTGCTTTTCAGGCCGATTTGCTAATGACCAGTGCCGATATTCTGTACACTTAAAGTTTTGAAAAAGCAATACAGTTTCTACACAAATCTGGCTTTAACTGAACTTGCTGTCAGTAATCACACTCCTATCACTCTCGGATATGATGAGATCCCAGCATGTACAATGCTGTTACTGTCTGATTTATTCGGCAGAAAGCATGCAGGTACTCGCAGGTAGGGGTGATGTGAGGTCGAGATGTTGTGCCTGATTGGTTGGCGGCTGGAGTTTACGCGTGCGGAAGTGTGGTGACAGGTAAGCACATTATCAAGTAAATTACAGGTACCAGATTTATCAGAAAGATGCTGAATATCATCTCTAATTACCAGTGGATGTGATAATTGGTGGATGCCTACTATGCCGGCCATAGTTATCTGCACACAACAAATGGATTGCTATAGTATATTTTACTTTCGGGACTGCAACAGAGAACACTTTCATATAAGAGTATTGTCAAGGTGCACAGTAAACTGGAGTGAATTGAAAACAAGCCAAAATGTGACTCTAGCTGTGATTTTTTTTTTTTTTTTTATTTTAAATCCACTGTTTAGTAAGTAACAACTCGGGGCGACCTGTATTGATCGGATTTGCATGTGAAGAGTGATCTGTCTTCTATGTGTCTAATTGGCCACAGATGTCACACAACTAATTACCGTATATACTAGTATAAGCTGAGGCACCTAATTTTACCACTAAAAACTGGGATAACTTATTGACTCGAGTATAAGCCTATGGTGGGAAATGCTGGGTCCAGATAGGGGTTAATAAGAAAATAAAAAATAAAATATAGCAGACTGAGTACTGTAAATAAACATAATGTATATCCACGACCAGAGATAAGCTAAGCTTCATGGTTACCGTAGGAAATGTGATGTTAGAATCAAGATTGCATAAAATAATGGATATATTTTTGCAGAGGATGGCCAACTAAGTATGTATGCTAAAAGTATACTTAAAATTGAGACTCAATATTAAGGACATTAAACAAATATTTTAGGTTGGGGAAAAAATGTGTGAAAACATCACAATTGGCTTAGTCCGTAATCCAGGTACCATTTTGGGTATTTAGATTTACGCAATGCCACTCTGCCTTAGAACAGCTAGGTAGAATTGAGCAGACACCTGGATGTTCAGGTCCGGCGGGTTCGGACGAAATTTGAACTTGAACCCGAACTCCATTGAAGTCAATGGGGACCTGAATTTTTGGCCACAAAAATGCCTCTAAAGTCCTGGAAAGGGCTAGAGGGCTGCAAAAGGAAGTAAAATGGGGGTAAGAGTAGGACAAGTGCCCTGCAAACAAACGTGGATAGGGAAATCACTTAAAAGAACATAATTAAAAATACAGCTGAGCCATAAAATAGCACTAGATGGAATCTTTGATTTTTAGCTTTGGAAGAACATAAATCAAAATCTAAAGCATGGCTGTCAGGAGGATCACCAGAATTATCCATTTGAGAGAGGGTTGAAGTGCAGGGTATTCTCTTTCATTGTTCAAACTGAGTTCAACTCCTGATGCATGGAGAAAAGGCCTTCACAAGCCTCTGCTATTGTGTACATAGTTTATACTAAGTGACCCATAGGTTGAGGAGGAGGTAGCCAACACTGTTTTTTTATTTGTTTTTTTTATTTTTTATTGGGGTAGCCCCCAAAATATCGGGACATATAAAAAAAAAGAAACATTGCGGCCTGCAGTACATTTCTTGCAGCCCTGATGCATGGAGAAATGCTCAACTCCTGATGCCTCTGCTATTGTGTACATAGTTTATACTAAGTGACCCATAGTTTGAGGCGGCGGTAACCGTGGAGGAGGTGGTAGCCAACACTGTTTTATTTATTTATATATATTTTTTTTTAATTGGGGTAGCCCTCAAAATATTGGGACATACAAAAACAAAAAAACCTCTGTTCCGCAGAGCGACTGACCCTTGCGTGCTGCAGCTGAAACTCCACTATCGCCTGCTGCTGCTCGCACAGTCTCATGAGGCGGTGAGTGGGAATGCCGAAGTTACGCTGCAGTGCAGACAGGCGAGCAGCAGCAGGAGATGAGGAGGAAGTGCGCAAGGAGGTGTAACGGCGCCTGGCATATTATCGAGAGCCATCCTCAGAGGAGATCGTCAGCAGGACCTTTTTGGAGGTGCAAGCCTATGTCCTTGGCAATAAACAGAGGGCGACCTCCTTGAATCCAGATGAAGGGAGCAGAGGGTGCCGGAAAGCACACCACCCTGGCCCACAAGCTACCATACATGCCTTCAAAGACTTTAAGAAAGCAGAAGAAGGCATCGATGACTTTTTACAAGACTTTGAGCGCCAGTGCCTACTCCAAGACGTGGACTCCAGCGACTGGGTTACCATCCTGGCCAGCAAACTAGTAGGGAAGGCAGCGGATATTTACTGGGCTGTACCAGAAGAGCAGATCCGAGACTATCCCTTTATTACCCAAATCCTCCTGGCCCGATATGCGGCCACCCCCGAGCAATACCACCGAAAGTTTAGGGAGACCCAGAAAGGGGAGAAGGACTCCCATGCGGAGTGGGCATGCTGCATCACAAGGGCCACCCAGAACTGGCTCAACTACCGCCAAGCCAAGTTCCCGGAGGAGATCACCCAGCTCGTCATGCTAGAGCACTTTTTCAATGGGCTCCCCAATGACAAGGTGACGACGCATTCGTATGTCATCCATATCAACTTCCGATGCCATTTACTGCGCCTACCATGGTGACCACGGGTAATGGAGAATCAGGGCCCGATTCCTGAGAGGGTGCCTGAGAAACGTCTACCTCATTCAAGCAAGGCAGAAGGCGGGCAAATGACCCACTCCCGACGCGGGAAGTTAGTGACGACAAATAACAACACAGGACTCTTTCGAGGCCCTGTAATTGTAATAAGTCCACTTGAAATCCTTTAACTCTGATCAATTGGAGGGCAAGTCCGGTGCAGAGCGACTGACCCGTGCGTGGTGCAGCTGAAACTCCACTATCTCCTGCTCGCACAGTCTCTCCAGCATGTGCAAGGTGGAGTTCCACCTTGTCGGCACGTCGCATATGAGGCGGTGAGCGGGAAGGCCAAAGTTATGCTGCAGCACAGACAGGCGAGCAGCAGGGTGAGAACACCAAACGCACGCACAGCCGCTACAATGAATGTCACATCCTGTTCCAAGTTGCGGATCAGTCTGGTGATGGCTTCTGGTATCCAGTACTCTTTTTACTGAAGCTGCATCAGGGTCCTGGTCCTCCACATCATCTTCCACCTCACTCCTCAACCCTGCCCTTCTTGCCGGTCTGCACACTGCAGAAAGCCACAGCAGTTGGCACCTGTGTTTTTCCAGCATGTATAGTCTGCAAAGGACATAAGGAAATTTTTTAGAATTGTATCCAGGCAACAGTTTAACTTATAAACTGACCTCTCAGTTTGACTTGTGAGGGTATTGTTCCCGAATTACAATATTGTTATATTTGTATTTGATGGTTCTATTTGACTCTGAGATATGAATTGCACTGCAGGCCACAAATGTACTATTTAGCAGCCCAAAAATGTTAATGTTTAAAAATGTCACAGCACTATTTGATGGTTCTATTTGACTCTCAGATATGAAGAGCATGCCCTAAATTTACTATTTAAGAATGTTTACAACTGCGCTGTAAGCGCACTATTTGACGCTTCTATTTGACTCTCAGATATGAAGAGCACCCCACTAATGTACTTTTTAGCACCCAAAATATTTTACGTTTTAAAACTGCAATGTGACAGCAATATTTGACGCTTCTATTTGACTCCCAGAAATGAAGTGCACCCCACTAATGTACTATTTAGCAAATTGGCACCCAGAAAATAAGAATGTTTACAACTGCGCTGTAACCGCACTATTTGACGCTTCTATTTGACTCTCCGATATGAAGAGCATGCCCAAAATGTACTATTTAGCAGATACTCTACTGCTAGGCATAACCCTAACATAAAGCCCCCCCGTTTGTTCTCCTCACCTCCCCTTCCCTGTGTAGTGTGGCCGAGCTCTTCTTCTCTGGTCCGCGGTACAGGAGTTTCTGTTTCCTGTACCTGGCCGGACTGATAGGAAGTGCATTCCGGAGAGGAGCTTGGCCACGCTACACAGGGAAGGGGAGGTGAGGAGAGAGGCAGTACTGCAGCCGCCTGATGCTCTCTATAGAGCGCTCAGGCGACTGCAGAATTAGAAGGGCCGACCCTGTAAGTGGGACTCTCACTCGAGTACAAGCCGAGGGGGGCTTTTTCAGCATAAAAAATGTGCTGAAAAAGTCTGTTTATACTAGAGTATATACGGTAATATAATTATTTTACTCACGTCCTTAAACTGCTTATTTATGCATCATAAGTAAAGAATCCTTTTAGTAAAAAAATAAATAAAATACATATATAAATATAATCTTTGGTTAGTCAGATTTTTACTCTGGTAAATCAATATATTGTTGGTTTTCTCTACCTTTAAGATTTAAATGAAGTGTGTTGGAATGTTCTAAAGGGGTTAAAATACTGCTTTAGGCAATTACTATCCTGCCTAGTTTTAAGTTTCCTTGTGTAAAACACTTGAGCATTAGGACATAGTTGTAAAGTATTTAGAGCTGAAAAACATTTCAATATTTTCTGCTTACTGCTAAAATATCAAGCCTTCTAAGGAAAGCTTATCTGTCCAATAAAATGACCACAAAAATGTTTACTGGCTTTAAAGGTTAATTTTTTTGTTAAATTTTTTTTTTTTTTTTTTTAAATCTGTATCCATTTGTGGGCTATTAACATTTCTATTATACATATATGAGAAGTGTTACAGGGGAACAAATATATTTTTCTTTTACAAAAAGGTTTTCTTTGTCTAAGATATTTGAATATCGTTTAATATCCCTGAAAGCACTCAGACATTACTCCAAAACATTTACTATGGCTAGGTTTGTTTCCTCTTTCATAGGAATGCTTATGATAAATGATACCGTAGGGCTCTAATAAATTTCTGGCCTAAAGGATGCCTTTATACATGCTCCCAGAATTTAAAGTGACAGTCCAAGCATAAATAAAAAACATGTGCATAGTTGTTGTCTTTTCAGTTTGTGTGTAAAAACAATTTCATTCTTGTACTGGGAGGAAGGTAAAAAGAAGTCCTACATAGGTATATTTGACTTTGGTAAGTTAGTAAGCGCTCTCTAGAAGATGGCGCATAGTGTACTCTGAGCCTAACTACAGGAGTGTGTGTAAAATAATTTAAAAAGAATTACATCGAAACTAAGCCCTCCCCTCAGAGCTATCAATCAGGCAGACCTGAATTCTCCGTTCTTGTTTACCTTCGTGTATGAGTCGTCTGCATACAACACACAAAGTTTGGACTGAGCTCTCTCAAGAGAACTGAACAGTGGACCAAGCTTTGTATAAACTGGTAGCTGTCACGTGTGTATAGTTTGAAGACTGGACTATTATGATAGCAGACTAAACTGTAAGTAAATTAAGTGGTTTAAACTGCTCATTTGTAACACTTCTAAAATAAAGTTTGCCCTTAATATTATCACACTGGCATGCTTTTCAGGCTGTTGCTACAAATCCATCTTCAAATAATCAGAGGATGAATTTTACTCTCTAAATAAAACCTCAGCAAAATTAAACAAATTTAAATACAATCATTTTTGTGAAGGTGGACTTGCCGTGAAAGTGCCTGAAACATTTTAGAAGTCCTATAACTATCCCGAGCTTGCCGTGCTTACATGCCTGGCATATTTGCCAAGCTATGGATACATCATAGTCTATACCTGTATTTTCTCCTGCCTTTTGTGAATCCTATATGTTGCAACATGCATATATTTCTATGTGCTCTTTGCATACGTTATTTTCATAAATATGCACAGAATTAACATTAGCCAGCTCTGAACTCTTGCTAATAATGCTGCTGGGGTTGTAACTCCACCTCTGGCACCATATTTAATATGCCAATAAAGGGTTTCTTAAACCCCTTTTGTTTTCATTTAGGATAAAACCCTATTGGCATTATTTTTTTAGGCCCAACTCCAAAAGAAACTGTCAAAAATAAGGTGCTCGGTGCTCCCCTGTCTGATAAACTGCTCTTTCATCTGGTGCTGTCCCTGCTCCCCTTAAGTATGCCACTGTCGTACCTATCCCCCAAAAAAGCCTTCCCTATAACCGTACAACTATCGTCCCATAACCCTGCTTCCTTTTTCCTTAAAACTTCTAGAAAGACTTGTCTTTACTCGTATGACTTACTTCTTAAGTTCAAACTCCCTCCATGATCCTCTCCCATCTGGCTTTCGTCCCCTCCACTCTACTCAGACTGTGCTTATTAAAGCTACAAATGACCTAATCACAGCTAAATCCAAAGGCCACTACTCCATACTAATTGTTTTTGGCCTCCCTGCTGCCTTTGACACTGTTGGTCATGTCCCCATCCTCCAAACTCTTTTTAATCCCTCGGCCTCTGTGACACTGTCCTATCTCTCTGAACGTTCGTTAAGTGTCTCCTTTTGCAATGACACCTCCTCCTCTCGCCCTCTCTCGGTTAGAGTCCCCCAAGGATCTGTTCTTGGTCACCTTCTGTTCTCTTTTTATACTGCCTCTCTTGGCAAACTCATTAACTCCTTTGGATTCCACTACCATCTGTATGCCAACGACACCCAGATATATCTCTCCCTCGCACTCCTGAAATGTGACACTGATAGCTTTTCTTCTATTTCTGATTGGATGTCCTCCTGCTTTCTGAAACTCAACCTCTCTAAGACTGAGCTTCTTATTTTTCCCCTCATAATGCTGATCCTCCTCCTTCGCTCTCCCTGCAAGTTGATGGTGCTTGCATCAGTCCATTTTAAGCTTGTTGTCTTGGTGTTATCTTTGATCCTGGCCTCACCTTTGCCCCACATATCCAGTATGTTGCTAAAACCTGTTGATTCCACCTTAAAAATAAATATAGCCTGCATCCGCCACTTTCTCTCGCAAGATGCTGCCAAGGAGCTTTTTCATGCTCCAGTAATCTCTCGTATGGATTACTGTAATTCTCTCCTAGTTGGTCTCCCCAAAAGCCGAACTGCCCTGCTACAATTGGTAATGAATTCTGCCGCCAGGTTCCTGTATCATATAGGTGTCAATTCAAAATACTAACCCTTACTTATAAAGCTCTAACCAACTCTAGCCCATCATACATTTCTTCCCAGATTCATAGATATGCCCCTTCTCGGTCTCTCCATTGTGCTGGTGACCACCTCCTGTCCGCTGCTCGCACCCTTGCTGCTAACTTGTGCTTGCAAGACTTTTTGCGGGCAGCTCCCTTCCTTTGGAATAGCCTGCCTACCCCCATCAGATTCTCCCCTAGTCTTTAGTTGTTTAAAATTTCCCCCAAAACGCATCTGTTCAGAAATGTTTATGGACTCCAAGAGTAACTTATCTATACCTATCCATAGATGTCTCTCGCTCTCCTAAAAGAGCCATACTCCACTCTCACCTCCAGCTCTGCTACTTTTCCACCTTGTTTGGCTCTATGAGAAGACTTTGATTGGTGGATTTAATAGGCCCAGAGCACATGCGTGTGCTCTGAGCCAGCAAGGTGAGGGGGGAAAGAGGAGGAGGCAGGACGGGGTATAAAAATATAAGAAAAAAATCTATATAGATCTAAATCTATCTCTCAGCAGAGTGGATAGGGAGACAGGGAGATTAGTCATGAGCTTCCCCCTGCAGGCTCTGTCTGCAAGGGAGAAGCAGTTATGCTTCACTCTAATATTTTTTTACAGCCGTAAAGTATGCACAAAATTGACATCATGCAGCCAGAGCCAAGTTCCAGGCTGCCTAAGTCATGTGTGCCAAGGATGTAACTAACCCCTATCTATATAATGCATGAAAATAGGTAGACTGTTACATTTAAGTCATTGTTTAGGGACCTTATTTTTTTTGATTGAATGCCTACTGCTTTGCAGTAATATTTTGTTAGTCCATACAGTGAGACTAGTAATGAAAGAGTGCGTGTCTCTACCTAAAGTCTTAGAAAAAAAATAGACGTATATAAAACGCCTCCCATTAAACATGAAGTTATAAGTGACTTATTAAAGAATATTCTTGTATTGTGGTGTGTACGAGTGTTAAATATGGCAGATGCATTCCATCTTATAGTGAAAACGGCAGAACTTCCGCTTTTTTTGGGATAGAGAAAGAGGAAGACAACGAGAATTGTGGTTTCTGTAGTATTCAAGTATGTAACATTTTCGGAACCTTCTTTTTTACTCAGCCACCTAATGTAATAAATGCACACCACAAACTGCAGGAAGAGTACAGCTGTAATTGTTCATGAGAATTCTCTTGGCAAATTTTTATAAGCATTGAAACATTACATTCTTGGCCTTGTGCCACTTGTTTTGTCATATCACATTTTGGCTTTAACTTAAAATGTACACAAATGTCATGCTTTTAATTTTTTTAATTTTTTGACAATCTTTATTTTATTTTAATGAGGCTTTGAATACACGTGTACATACAGAAGATGGGGAAAAAAAAAAAAAAAAGCGTGTATATATTCCAGCAAAGTACAGTACATCCTGGTGCACTAACCCACGGTTTGCCGGTTAATATACCCTCCCTCAGCCTCAGTCTTGAACAGAACAACCAATAATAACTGTGAGATCCAAACGTTGTAACATTTGCCTAGTAACATGAATATCAAACATGAATAGAAAGGTCGGGCTTAGAGTGGACTGTCTGGCGCGCTAGTCACTCCCTATCGCACCCACTACAGCCAAACAAATGGCCTGTTGTAGAACTAGCCCCGTGTGTATGGTTTTTATTTTTAAAGACGCAATCTGAGCACCACAACCACTTTCTGCCAATGACGTGGTTATAGTGCTTGGAGTTCTCTGGCAGAAATGACGGTATTTTGTGACAAAACTGTGGGGTTCTCTATTAAAAGTATTGTTGAACTGAAAAGTGGTGCAAGCAAGGAAAACACAAAATTTCCCAATGCAGTGTGCCTGCTGGTTCCCTTGTTTTCCATGATGACTGCCTTACTTTCAGTACTTTAGACCATTTGTCAGAGTACAGTGCGTTTTATACATAACCTCACATATTTTATATATAACACTGTAACATAACCTGCACAGTTAAGAATGTGTGAGTTTGTGTTGTGTCCTTTTAAAGACATTGCAATGTGTTCTTCTTCTCCAAATTGCCACATCTGAGTCTTCTGGAATATTACTTGAAAGGCTGTATTACATTATTCTTTTATCGCTCATTGCCTTGCAGGATTTCTCAAGCTCTGGTTTAGAGACACAAAAGAAACTTCTAGCTAAAAATACTTGCTTCTGCTTTATAAAATTAGATGTTTGTGTTTTGTGTGTCTTGCTCACACTTAACTGAAAGTGAAAATAAAATGTTTCATCGTTAGAAATATCGGTCTGTTCATTTATATTATCCTCCCACCTCATTCTCACGCTTTCCTGTTTTAACCACAGTAAAATAAGTATAAGGTGTATGGTGGTTTTTCAATTTACATAGATTTAAAAATGAATTTAAGATATTTAAAGTTATGGTGTCTGGAGTGTTCTGGTGCTCTGCCTTTTTAAGAAGTTAAAATGTGTTGAAACAATTTGACTTCTTACCTGGGGTCCGCCAGATGCTACTCCCCACAACCACTACTTCCAACAGAGCCAAAAGGGGTTAAAATAAAAAATAATTTGAAAAGTCAAACTGTTTGATTATATTGAATACTGTAGTGTTCTCCCTTCATTTATATGAATATTTTTTTATTTTTTTTTGTCTTTCTGGTCTCTTTCAGTTTCCCAAGGCCTAGTGGGAGGGCTTTACACCTGCAACCTTCAGTTCTGGATTTTGGGGCGCAGTGAGTATTGGCTGACACACCATATTTTTTGTGGATAGATTTAACACAATTTAGTAAAAGGTAAAGAAACATAGGCTGGGACTGACCTATTGGTGTTTATTGTTTTTAATAGAGGGTAAATGTATAATTTTATTTTTAGTTTGCTTAAATAAATAAATAAAAAAATACTCTGTGATGCTTACAATGTATTTTGGCAGCTGTTAATTTGTTGGCTGCTTAGGTACACTATATCTCTTTCCTTACCCTGAAAGTATGAATAGTGATTGATGGATGAATGAGTTTAGCCCACAGATCGCCCACTCAAGTGTGCTCCTGTAGTGATGTCACATGTACATCATTGTATCAAGCTGTGTGTGTTGTTACTCCTATCTGAAATCTGATCTTTTATGCATACAGAATTCCTGATGGTTAAAAACTGGAACTGTTTCGCTACCATATGTTTAAAACTGCTCTGCTAGTTGATATTTGGTATTTACAACAGCTTGTCTGTTTTATTTATTTATTTTTACGTCAAGCAAAGCAATAGAAAGTAGAAACCACCACTCTATGGACTCTGCCTTGAAAAAAACATGACATTTATGCCATGTAGGAGTACAAAGTTTATTGATGCATTGTGCTAGTCACACAGCGAGCAATTATTTTGATATGTTTGCTTTACCGAACATACCTACCAGTACAATTCCTGTAGATTAAAATATTTAGGGTTCTGGTTCCAATGGATCTTTGACACGTAAATCAAATGTCACCTTTCTGGATGTGATTGTTCCTTGTCCCTCCCCAGTAAACATTGCAATCGTGTAACTGTGGGGGACTTTATTGCCCCATATTACCTAAAGTTCATGCTCACTCATATACACATAAATAACATTCCTTCACCAATGTTGTGCATGCACTGTGTATATGCTACTGCATGGATCAAGTGTCCAACATAGCGCATAAAGTAAAATAAAACTTCGTAAGAGTAACTCAAATAAATATATAAAATAATAAAAAATTTATTTTCTCACCCCTTCTGGGTGGTATGTTTATTTCTCATTCTCTGGTCCTCTACCAGAGGCCTGGGAGTTTGAGGGTTCTGCGCAGTATCTTAGCTGTTTTTGGAACTGCACTCTTTTGGACAGCGATCTCAGATGTCCCACTTGGAATCTGTTGAAGCCACTCCCCCAACTTGGGAGTCACAGCCCAGAGTGCTCCTATCACAACTGGGACTACAACTGCCTTCACTTTCCACATCCTTTCTAGTTCTTCTTCTTCCAGTCCTTGGTATTTCTTGACCTTCTCATCTTCTTTCTACCACATTGTTGGGGTAGACAAGGAACGGAAGACTGCACTCGTGGTGGATGTGGCAATACCTAGAGACTATAACATATGTATGTATCCAATTCATAGCTATTGTGCCCAATTGTAAAGAGTCAAACTGCTTTAGAAGGGCTTGACTTGCCACCATGTTGTCTGCCAGGTGCCATTCCCCATCTCCATTATAATCTTCCGAATGCCACAAGTTCCTCCGCATGAGGTAAGAACTGCAGTAGAAACCTTGTGGAGTAACTTTCAGCTTGCACAAGATTGTAGTGGAGGCGGGGAGCATAGTGGACCCAGGTAAGAAGCAATCCTTTATACTCCTGGTATGACTCCTTACAATGGTGAGGTAGTGCCAGGACACTGCAGGCTCCATAACCACTTCAGTGTGCTTGGGAGTATTCCTTTAATGTTTAGCTCTTTTGGAGTACATATCTTACTAGTAAAAGTTCCTTTTTAAACTCTTAGAATTTTGCTCCTATCCTAGACAGTGTGTTTGTGGTGCTGGAATGTCCCACATCCCTTGTGGTTTGGTTAATGCAGTTAAATTGTATTTCCTCTGTCAGCTGCCATACATTTTTAGACCGTTCCCATGACCATATTAGAACTTTTTTTGTCCCAATGCTTAGTTTAGTTTGCTCATTATAAGAGGTACTGTCCTCTTCTACTGGGGGAGTGCTACTTTAGTTGTGTGCTCTTTTTGTTGACCCTGGTGATATTTCCTGACTTAACTTACTGTTGTCACTTGACCGAATGAAGAAGGCCAGACTGTCAACTGTCCACTTCATCCCGCCATGCCCACCTCATTTGTATGAATAATATGGTATGGATGCTGGAAAAAAGTTTGACATGCTCCAGACGGACCTAAAACTTCCTGAACTGTAGCCATTATAATAAACTGTGGGGATTATGGAGCTTAGTGTCCACTTATCAGGTATATCCAACGAATGACTTGTTTATGTAGTTACTGGAACACTTTAGAGTTCGGAGTAAAAACGTGTATTCCTGACCCTGTGGTGTTAAAAATTAAGTTTTGGCCTCCGGTTCCACTTAAAAATTGTTAAAACTCCCCTTTGTTCTAGTGCTGCGCGAGTCTGCCGATGCTGACTCCGCCTCAATCTGCTTCCTTGGCTGACATCAGAGTTGATGATCTCAACCAATTCAATGCTTTCCCATAGTAAGCATACTCCTGGCCAGTCAGCATTTCCTCATAAAGATGTATTAAAACAATGCATCTCTGAGGAAAGTTCAGTGCCTTGATGCAGAGCGGGGAAACACTGAACTTCTGTGCTGCACGTTGTGCTTCAGACCCAGGAAGCTCTTTTAGTGGCTGTCTGAGAGACTGCCACTGGAGGTGTCCCTAGAAAGCAATGTACATGAAAATGCCTGCAGGGACTGACTATACTCACTAGCACAACTACATTAAGCACTGTACAGAGTTCTAGTCAACACTCTTTGGGGGCAGATTTGCATTTATTATTGTGTTACAACCTTCTACATGTGCCATTATGTACACCAGTATTTCTTAAGTCACATTTTGTTTGCTCCTTTTTAATCACAGACCTAAACAGTTGAAAAACAAGAAATACCATGTAATGTTCACGTTTTTTTCTTTGTCTTTTTCAGGTCCGTCGGAGTCCCCAAAGCCCAGTCCTTCTGTGCTTTTAACCCAGGTTGGGACACAGTTGTTGAAGTGAATTCTGTGTTTACAAACGGAAGACATTTCCATGTGTCTCCCATACAGAGCAGGGTGAGTGTTGATATCCTCCTGGAAACTATGCAATGGTTCAGTGCCAGACACTTTTGCTTTTCTTGGCAGTACGATTCTCTGCAGCCAGCTTCCAGATAGACCCCTTTTCCAACATGCAGATACACATCAATCCTCTCAAAGAATAGCTTATTATTTACTCTTCAGTCTTCAGCATGAGTAGGCAACTTGACTTGAATAAAATGAATACAATTAGATGGCGGTTTTCATTACTATTGGACTCAGATTCGTTTTCAACAGAATCAGGTTTTGGCTGAATTTGGGCTGATCAGCAATTCGGATGAAATTCGAGCTGCCACATTTCTTGATCCCCAAGCAACTTATGTGGCCAGTAGCTGTCTTCTTCAGGATTCAGGGTTAACTATCTGCCTGCTGTAGGCACTGACATCCAGTGGCAAATAGTTAGAAACTTCACACATTGGTACAAGGGGGAAGGCTTACACATCCCCCATACCTCACTTGCCATTCCACGAGTGGGGTTATATATCTACTAGCCTGTGGCTACGTGCTGTAATGAAAGACAAGCGACTGGGCAAATATTGATATCAAGTGGGTGCTTAAATTTAAAGAACTGGGTGGACAGATCACTGCCCACCCACCCACCCAGTGGAGGGCTGTATGCTGGATGGCTGAGAATCATGGGATTTGTTGATTAGCATCATGCATTTAAGTATTCAGCCCTTTCAATGTAAGCATGTACATTGACAGTTCTCTATGTGTAACTACACAAAGCATGTATATAATACTCGGCCCTCTTTACGTAACCCACACACAGTTTATACATAATCAGCCCTCATTATTATACACCGCATTTGTGTACATTTATATCTGGCCCTCACAAGGTAACCATCAGGAATTTTGATCCTTGAGTGTGTGTCCAATGTCACTATTTATCGGCATGCTGTTTGTTACAGATGTAGCTGCATAACATTTTACCCCTCCCTTTTCTGTAGTATCAAACTGCTGCAAGTGCCAGCTTTTTACAAAAATTGTGAAAGTGGTAGGTTTCGAGTGCTTTTAGTTGAAATGTAGAAGGCAGCTCTAGCAACCCAAACCAGAATCTCTTTATTCCAGTCCAAGACAAGGTATACACAATCAGAAGAGGGAGCAACGCCTTAAGAGGTTCTCTGGTATTGGTCGTTATGTAATGAGACACATAAAAACAGTACAATGGTTATATAGTGTAGGATGTATGAAGTAAATGGAAGGAAAAAAGATGATCTACTTAAAATATGTAGAACTATCCGTTACCTCTACTGTGTGTACACAAATTGCTATCTCACACCCTCCCTTGCCCTCCTCTTAAAAGCAGTAGGATTTTCACTTGTCAGATATAGTAATAAGGCAATGAGATTTTAAATTGATAGCATATGCATAAACTCCCTGCACCTGCTAGCCAGCGACATAACAATGACTGCATTGAAGAGGTAGCATCTTTACATATGCACAATTTTTTATTTTTTTATTTATTTAATGCCGCCGTGGAACATTAAAATATTAACTTTCAGTTGAAATTCTCATTAGATGTTCATTATACTTGAGCAGCTGTCAGTCTATTGTCGGTATCCGCATTGCTGTTTTAATGCATGACCCATCACAGATAGTGAATTCATGATAAATGATTACGTTTATCCTTTAGTAAGATATGTTGAGTGAATTGGTGAGTAACACAAACCTTTTTGGTTTTTAGACCACTTTCCCTGTTAATGCCTGCTGAGAAAAAAAGTTTTTCTTCCACCCTCAAAACCTTTTTGGATATAACCTGGATTTGCACAACAAGGGCAGAATATGAAGGAATGTCAGATTATTTTACCAAATCCCATTCATGGTCTGTACTAGGGATAGGCAACCTTCGGCACTCCAGATGTTGTGGACTACATCCCCCATAATGCTCTTACGCCCATAATGCTGGTAAAGTATCATGGGAGGTGTAGTCCAAAACATCTGGAGTGCCGAAGGTTGCCTATGCCTGGACTCTATACCATAGTACAGAAGCTTGTTTGTTTTGTTTTTTTCCCTCTCCAAATAATCCTTGCCAAAACTTTTAATTGAATAGCTTAATTCTTCGCTCCCATACCATATCCTTCAACAAGTATATTTTTCAGAAAGAAATTAAGAATAGTGTTTAGGGAAATGCTTCTGCTATAATTATCCAAATTGAGCAACTGTTTATCATTTTTGGCAGTGCTGACTCTTGGCTCGAATTGAAATTCCCCACAGAAGGCGGAATGTTATTTTCCTTTAAAGGAATTGTATAGTAAAAGTTTTTTGTTTTATGTACCTTTCAAATAGGGTAGTTTGATTTAGACCTGCTTTTAAAGATACTCTGTGTATAGCTATGTAGTCATTGCTGTCCACAGCTGAGAAATCTTGGTTTATTCTGTTATAAATAGACCTTTTTGAATTCTTTATTTTTGCAACGGTATGGAGTAGACAATGCATAAGGTTTGGCTCGTGCAAGAGCGTTTCAAAAGTACATACACATGTCAGGTACATATGAGGATTTTTAACATCTCTACTTTCATCCGTTGTAGTTGTTGGTATTATTGTTTCAACAAGAACAGTGTGTATAGAAAAACAAAATAACTGAACTGTGGGCCGGGATACCGGTCATCTCGGTCCAAACGGTCGTGGGCCGGGTGGGGGGAGAGAAGTTGAGGTAGATTGGGGGTGGGGGCAAGGTATGGGGGGGGGGTTACTGCAGTCCATCGTTAGCGTTTGCGACTCCTTTCTGCTACATGGTCTTAATTGTTCTTACTGGTCATTATAGGTCTCCCACGGTTCCCACGTCTTAGTAAAAGCTTTGGTTGTGCCCCTAATTTGGGCCGTGAGTTTGTCCATTAAGTGGCATTCTTTGATTTTGTTAATCACTATTGCTACTGAGGGGGTGTCCTGCTGTAGCCAGGTCTGGGCTAACGCTCTCTTGGCCGCTAAGGCTATTTTGTTAAACAGATGCTGGTTTGGTTTAGACCAATTCTCCTGAGGTCTGGCCAGTAGGAACGTCCAAGGGTTCAGTGTCATTGGCCTATCAAATATTTGGGTCATGAGGGTTCGAATGGCCGTCCAGTAAATTTTAATCTTAGGGCAGTGCCACCACATATGGGTATATGTCCCTCTCTCCCCACAATTGCGCCAGCAGAGGTCTGTGGGTGTTTTTTTCATGTGATATAGCTGAACAGGGGTGGTATACCACTTGAACAACGTTTTGTAGGCCTGCTCTTGCATCGTGACGCAAATAGAGGTTTTAGCAGTGGCCTGCCATATGTCCTGCCAGTCTATCCCCTCTAATGTTTCCCCAAGGTCGGTTTCCCACTTGTCTGTGTAGTGGAGGGTGCCCCAGTCCTGTGTAGTGGAGCAGAGATGGGAGTACAAGAGGGAGATCAATCCCTTTTGGTAGCGTTCGGCCAGGCATATGTTTTCAAAGAATGTTGGTTTAGCTAGTGCCGCTCTTTTAACAGATTCTTGGGTAGCATAGTGTCTTAGCTGGAGGTACCTAAAGAAATCTGCGGAGGTTAGGGTTATTCTGGTTTGTAATTCAGCGAAGGTGATTATGTCGTGACCTGTGTAAAGTTGATGAATTCTTTGTAGGTCTGCATTTTCCAGGCCTTTGAAATCTCTGGGTCTCATGCCTGGAATAAATGCCCTATTTCTATATATGGGGGTGAGGGGGGAGGACGATGTTGTTAGTTCGTATTTTGTGGCGTATTTGTCCCAGATGTGAATCGAATTTGTAATAGCTGGGCAGGTCCTTAAAAGTGCTCTGTGCTCTTTCGGGGTCCATATGTAAAACTGAGGGAGGTCCGATTTCATAATCAGGGATTCCAGGTCCACCCATCTCCTGGTGTCCGGAGGGGTGTGCCACATCGCTATTTGTGTCAAGTGGGCTGCAATGTAGTAGAAATGTATGTGTGGTAGGCCTAATCCCCCTCCGGGCTTGGGGCGATATAGAATATTACGGGCCACTCTGTGTCTTTTGTTGTGCCAGATAAAGCGGTCAATGGCCTGCTGTAGAGGCTTTAAGTCTTGTTTCGTTATGGGGATGGGTAGGGCCTGGAATAGGAAAAGAATACGCGGTAGGATGTTCATCTTTATTGAATGTATCCTGCCAATCCAGGATATGGGTTTATCCGCCCAGGTCTCCATGTCCGTTATGAGTTTAGTGATTAGCGGGGAGTAGTTAAGTTGGTGTAGTTTCGTGAGGTCTGCCGGCAGTTTTATGCCGAGGTAGGAGAGGTAGGTCGGTGCCATACGTATGTGATAGTCTGACGTGATTTGGGTGGCCTCATTCTGCGCGAGTAGTATTGGGAGTGCGCTGGATTTCTCCATGTTGACTTTGTAGCCTGATATTGTACTGTAGTTTTGCAAGAGGGGCATCAGCGCACGCATGGAGCGGATGGGGTTAGTTAATGTGATGAGTACGTCATCCGCGTATGCGGAGACCAGGAACTCTTGGCCTGTTATCTTTGCTCCCGCAATTTCGGGGTGTTCTCTGATCGCCTGTAAAAGGGGTTCGAGTGTTAGTGCAAAAAGTAACGGGGATAGGGGGCAGCCCTGTCTAGTTCCGTTATGGATGTTAAATCGTGGGCTGTTTGCTCCGGTCATCTGTATTTGCGTATTTGCGTCACGTCTGTGTATAGCGCCCGTACTGCCGTGATGAAGGTGGGGGGTATGTTTAAATGGTTTAGTAGTGTGAACATGTATGGCCAGTTCACCCTGTCGAACGCTTTTTCAGCGTCTAGGGACAGGGCAATCGCTGGTGTGTTGGTTGTAGTAAGTGTCCATATCACGTCTATGTTCCGTCTGGTATTTTCAAATAACTGCCTGCCGGGAATAAACCCGACTTGGTCTGCGTGGATGAGCCGCGTGAGATGCGTGAAATCTGAGGGGGGAACATGTGAACCCGTCTGGTCTTATGCCTTGCCAGACTATGGGGGGGTACTTGGGTCCTTACCTCCTTCAGGGCTCTTGCCGCCCGAGGGGTCTGGGTCATGAACCAAGCCACCGAGGGTGTCCCCTATACCGTAAGGATTGCTATAGGTATGATATGCCAAGCGTCTCTGTTTTGTGGAGCTTATTGTGGGTGCGAATTTCCCGTTTACCGGGGCTGGGGATGTTAATTGAGGTGGAAGGGTAGGACCCTTTGGAGAAGGTCAGTAGTGAGTCCGCGTTCGAAGTGATAAGTTGGAGAGGAATGATGGGAGGAAAAGGTCCCGTCTCGTTGGGCTCTCAGAATTGTATACGGCCTGTACAGGGTCTCATAGGATCCTTAAGGCGTTCCCGGCCTGGGTTCCATATGTACATGTAGTCTAGTGGCTGGGGTGAATGATGGGAGTTCAGGGGGTTGGGAACTATGGTCTATTTACCCCTCAGTCTATGGTAACGTATCGTAGCGCCCGTACTGGTATTGCAGAAGTGGGGCTGTCTATATATGGGGCCTTGCTACGTCCGGTCTGCTCTGATCTCCCTCCCGAGCATCTCTGTTCGGGCTGTCGTCCCTTCCCTCAACGTATGTTCTGATAATAAGCAAGTGAATTAAGCAAAAAAAGAAAAGGGGGTGGGGGTAAGGGATAGGGGCTACATAAGTAGGCGTGAGTGTGGGCTATTAGCATACAGTTTGCATTACAATTAGACATTTGCATACAATTAAACATAAACATCAGGTATTCTGGGGAAACATTAGGCTGTCCGTCTACGGTGTGTGGCTCTCCTTTCCAGCTGTATGACTGGCCCAATGTGTTTCCAGTGTAACCCCTGTCTGTGCTGGAGTGCGTGTCTCGGGTGTGGATCTCCGTCGTGTTAGTAAGTTATGTGGGTGGTATTTCCCCTTCTCTTTTTTTCCCTTTCTCCTTTTCCCTTTTTAAATTTTTTTTTTTTTTTGTTGTGTTTCGGTAATAGGGATGGGTTTCTGTCTGTCAATCCTATTGTATTCCATTTCTCTAAGTGTGTGTGAGCGGAGCTTGCGTGTGCTGTCTGTGCCCCACAACCTATATATATGAGTCCAAAAATACATTACAGTTCCGATGAGAGATGTCGGGGGCCGCCGTGGCAGACGCATGGCCGGCCATCAGTCCATTTGTGTCTTTCGCAGGTCGGGGTAGCGGCCTTGTTGTTGCAGCTGGAAATGTTTGTCCCCAGTCCTGGTTCTGATGTGGTTGGCGGGTGGTCTCCTAGCAGTTGTTGAGCTCAGCGCTGCGCCTTGACAGGTTGCGAAATGTTCTCCGGTGGCGTCTTGCTGGTTGCGTTCTGAGTCCTGAGAGTCCCTGGTGAAGTTGTCTTGAAAGAGAGCGGGTGAATAAAACGTTGTGGGTGGCAGCTAGGGTGAGTGTTTTTTTTTTTTTGGGGGGTTTTCTTTGCTGTTCGTTTGTGTTTTATTGGCCCGCGGCCATATGCCAGTCTCTCGGCAGGGTGCGGAGTGCTGGGAGCGCGGTCGTAGGCAATCTGAGGTCGTTGGGGGGCGCTATTCCCAGTTCGCGTAGAAACGGTATAGGATTTGCTCCTGGCAGGAGAACATGAGGCCTACCCTGCTTGAAGACCATCAATTTGAAGGGGTGGCCCCACGCATATCGCACCGAGTTGTTTCGGAGCAGCTCCGTGACTGGACACCACTCACGCCTGCGCTGGAGCGTGACGGGGGCCAGGTCCTGGAATAAGGTGAGCGCTGTGTTCTTGTAGGTGATCGGGGTGTCTCGGGCCCTCCTGAGTACTGCCTCTTTTGTTCGGTAGTGTAAGAAGCGCACTATGACGTCTCTGGGTCTTGCTGTGTCTTCCCGTCGGGCACGGAGGGCTCTATGTGCCCTGTCCAAGTGCCAGTGTTCTTCTGAGACGTCTGGGAGGAGAGGCTTAAGGATGGCAAGTATTGTTGCTGCGAGTGGGCCCTCGTCAGGCTGTTCAGGCAGGCCTCTTACCCGTATATTGTTGCGGCGCGTGCGATTTGCCAGGTCCTCTAGGGCCGCTTCTGTTGCTTCTACACGCGCGGTAAGCGTGTTAATATGGTTTGTTGCTGTATTATGTGCCTCTACTGTAGCCTCCACCCGCTGCTCCAGCTCTGTCGTCCGCGCCCCCAGCGAGTGAATTTCCGCCATTACCGCTTTGGAGCTGCGCTCTATCTCCCGGCCAGAAAAGTTTTCATTGCCGCCATCTCTGTGAGGATATGTGCCGTCTCCGGTGCTGGTGACTGTTGCATCTGGGGTGTGCCAGCGTCTGTGGGGGTGGCTGAGACCCGCAGGTCGTTTTCGGCGCCATCTTGGGCCTCATGGCGGCCATGCCGCGAGGCCGCAAAGAGATCCCGCACGGTAGCTGCTGCATCGGCGGCTTTTTTGGGCTGCTTCCTGGGTGTCCTCCTGTCCATCCTCAATGGTGGGTATAAGTATAGAGGGCGAATTCGCGGTTTCGTGGCTTTTGTTAGCTTTCGGTATCGGGGTCGGTGAGGAGCGCTAGTGACTCGCGTCCATCTTGGTTCCCGGTCAAGCCACGCCCCATAAATAGACCTCTTTTAAGAAATGTATTTACATTCAGTCTCAGTAGCCTTAAATCGAAACAAATGCTATCCACTAATAGCCCTGCATCCACTGAATATTTAACATTCGACACTTAAGAAACATTTAAGAGTTACTTCAAACCAAAACACAAAGTAAATTTGGGGTGGGGGGAAGCAAAAACCTAGCCCAAGCTCTCACTGCAGTCTGATCTGCCTTTGTTGATATTACTGGAAAAGTGGTTGGAGTGACCATGAAGACGTGCTGAGGGGGTAGACTTGGGCAAAAGTTAGGGGGAGGAACCGCCACCATTAGACATCTGTCATTCATATGCTGTGTGTGCTGACAACAGACACCTTTTTGCACAGAATTCAAACTGTTTAAGGTGCTTAAAGTAACTTTAAGGGTAAAGGAACATTATAGTGTCAGGAACACAAACATGTATTCTTGACACTATAGTGGCAAAATCACTGTTTAGGTGGCCAGACTACCTTGCCTCCCTTTGAAAAGGTGATTTTTAAACACCTTTTCTCCCACGTTGCATCGGTCTCACCGTGGCTTGCCCAGCCTTGCACTGTCTCTATCTGTCTTGATGATCTACGCCAACCACAGGAAAGCTTTTTGAGGCTTTTGCACGTGTGAGGTAAAACGCTGCGCCAATCATCTCTATGGGGATGCTCTATAGACTTAAATGCTGTACATGTGCATGTGGCAATGTTACCATTGGGGGTCTTTGCAAATTCTGCAAAGTACCCAGACTGTGACAGTGCTGCTTTAACCCTACACTTACAAAATATATAAATACAAAAAGAAAAGTCCTGCGCTAACTCCCATCACTCCTGGGCGGCAGCAACAACTACAGTACACATCAGCTAATACATATAGTAAAAACCAAAGAAAAAAAGTTACCTGCGCTCTCTCCTTAATCCCTATGTATATTTAGACAAATGGAGGTCATTTAGTTACTCCAATGGCCACTGGAAGGAATGCCTACCTGCCAACGTCAAGGCAGACCCCCCTAGACGGGTCCTACTGTGACCCTTTACCTTGCTTCCTTGAGCTTCTGGCAAAAATATCTCAAATGAGACAGAAAGGGGTATTTTGTTTTTTATATATACACCCCTATATACTTGTTAACCCTTAATAGGGAACACATGGGATGGGCGGCAGCATTGTAACCTTGACGTTGGCAGGCGGTCATTCCGTCCAGTGGCCATTGGAGTAACTAAATGACCTCCATTTGTTTAAATATACATAGGGATTAAGGAGAGAGCGCAGGTAACTTTTTTTTTTTCCTTTTGGTTTTTACAAAATATATAGCCTAATTTGGATTGATTTCATATTGATTGTTTTTCATACTACAGTATGATGCTTTTTTATATTATAGGATAATACTTATGTCAGTTATCTTCAAAACCATATTTGGCAACCATAACCACTGTGTGCTATCAAATAGCCATGTGTGTCAGTACCATACAGTACTTGCCCATACTCTGCATAGCATATATTTGTATTGAGGCACAATATTTTTTTGGGTTATAGAAGAGTCCAAGACACAAATATTACCAACATTTGGTACATTTGTTTTATTTCTTGGTGTGCTTTGTTACCAAACTCACAGTCTTCAGGTGTTAAAATAGTAATGCTTACTCCAGCCATTTTAGCTTTAAAAGTGATTTCTGAGGTGTTTTTTTTTTTTTTTTTTTTTTTGGATAACCGTATCAATAAGAACCTTCAGGGCTGATTTGGCCCAGCCCCGTTCAATAGGAATCTGATTAAATTATATTGTTGTCATTAGATTATAGTTGTGACAACACAGTTTGAAAGCCACTTAATGATGTGATCAACTGTAAACAGTCCTTAATCGATATCCGTCTGAAAATGGAATACACAAAGCCATTTCAAAGCTTCGACCATATAAAAATCATTTTATATTGACAAAATGGAAAACGTTTGGGACAGCACCTCATTCTAACAATGGTAGAGGTTATGTCCAAATCTTTCTAGTTGTAAAATAAAAAAACGCAAAATTGGGATGTTCGGTCTTGCCTCAGTTAAGGTCATTTTTACACTTTAGAAAGGGATCTGGCAAACATGGCATGCATGTTAGCAACTCGGAACTGATTGCTCCTTAACACAAATCCTTCAAGCTTGCTAAAAAGAAAAGTACCTGGATATTTTGGAATCTTTCTGGAGTTATTGGCCTTTTTCAGTCTGCTAAATGTAAAATGCATTTTTTTTTTTTTTTTTTAAAGAATCCCTATGAAATGAACAACATGCTCCATCATAGGTTTACAGACAACCTGACATCATTGAAGTTATTGTGAATTCCGCTTTCGTTTAGAATTGTTCAAAAGAAATGTATAAAGTAATGCAGCAAAGCTTTTAATTTGAAACTGAGCTAAGTCTATGCAAGACTTGTTGCAGGAAAAGAAAAGTGACAGCTTGAAGTACCTTGACCAAAACTGCATTGAGAAGTCACAGCGTGCATTTAACTCCAGGAAACTGCTTGTGAAGCAATTACTTTTTCACTGGCGACGAAGGTGTTGCCTAAAATTTATTTTCCAATTGTTTTATTTTTCATATGAATATCATCAAAAATAAGCTCAGAATTATGTGTTGTTGCTTCATTTGATCTAATGTTATATTCTTGGTTTGACTATCTAACTTTCATTACCATAAATATGCCACCATGTTGAAAGTTTGGCTGGGACAAATGCTTGATCACAGCACAATTGATTAACTGTGGTGTAATTCAGTCGTTTTAGGTCATCTCTGCACAGTGCAGTACGAACACTGAAACCCAGTAATCGAAACCTGCATCGGCAAACTTGAGTGTGATTTATCTGGCGTCAAAACATCTGCTTGCAGTGAAATGCATGAGGTTGTGTGAAAATGGCAAGGGAAGAATCCAAGGTTATTACTTATAGCCTGCTCATCATTGAGAAATAAAACAGCTGGATGGCTACCAGTCACTCGTAGAAGATTTAACAATCACATGAAAGTGACCTGCTGATGTAACACTCAAAATGTTCGAGCATTAGGGAGATAAGATATTTAAAAAAAAAAAAAAACAACAAAAAACACATTCTGAAAACCGTATTTGCTGTAAATAAGTCTGTAGATACCAAGACTTTTTGAGTTTTTCAGCCAATTCTTGTGTCTTGTGTATGCTAAACTCGAGAACTGTCCGTATTCCAAAAATCGGGCACAGCAGAGGTTTATAGAATGCATAGTTAAAGGACCACTATAGTGCCAGGAAAACATACTCGTTTTCCTGGCACTATAGTGCCCTGTGGGTGCCCCCACCCTCAGGGTCCCCCTCCTGCCGGGCTCTGGAAGAGGAAGGGGTTAAATCTTACCTTTTTTCCAGCGCCGGGCGGGGAGCTCTCCTCCTCCTCTCCTCCTCTCCGCCTCCGATCCTCCTCTTCGGCTGACTGCGCATGCGCGGCAGGAGCTGTGCGCGCATTTAGCCAGTCTCATAGGAAAGCATTTAAAATGCTTTCCTATGGACGCTGGCGTCTTCTCACTGTGATTTTCACACTGAGAAGCACGCAAACGCCTCTAGCGGCTGTCAATGAGACAGCCACTAGAGGCTTTAGAGGCTGGATTAACCCATTTATAAACATAGCAGTTTCTCTGAAACTGCTATGTTTATAAAAAAAAAAAAGGGTTAATCCAAGAGGGACCTGGCACCCAGACCACTTCATTTAGCTGAAGTGGTCTGGGTGCCTAGAGTGGTCCTTTAAAGGGATACTATAGTCACCAGAACCATTGCAGCTTAATGTAGTCGTACTGATGTCTATAGCATGTTCCTGAGGGCTCAGGAATGTAAACGCTGCCTTATTTTGCTGCTTAGTAACACCTCTAGTGCCTGTCACTCAAATTGCCACTCAAGGGACTCCTAGGTTGGGTCCTGCAAGCTTTGCAGGACATACGTTCAGCGTCTCCCCGCTATGCATGATGATGCTGGATGTGCCCCATAAAGAAGCATTGATTCAATGCATCTTTGAGGAGATACTAGTTGGTCCAGTGTGGTGTTTTGTCACACATGCAGTAGCCATCAAGATGGATGATCTTGGCATGGAGGCAGGGCAAGCCACAAGGGGACCAGAGAAAACGTAAGTGTAATACCTTTACTCCATTCTGGGCGGTGGGGTGACACCTAAATAGCTAGTCCAGCACTGCAGCATTAGGAATACATGTTTGTCACTGTTTCTTTAAGCAATTATATGCCACTTCAAATAACATGTGTAAAACAATTTGATAAGTTAATATCAGGTGACTTGTGACTTCTGTTAACATGGTAAATAGTTTAATATATGAATCTAATTCATAAATTTTAGGAACACTATAGATGTTATAACTATTTATTTTCATTGACTTGGTTACGGTGCCTGAATGTCCCAGGTGCTGTCTCTCCATTCTGTGTTAAACCATTTTTGTGGCAATTTAATACTAAATAACCCACAGTCAGCACCTACTGGATGTATGGCTAAAGCAGAGATCACAGTTCCTTCTAGCCATGCCAATTTATACCAGCTTTGGGCACTGTGATAAGCTAAAAGCGGTCAGCTAGCACTCCTAGCCAATTGGAACCACCCATTGCTGCTTAGGCTAATGCTTCATGAGGCTCAAACAGCGGCAATGGGCTACTGGACATCCTTGTTTAACATTGAAACATTGTAAACGGTTTAACGCTCAATTTAAGGATGGTGTCAGGGGAATCCAAGCAGTTAAACCATTTTAGTGGGATGAAGCCTTTTATATTGCCTACAGTGCCCCTTTAAGCTAAACATGGGTGTGCATGAGAGAAAATTAGGAGGTCTTGGAAATATCAAATAAAAATGCAGATTTAAAAAAAAAATATATATATATTTTGGATGTGCCACAACTTCCATGTGCAAACGAACCAGTGTGACTTGCGCTAATTGTGAAGATGGATTGTACATGATAACATATACTTAAAAGTACAGCAACCTCTTCGTCAAAATTTGGAGATTGTAGAGTAGAAACTGATGACTATTAGGAGCCAAATGTGTATGCTGGTCCATGGCAGATGTTTCGGTGAACCTAATTTATGACAATGTTTTCATGTGGGTGAAAATAAATATTAAGTTGGCTATAAATAAATGTAGCTACTAAAGTAAATTTTCTTATGCATTTATGAATGCCATATTTAAATAGTGTAACTCTTTTATGCTATGGGACTGGTAGCATATTTCGATTTACAGTGTGTTCTATCAGTTTAACTTGGCACAGCTAGTACTCTAAGCGAGAGATGTATGGCCCACCAGTCATGGCTGTGTAGCTCTTAAAAATCATTTTTTATTTTATTTTCCATTGTTTTACTTTTAAGCAGGATAAGAAAAACAAAACCTAAGTTAAAAAGTTGTTTTCCCCACTTAACTTTTAAAACTATTCCATTTCAAAAAAAGAAAATGCAAAAATATCAGTGGGAAGACTATTATTGAGTAATTTTTTTTTGGTGAGAAAGTGCATTTATAAATATAGTAAAAGATGAGGTCAGGTAGCATTAGGAATACAAATATGAATCCCTAACGCTGTAGTGCCCTAGTCACTATTTAGGTGACCATGCCAGTGCTAGTTAACTCATGTTTTCTATCTTGACACAACGGTATCCTTGAATAAGCTCTGGCTTTTAGGCTGAGATCAATTATCTCAACATCTCCAATGCAGCATTGGGAGGATAGTGCACATGCGTAGAAAACCACAGCCCCTCCCCCCCCCAGAAGTGCCACTAGTGGCTGTCATATTGAAACCACATGTTTTAACAGATGTCACCAAAGGTTTGCAAATTTGTTATAAAGATTAATATTTTTAGAACGCCATGTATGCACCGTGTACCATATTTGTGGGAATATGTAACTTTCTGACCACAGGTATTTTGATTACAGAAATGTCACCTAAAAGATCACTGGTAGGAAAAACTCCCCTTTGAAACATTTCTCCCCCCCCCTCTTTTTTGTGTTTTACAAGTTTTAACTAACCATTAAAAAGTCCTTACTTTGCCAAGACTGAACACATGGTATCCCTATAATGTTTTTTTTTTTTTAAAACTGTTATCTGCCTTCTCCATGTATTTGTCTCAAGAATGGCAAATAAGGTCAGTAACAGAGTTCTGCACGCAATGTTCTTATAATCCACTGGTAGAACATTGCCTTGCTTGTTTTGTAATCTCTAATTCACTGCAGATGTGGCTCTAATGCTATGAAGATTCTGAGGATTAAAATGAAATATAAGCTATAGGAATATTTCTTGGCTAACTCGTTGCATAGCTGTCAAAATATGTAGACTTGTCTATGTATGACATGAGCATACGAGGAAGCACATTTTATTTACTTGATTCTCTGGAAAAAAATATATTTTTGGTCCACTTTACCAGAACTAGTTCTTTCATTTTGAAAATCACATAATGCCCAATATGCTAATTATATATGTAAATGTCCTCGCACTTACTTGAAAATGAGAGAAATCTCAGTGTAACCTTCCTGCTAAAATATTGTTATAAATACATACATAAATGAATGCTCTTTTTCTAGCAGGAAGAACACATAAATATAACACTAAATATAGTATTCTACAGAGAAGATATCCATTTTGGACATTGACAAAATGTATTTAATCTGCTCAACTAAAGAAAAAGAAAATGGTACACATTTTAGGCTTAAATAACTACCGTAAACTGGAAACATAACTGACTTGAACAATTTCTACAGTTGGTCTATTTGGCCTCAAAATTCACTTTCAATCTATTATAAATTCCTGACAATTCACACTATAATGAATAACCCTGTGATAATGATGATGAAGAATGTCTCAGCTGCGTTACATTGTATCTTGCAATTGATTGTCAATATTTCATGATTTTATTGCAGATTTGGCTATGATTACTCAACTCTTTGTTAATCAACTAAGGTTAAGTAATCTGGGTCTTTGCTTGTGTGTGTTTGTGTTATTGAAAATCTGTGATTATTTGTGTGTTGCTCACCCCTGTGGTGGTTGTAATACTTTTCAGAAATAGAGGTTTTCTGAAATGAATCTTTTCAGGACTATGCTGTTCAGTCCCAAGCCTGTAGTGACTTGATAGTTAGTTAATTAAAGGTACACACCCAGCCCCATAACAACTTGAGGTCCTTTAACAAATACACAAGTCTAATAAAGAGATTGTAAAAGTGGCATATACTGCATGTCATTTTATATGACATTGCCTACAGTCTTTAAGTAAAAATTTTTTATATTTACATTGTGTGCAGAAACTATTTCTGATGTCCATATAATCAAATAAGTATACATTTTGCATGTGTGCAACTGTATATGTATATCCAGTACGATGAGCGAATTGCACTTTGGCTGAGTAGAAGCAGAGTGCATGGATCCAGATTGTACTTAGTTTGCATATGTTCATGCTGCTGATATATTTTGCTTGGGTTCTGTGCTTTTTTTTTTATATATCTTTGAAAATAAAACTGCATTATTGATTAAGTTTTGAGTATGTGCTAAATAGTTTTTTTTCTCTCTCTACTTATTCTATTTGAAGGTAATCCCAGCTCGAGGCAAAGCATTGTTTACAGTCGTGTTCTTCCCAGAGGAGGAGGGAAATTTTGAAGGTTTTTTATTTCTGAATACTTCCTCCCATGGAGTCCTGCCCTATCAAGTAAGGTCACTATGCACAAATGTCTCATGTCTAGTAATGCATAGTAATTTCATTAAGTATGTGATACGAGGTAATCACCTGTCCTTTTTTTTTTTATATTGCAGGTCTTTGGGTTGGGAACCTCAAAGTCCGCATCTAATGATTCCAGGAATCCACTTCAGAATGTAGATGTGATATTCCCACTTATTGAAAATATTCATCTGTCACAATCACAGGTATGTAGTTTGTTCCACTGGGTAAAGAGTAGCGTTAAGTGAAGGCTCCAAGCACCATAACCACTACAAATTACATGGGTGCATTTCAGTTCATTCCTGTTATTTATTTATTTATTTATTTTCTCATCATGGTGGCTATAAAATGGCTTTCATGCTATCCCTAAATGCATTTCCTAAAAAAAAATATATATATATATATATATATATATATATATATATATATATATATATATATATATCTATATATATCTATATATATATATATATATATATATATATATATCCTCCCTCTCTCCCATTACTGGCTCAGAGCTCACATTGAATGCTTTGAGCTGTTTCGACGGTACAATCAAATGCTTTTTTATGAGAACGCAAGGGAGCAGTGGACACAGAAGAGTCGTGAAAACCAGCACTGGAGTTTAGGTAAGTTTATTGATTCTTATTAGGGTTAATTTTAACTATTAAGATGAGACATGACAAAAAAAATTAATGAAATGTTCGCTAAAAAAAGGCTTTTAGCAACCATTGAAGAGAGCCAAAAAGAGGGAGGAATAAGCAAGCATTCACAAACATACGTTTGAACTAATAATGTGTTTATATTTTTATTTAAAATATTAAAGTATATAATTATAATTCAAACAAATTAATGTGTGTATAATATATATGAAATAAAGGAATGAACACATTAAATTTGCAAGGAAGTATTGCCTGAATTCTTAAGACATTTTGCCCCCACTTAAATCTTTATCACAATCCAACCTACATATGGTGCTGATAATTATATATAAAGACAAATTAATTAATTACTCCGGATTTAAAAGAACACTCGGTTTTTTGTGCACAACTTTCTTCAGGAAATCTTCTATTTCTCTTTTTTCCCCTCTTTCAATCATGGACTGCATACAGGCAACCAAACTGATCATTTAAATGCATATGTGTATGTATATATTGAAATCTGCAATTCGCACTCCATGTAAAGCTCCTCTCCAGGAAGTGGTCTAGTTGTTCCGTGTATCCGTATTCTTCAATGCAATGCACAGAATTCGGAGTTTCAGTATTACATGTGTGAATGCTAAAAAGACATTATTTCATATTGAATTAATGTGTGTTAGTCACGGCCCTGCTTAAAAAGGGGCAGCCACTTTTTAATTTTATTTTTTATCTTTAAGTGTGCATCTTTTCTAAAGTTGTTGTTGTGTTTATGCTTGAACTCACGTGGCCAACTATCTGTACTTCATTGCATTGTAGCCACCGTCTATGGTCTATGGTTCTGCATTAAAGAACTTAGTGATTATATTTTTTTTTCAAGAGACCCTTATATATTTAACATATATAGTTATGCAGAAAGCTTTACAAGATACAAGTATCACTCATAGGTTGGGTAACAGACAGAGATATGTAGCATGACGTATTGCAACAAAAGGAGCCTGGAAACCTACCTTTGCATCTAAATGTAAAAGTGCTTTTAGTGTTTATATACAACATTTTATGTAAAAAAAAAAAAAACATGCACTTACAATCTAAAGTGACAATATGCATTGAAAGAAAATGTAGTGTAGGATAAAATACAGTTTATAACTGGAGGAGGAGTTGACTTGGTTATCTGGTAATAATGAAAGTAGGATGAAAGTAGGATGCCAGTATTCTGTGTGTTACATTGAATATTAAAATGATCTTTGATTGCTTTTCTACAACTTCCCTTAAAACAGTGCTGGTTATCTGGAATATTTTTGTTCAGCATCCTGTGCAGGCACTTGACATTTTCAGTTTGGGTTTTTCCCATGAGCCCAAATGCAGCCATGCATGACTGTGTGAACTCATGCTTAATAAGAGCGATTAAGAAAATTATTGCAGAGAAAATCAAGATCTTTGAGGAATTCGCTATATTATAGCATATATTATTGTTCCTGTTCTGAACATATAGGTTGAGGGTGTTTCCTTGTGGTTTAAAAACCGTAAATGACTGAGTAGATTGGTACTGTTCCTTTAAGTTATTTTTTATACAATTCATTGTATTCCAAATTTTTGGTCAGGAATGTTATGTTTGGCTGTTATCGTTTGCTACAATTAGTGTGATTTTATAGTTGGACCCGATACAGTGTAATCGGACCGTTTTAGTTTACTATCTGTGGTAGTGAGGCTATTTTTTGTGTGTCCGGAGGGATTCTGATAGCATAAGTATAGACGAGTCAGATTAAAAGTAATAGTTGCAGGGCTTCACTCGAAGTAAAACAGCCCAAACATGGGTATTAATTTCCCTGCCCTTTACTCTAGACAGGCATGAACTTATTCAAACTAGTAGTTTTAGACGTGTTCTACATTTAATTTTGGTCGTTTTGTGTCAAAATCTGCCATACAAAATTCAAGCTCATGTTCCACTTACTTCATAATACATGCCGTTAATGTAAAATACTACTTTAAAAGAATGCTAATTGTCCTTCTTTAGGTTTTGTCAAGGATATGATCCACCTTCTCTGCACTGGGTATTATCACAGGGTTAGCGAGCATTCGCATGCATGCTCATTAATTTCTCCTATAAGTCTATTGACAGGGGTTTTAAATTTACTTGAAATAATTGTTTGTGCAAAAGAATAGAACCTGCTGGCAGCCTCTGTTCACTTCTGTAAGAGTTGGGTTTTTTTTTTGGTTTTTTTTACTCAGTCACTGGATAAGCTTTTTTTTTTTTTTATATTTCATTGTAAGACACTGGTTAGGTGCTTGACATTCTGTCTAATCCTCATTTTTATTTTTGCATTAAACTCTAGCAACATACAAAATAAAATCACAATGATTAATAATTTGTGTGATTCTTTACCAGGATCATTTTGTTTATTTTTTTGTGTAATCCAACTGACCGGGTTGTCCCTTTAAACTTGCAACTTCTTTATTCTTTCGGACATACTCTGTAGGATGTAGATATCGCAGGTTGTGAAAGTGTACTCTTCATAGGACGCTGTTATAGAACTTGGCCTTATTTCACAAAGGATGTAAATCTATTAACCATAATTGCATCAATTCTGAAGCAATGTCAGTTTGAATTGACATGTTTCTATTATAACCAACAACCGGAGAATACAGTAACCATTGCAACAGCCTTGATCGTTAGAAATGTTGGTGTCAAAACACCAAAGATTGTAAAATAATCTAAAGTTTTTATAGATCACCTTGCCGGGGCTCATTTTTTTACGAAACTATTCACGGTATTCTTGCTGTGAGTACAAAGTGCTGCATTTGAATTAGGATTGTGACATTACTTGGTTAAAAAAGGTTTAATAAGGGCTCTCAAAGGAGGAAGAGAAAGTTAAAGAGCTCATGTTTACCAAATGCTTGTTGTTGTCATGCTTCTCTAATAATGTCTGATGGTGCTTCCAAGTAGGAATTTAACTTAAACATGCATCAAGCCCATCAATCTGAACACAGATAATGTACTCGTCTCTCTTTGTTAATCTTAAATGTTAGTTATTGCATAGTATGAGCTGGATAACTGATATATTCTATCCTAAACATGCATGAACCAGATGTTTTAAAGCATAAATACAACTTTTTTTTTTATTGTTTAAATGTGCACTTGTAGAAATAATTAAGATTACTTATAAAGGGTAGTTCTGGGGCAGAGTTCTAAGTCGAGCAATCGCCATAGAAACCAATGGAATGCTGCTGCTAATTAGAATTGTTTTTACTCCAGAACATCTGTGCAAATGAATCATTACTACTACAGTGGTTTATGTGCGTATGTAAGTGGGGCTGCTTTGTTTACCAAAATTTGTTTTATTTTTATATTCTATGGATGATATATTTGGATGATACTAATTATAGTGAGCGATCTATACATGTTGAAAGAGACCAATGATTTAATAGCGCAGTTTACAAACACAACCAACCATATTTTTCATGTTTTTTTGTTTTAAATTTTATTATTCCGGTTTTGTTTCATAGAAAATGTTGTTATATAATTGAAGGTCCTGCAGTTATACTTATACAGGTTGAAGTGATATTCAAAATAAACAGTCTATCACAGTGTCTGCACATGAATTTAACATTTTAATTGCAATGTCTACATCAATCATGTAAATAAGGATGATCTCCGATTGCTTGGCCCACTAAACTACACAGCCTATCCTTTACCTTCTTGATTGTATTATTTCCTATCTAAGTCTTCTGGAGGCTGTGGACTCAAGGAAATTCAAGGGGATGCCTTGGCCCCCCACATGGATTTTACCATGAATTTGCATTGACAGCGATTCTCTTGATCCATCTTTCTGATCTTTTCTCATTGTTTGTGTTGCATGTAGGCAGAAGCCATAAATTCTAGTGTGTGGCAAGTCCGGTTAAAATGCAGCGTTCCTTTTAAAAAGCATCAGCCGTGTAAGGTATGTGGCAACTACCCGGGGGGGACAAGCAATTCCATCCAGTTCTTGCTAGGATTTATGTTGTAACATTTGTCTTTCCCTCTAAACTCACAGAGCTGCTTTCTGTCTGGACCCACACTGCTGCTGCAGATCTATTTTGCTGTCAGGCTGGATGGCAGCCAACAGGACTTAGAGACTCTCAGGAAGTACATACTAGAGAATATTTTTATGATCTTTGTTACAGCTGACCAAGTTGGAGACATCAGTGAGTAATGGACAGAGGGCTAATGGAGGTGTAAAATGCTGGTTTTATTGGTTTAGACTATGGGCTCTTTATTAAAGATCATTTCCTTGTTTAATAAATAATGGTTTCTCTCTTCTTCTTTTTTACTTTTTTTTTACACAGATGAGTCCTTAATGAGCATATATGTTTTGAATTCTGGGAATGGTCTGGTTCATATGCAGGTAACTAAACACCTATGTCACTTGTGTGCTGCCGCTGATATCATTTAGAGTGATAGTGTGTTTATCCTTCTATTGTATTTGCCGTCTATGCCTAAAGTACGCAAAAAAATAAATATATAAAAAATAAAATAAAAATGATCATGCTGAGGACATGTACTAAAAGGCTTGCTTTGCTTATCAGGCAATCAAGTAGTATATGTCTGTTACTCATGATGGACAGAGCCTCTTGTTGCTACTGTAGTAAAAGATCGTCTTTTTTTTTTTCTTTTTTCAAAGTGGATGCAGGGAACCTAATTAGTGACCTGTCTGTGTGTTCTATATTCATATACTTAAAGGGATACTTTACGCACCATAACAATTACAGTGCTCTGTAGTGGTAATGAAGTCCCTTGGTGCTACGCAACAATAAACCGTCAGTGTAAGCACCATTTTACACTTAACCTGTCTGTGTTGGGTGCCTGTACTGCTTCCAGTTTGTGTTAATTAGGGAAATCATACTTCTGCATTATCATACCACCGCATACCAAGCTTCAACATTATTCATTCCCTGAGAGTGTTTGCTAACTTTCAGTCAATGAATAATGTCCCTACTTGGGTTGGCGTGAGAATGCAGAATTCAGAAACTTTTGTTTTACCATAACAACTCAGAAGCTTAACAATCGATAAATAGTTTTTAAACAGTTTGACAGTTTAGCGTTGGTTTGGTGCCAGTTTTCTAAAACTAGTGGTGACACACAGGAATAAAAAGTTCATACAGTAAAATAATTCTAGTGATTTACATGGAAAGAGGCAAATACTTTTTTGGATCTACACTTGAATTATTGTCTTAGTGTTTGGTGCATTTGTTTTCATTATCGCGTCGTTGACTGCTCAGCTTTTGTCTCTACTGGTTAAAAAACCCAAACTTTTAATAAGGTTTTGAACGATGCCAGTAGAATATTGCATTCTATGACACAATAAAAAAAAAATCTGATTCAAAAATTATTTTAAAGACACTGAAATGTTAAATAATTTTTTGCCACAATGTATAAAAACTGTTTTGACTTTTTAAAAGTTTTCATTCTGTGATCAGTCTATTTCTGCTTTGTTAGCAGACATCACTCTGCTATTCTGTCACACTTAATTATAACAACTTAGAAATGAGTCCTTGAGCAGGTTTAGGTGCAGCAACCTTTGTGACCTTCCAATTTTTGCCACATACGTTTGTTTTAACTATTGAGTGGATAAGGACTTTTCATTGTTATTTATTGGGATTTGTGGAGAATTGCTGAGGATATTGCACATTTTAGGCCAAATTCACTGAACTGGAAGAAAAAATTCCAACTCTTCTAGCTCTGCTCTTTTGGTGTAAATGTTATAGTGCCCGTGTGAGTTCTCAACAAATCTCAGTCTAGCGAATAAGCTAAATGTTGGTTATAGTTGTTTCTGTGGATTTCATGTAGCAATTTAATGAAGAAACGAAGTAGGCTTGCTAAAAATATATATACATTTTTTTCCCCTTTCATTCTCCCTTTTCCCAATTCCCTGTCTCCCATTTGACCATTCTCTCCAGCATAATAAAAGCATTACTTAATTTCCATGTACATTGGGAAGTAAGTTTCCTCTTCACACTTTGCCCTCACCCCTCCACATGTAGAAATCTGAGTGTAAACATAGGATGTATGTTACTTTTATGGTCGTTGGTTAATCATGTTGTCCCCTCTTGTTTTCTTTTCTTTTTTTTTTGCAGGATATTCATCATTTTCTTGGAGATAGTTTGTCAGTCCATTTTGAACCTGTAATGCTTCTGAGCTCTTCCATTAACTTCACTAAAGCTGCCACCATTATGTGTTCCGGTCAGTCAATAATGTTTTTCTGAGTGATTTGCTTCTGGCTATGTGGGAGGTAAACAAAATTGCAAATGCAAAAATGCATAATTTAATGTTTTAATATGCAAGCATTGTATGCACGCATCCCCTTTGTGCAGTTTAATCTCTGGCAGATCTGGGGTATACAAGTCCCAGCCTGCCTTAGATTATTGAGATTTACATTGTTGAGCAGAACTAGCCACAATTTTAACTGCAACTTTGTAAACACAATTTAGTTTTTTGTAAATTTAAAAACAATCATACGACCTTGGGCTGTAACTCCTATTAATCTTAGGCAATGCATCTCCGTTTGTTTGCAAGTGCCTGTATGCATTTCTAGCTTAGAAATAAGCTGTTGGTTAATCATGGTGGTATATAGAATGAACTTGTTTAGAAGTCCCCTGTGATTTTGCTTTGTGTTGGAATGTACACTGAAGTGGTTATTAGCTCACATAGCAATGACTGTCTGCTCTTTAGCAAAATAAACTTGTTTTACAAGAGACTTATAAATGCTGTTTTAAAAATGGGTTATTTCTGTCCCGTGGTTTAGCTACTGCGCGAGACTCTGCATTTGACTGTTCAGAAGAAAAAAAGATGAACCTGGTGGAAGCTGCTTCTCCTCCATACTTGTGTATTTCTCCCAATTTAACAGAGGGGTATGATATTCACTTTTACTCACCATCCTGTGTCTGTGTGTTTAAATCTGTGTGCTGCTTGTTTACTGTAGTAAGGTCCAAAAAAATTTGCTCTTTTTGCAGATATCTGAAACTTGATACTTCCAAGGTGGTTTTTTATATGCAGCCGCTCCAAGACCCTGTTGGCTTATATTCGATTTGGTTAGAAAATAGCCTACGTTTTCCTATTGCTGTCACAGAAGTTCTCATCGCCGAAGAAGCAAAGAGTTTCTTTAAGGTAGGGTGTGCTCGTTATCTCAAGGAGCCGAAGGAGAATTTGTATTTTTTTCAGATTAATACTGTACATTAAACAATCTCATTTTTACATTAGATGGCAGCCAACTTAACAAGCAGGTACAATTTAAGGTATAATATTTTCAGACACACGTTTAAATGATGCTCCTTCTGATGTATGTATGTGTGGGATTTATATACTGTCATTTTAAAAGACAACAAAACTATATTGCAAAGAGCAGGGCTCTATGCTTCTAGACAGACCTAAAAGTTACTCTCCACTGCCAGCCTAGAGAGATCATGGCACACTGAGCAGGACTGAATGTCTTCTCACCGGGGCTGAATTTCCACTGTCCACTTGTGAGTGGAAATTCTGAGCACTGACAGAGAATTGTATACCTGCTCAGATGTGGATATGCAGTGATGTTAAAGAACTTACTTTGCAAGTTGTTATTAATGAAGTGAAGTGATAATTGCACGTTAACAAGAAATTTAAAAACTTGTATTTAGGTCATATTAGTTTAGTAGTGAGTTACTGAAATAGTGAGTCAATCGTAAACTTCAGAACTGCACAGGATTTTCATAAATGACAACTATTTAGCTCCATGTGACCAATAAACCGTAATATGTTCTTGTAGCGTGCAAATTTGTCCACATGATATTTACACTTAATGTGCACTTTTTTTATTCATGACATATCACAGCTACATCTCCCTGATGTTTGACGGTTAAAACAAAAATAATTGAAATTAGATGTAAAGTTCATTACACCGTTATTTTCACTCACCTTTCGTAGTTATTTTCTTGAATTGCTGCTGAATACTGTATAGACTGTGATTATTATGCATGATGCACAATGACTTGAGGTTTTATCAAGGTAATAGGTAGGCAAACATTCCGCTTTATTAAGGCAGAACCTGCCATTACATATTATGGTGCTAAAATGGGGTCCTCTTGCAGAGACGTCCTAATTCATCAATAATGGTGCAGCATGGGATAGCTCTATTTCCAGCTAATGCCACCATCTGCTTTCTGTTAGTGAAGACTCATTTCTCACGCTCCTAAAATATAACACATTGGTGATAAACAGATGGACCTCTATGGAGTGGGAACAGAAGTTAGAAAGTCTCCCAAGTAACACATGACGCTGTGCACATCACCCAGTCTTATCTCCTAAATAGGATTGGGAGCATTTCCATTCTTAATGGTTTTGGGATTTATCATTGTTAATAATGTTTATTATGAAGTAACAAGCTGACATTTTTACAAAATCGTTTTATTTCTGCCATTTTATTTGTGCCATCTCTTTATTAAGCAACTCTTGGCTATGCATCCATTATGAAAATATATTTTTCCACACATTTCCTTTCGGAAGTAATACCAAATCAGAAAAGTGAGTGGCTGTTGGTCTGAGTTGGAGATTAGTGTGTATGCTTGTGTGGTGTGTGTGTGTGTGTGTGTATATATGTGTGTGTGTGTGTGTGTGTGTGTGTGTATATATATATATCTATATCTCTTTCTCGCTCTCGCTCTCGCTATCTATATATATATATATATATATATATATATATATATATATATATATATATATATATATATATATATATATATATATATATATATATCTATATCATTCAAACAGTATGCAGTGATGTATTTATTATTGGAATAACATAGAATTTAGAAGAAAAAAATTCAAGATTTTCTCTCTTCCTCCATTCTGAAGAAATACTGATCAATATGGTAGTGTTAGTTTAACTTAAAACATCTGACATTGTTAGAGAAGGGGGATGTGATGAGTGGGGAGCCAAACGGTTGAATATGAGTGTGTGAAAGGTGCAAAACAAGAAAATAGAATGGAGACAGTAAACCTATAACATAAGCACATACTGTTCTCTTACAGCTAATTTCTATATTTCTAATTTCTAGATATAGAGATATCGATATCAAAAATTAACTGCACTCCACGATATGAAAAAGTACTCTGCCTGGTACTGATCCGCAAAAAATATATAAGTAATCTTAAATGGTAGCACTCCAAGGACTTCATATATAAAACCTAGCTTTTATTTAGCTTTTGCAGATTAAAAATTGTTGGCGTTTTAGTTTACATATGAAACTTTCATCAGTATATATATCTATAATGTGTATATGCATGTATGTGTATAATATATACATACACACACACACAAACATACATACATTATATATGTCTGTGAATAAAGTCCTTGGAGTGCTACAATTTAAGATTACTTATATATTTTTTGGCGGATCAGTACCAGGCAGAGTACTTTTCATATCGTGAAGTGCAGTTAATTTTTTATATCGATATTTCTATATCTAGAAATTTTGAGTGTGAGTGTGTCTCTCTCTACACGTGCGCACACACACATAAAAATAAGAGACAAGGGACCATGATAAAGCTCTGGTGACCAGGCATGAAATACCACATTTATTTTGGTAAATGTAGTTGTTAGAAGTGAAATGTGATCATTAAACATTTTAGGTCATTTAACACAAACTGCAAAGTTATAACTAAAAGGATATGCTACCTAAACTACATTCAAATTTAATTCCTTCAAACCCTTACCTGCAGTTCTCTTGAATTTTCTGATATTTTTCATAAAGTTCTGATCCTAACTCATAATCTATACTCCAAGCAGGCATTCCCAATTAAAATTATTTTTGTCAGCATAGCATGTCTTCTAATGAAAATAAGAATTACCTCAGTTTAGGATTTATAAATCTATAATATTTCCATTTTAAATGACTACTATAGGCACCCAGACCGCTTCACCTCAATGAAGTGGTCTGGGTGCCAAGTCCATCTAGTTTTATCCCTGCAGCTGTAAACATAGCAGTTTCAGAGAATGAGCTATGAGGGTTAATCCAGCCTCTAGTGGCTGAAAACCACAGTGAGAAGACGCTGACGTCCGTAGGAAAACATTGAGTAATGGTTTGAATGCGCATTCGGAGCTGACGTCGGCAGAGGGAGGAACGTTGCCCAGCGCCAAGGGAGCCCGGCCCTGGAGAAAGTTAAGTGGCTGAAGGGGTATTAACCCCTTCAGCCCAGCGGGAGGGGGGCCATCGCGGGGGGACCTAAGGACTACATAGTGCCAGAAAAAAAACGAGTTTTCCTGGCACTATAGTGGTCCTTTAATTCATATTTTATAGTTTTAACAGTTTTATTTCCTAGATTATATTATATAAGAATTGTGGAAGCGGTCTCTAGTGGCTGTCAATGAGAGGCTGGATTAACCCTAGTGTAAATATAGCGGTTTCTCTGAAACTGCTGTTTTCAGCTGCAGTGTTAAAACTAGTGGGACCTGGCACCCAGACCACTTCGTTGAGCTGAAGTGGTCGAGGTGCCTATAGTGGTCCTTTAAATATTTGACACACTTGACTATACAGTGTTGTATATTTCTAATTTCTGCCCAAGTACTACAAGTGTTGTGCTGACATCTGCTGGTGAATAAGTATACTGTAACTTAGTCTTTGTTTTGGCATACTTGCTACCATAATGTTTAATACTAATATTAGAGTCTAAATATATTTAGCTATAGCCCCAAAGAAGATATGCAAGTAATTTGTTTTGCATGTTTTCTTTGAGGGTTTGTGAAATATTGGATTTTAATAGATGCAGATCCAAAATATGCAGCTACTGCAGGCCCCTCCTTCTCAAGTTCATATGTTTTGTGGCTGTCCAATCACAAACTTTCCAATGCAAGTCAATCTCGAAGTCTTTGCAAGGCATGTTGAAGTTTTTTGTGTTTGAAATTTGTCTTCTTGTAGGATTACTTGTATATCACACAATTTAACTTTTTTACTTGCATATTTGGAAGACATTTGAAAACAGCAGTCACTCGTGATGATTATACTTCCATAATAAAGATTCTTTAGGGCCGCACCATTCCTGTGAAATACCAATCCCTCCTCCATTAGAGACTCACTAGTCAGAAAGCTTCCCTCCCTCTCCCCACATTTCACTAACCACTTCTCTTCCTTGTCCTCCATCTGCACGCCTAGCTTGTCTTGTTGCAAGTATTTGTTTGTTAGTCTGTCTATGAGACAGTGCTGCACAATGTGTGGGAGCTTCATAATTCACAATGCTTATAATACTTGAGGGGGGTTTGCATTTTTTGCAAACACTTCTCAAAGTATCAGATATAATAAAGTCCAGAAGAGACCTCTAGAAGATCACACAAGATCCTTCATAGAGGAAATGGCATTGAGATGAGATGCATTGCACATATATAGATCTGTTATTGGGTAAATCTAATCAAAGGAAGCTTATTAAAGATGATCTCCTAAATCACTGTATTATCTTGTATCTTTAGATCCTTAACTTTTCCCATCTTGCAAAGTTGCCCCCTGGCTGCTGGGATGTGTTTACATTGAAGATCCAAGCCAAAGACACCCGATTCAATTATCTGACTAAAATAAGGATCGCAACCTCTATAGGTGTCACATTCGAGGTTCCAATCCACATTCAGTCTGTGCTATCTGAGGTACGGTTAGTGGAAGCTTGCATAATGAATTTATGTCCATATCATCTTGTTTTTGTCTAAAGATATAGAGCAATTATATGCACAACAAATGTAGAATTACAAGCCTGCATCTGTGTTTTATTTTTATTTTTTTTGGGACTATAGATAACTCTTAATGAAGTAAACTACATAACTGAAAGTATCCTATGTAATTTTTATGCCTTTTATATCTCTTCTTTTTAGCCAGGGAACATACCTCTTAGGTTTCACACACAATGCGGATTGCACCCTATAATCAAGAACCTTGGCGCAGGTAATTATATTATTATTATTCTGTGGATGTGCATAAACTAGCTATATAATTTAAATAATTGATCTATGCCAATGAGTGACAGAGAGCAGGAGAACCATTCTACAGGTCATTTTCCTGCTCTCCATCACAAAGTCTGTTCTAAAGAATATGTTCTAAAATTTACTCCATAAGCTCTCTGAATGTACTCTTTTAATGATGCAATGGATAATAATTAAAATGCTTGCATGACATTAAATTTAGTTCCAATCTCAAATTGGCTTCTGTGGCCTTGAGGGGAAAAAAAAAATTGTAAATTGTAAAAATGTTATTTTGCAAGATTTGTAATGGAAGCATATTTTTTAATCATTTAGACTTTACTTTTATCATACTTTTGAAATGTTGCATATTTTCTTTGAGATAATTAAAATAGAAATATTATAGTTTTTTTAAATCCTAAACTGATGTAATTCTTATTTTCATTAGAAGACATGTTACGCTGGCAACAATCATTTTCATTGGGAATGTCTGCTTGGAGTATAGATTATGAGTTGGGATCAGAACTTTATGAAAAATATCAGAAAATTCAAGATGGAGAGAACGGCAGGTAAGGGTCTGAAGGAATTAAATTTGAATGTAGTTTAGGTAGCATATCCTTTTAGTTATAACTTTGTAGTTTGTGTTAAATGATTTCATTTCTATCAACTACATTTACCAAAATAAATGTGGTATTTCATTCCCGGTCACCATAGCTTTATCATGATCCCTTGAGAGGCTTGCCTCTTATTTTTAGAAATATCTGTGCTATAGCAGGTAGTTTGCACTGGAGCCTCTAACTTTGTGCCACTCCCCTGGAATGTTTTATTATTGGATGTATGCTTTATTTTTATGTTTTATTTATATTTTTTTATCTTCACTTCACAGAAAGAAAAGTTTGGAGAGTATTAATTCTCCCCAGCAAAAGAGAGACACTTATAGACCCTTCATGCTTCTTCCCCAGTTGATTTCTGAACCTGGTCTTGTGGTGACGTTTACAGCAACTGCACTAAATAACAATTCGGTAATAGGGCAAACCATTACGGCTTCTTATCACGAGTTACAACCAGGAGTTGATTTCTACGACGGAAACCTAGACTCTATTTCTAGCACAAACATTTTATGAACAGATTGTAAATAGTTTTATCAAGTACCATCTAATTTACTTATTCTGAGAAGGTGCAGTTCAACTATTTTATGTATGAATTAGTGTTTTTACAATATTCTACCTTGTATATTTTGCATGCACATCCTCACTCCTGTATTATACATGGATGTGTTTGGACTTGTTATTAAGTATTCTGAATTTTTGTCTTTTTTTTTTTTTTTTTTGAAGCAGGTTGCTTGTATTTGTTCTTACTGCACTGTGAGCTGCATAATGTTTTAGATCAGGATTGGAAGCCGTATGATATTGAGGCTTCTAATGCTGAAATGTATCTGATTCACTCTGTGGTCATCAACCAAAACATTTACGTATAGAGCTTGACTATTTAAATACATTGCCAAAAGTCCTTAAATTCTGTCAGGAAAAAGAATCACTAACTTGGACAGACCTGATGTAAATGTTTATTTTATGATTTTCCCTCTTTATCTGAATTTGTTTTCCAGGTCGATTATGTGACACTAAAGAACCCTTCTCCCTTCTCTGTGACTGTACAGCTTCTACCTCTATCCCAGTATCCCAATCCTCAAGCTGTGTTGGGTCTGCTTAACAAATGGTATGAATATCAGTCATTCTAACTCCTGTCAGGAGTACCATTGGTACTGCTTTCACCAAAAGAAAATATGCTATTGTTGCCACTGAAGGGTGAACATCACTATGGAAGCTAATCTAAGATATTTACTTTGGCAACGTGTCTCTCTGCTGGATTTCTATGTACTTCACGCATAACAATTTGTTGGTTTTTTTTTTTTCCTGTGGATTTTTAAAGAATTGTTTCTGCATTGTAATAATCTAAAATGAAGATATCCAGCTGAGAGCCAGGTTGCCAATGTAAATATTACAGATTAGCATCAGTATTGGTACTCCCTTTCCAATGAAAACAATGCTACATTTTCTTTTGTTGCAAATAACCGCTAGTCTAAATTTACTTTTGAACCACAGGAAAAGGACCACGTTTCAGTTGTGCATTAACATTTGCATTAGATGGCAACGTTAACCTGAAGACTAAACAAAGAACCAAAAGTCTCTCTGACGTTTTTTTTTTTGTATATGTGTAAATGAAGCTCATAGTTGAGTTTATATAAATTACAATTCTGTTTATTTTAAATGTTCCTATGGTTCTTCTGATCACACACAGTCTAGCACCTGCAAATTCAAAACTACTAGGCTGATGTGAAATGTTGTTTCAAGGCCATTTAAAGTTGTGCTGTTAGTTTTACCATTTCATAATTTTGTTTATTTTGCGTTACCCATAGAATGAACTATTGCTAGTTTAGCTGTAAATACCACTTACCATCATCCAGTGGCGTACACATGACCCATGGGGCCCCGGTGCGAAAATTGATCCGCGGGCCTCCCCCCGCGCGGGCCGGGCCGCAACACATGGCGGTGGGCACCTGGTCGCAGGGGTTACAGGGCTGCGACCCCTGCGACCGCGGTATGTACGCCAGTGCATGCAGATGCACACACACTTAAAGGACCACTCTAGGCACCCAGACCACTTCAGCTTAATGAAGTGGTCTGGGTGCCAGGTCGAGCTAGGGTTAACCCATTTTTTCATAAACATAGCAGTTTCAGAGAAACTGCTGTGTTTATGAATGGGTTAAGCCTTCCCCTATTTCCTCTAGTGGCTGTCCCATTGACAGCCGCTAGAGGCGCTTGCGTGCTTCTCACTGTGATTTTCACAGTGAGAGCACGCCAGCGTCCATAGGAAAGCATTATGAATGCTTTCCTATGTGACCGGCTGAATGCGTGCACAGCTCTTGCGGTCGCATTCGGAGCTGAGAGGCTGAGGGATCCTCAGCGCCAAGGGAGTCCGGCGCTGGAGAAAGGTAAGTGCTGAAGACACACACACACACTTAGTCGCATACACACTAGCTAACAGACACACACATTTACTGACAGAGACACAGTCAGCGACAGACATACATACACACTCACTTACAAAACATACACTCTCATTGACAAACACACACACTCACTAACAGACATCAAACAGACTCACTAACACACACACACCTCAGTAAGACACACATACAGTAACACGCCACTGAGCACTCACTAGCATGACACACACACACTAATACACTAACACTCACTCTAACACTCACTCTAACACTCACTCTAACACTCACTCTAACACTCACTCTAACACTCACTCTAACACTCACTCTAACACTCACTCTAACACCACCTAACACTCACTCTAACACTCACTCTAACACTCACTCTAACACTCACTCTAACACCTACTCTAACACTCACTCTAACACTCACTCTAACACTCACTCTAACACTCACTCTACTCACTAACACTCTAACACTCACTCTAACACTCACTCCTCCTAACACACCTACACCTCACTCACACTCACTCTACACTCTCCCACACTCACACTCACTCTACACACTCACTCACTCCTCACACTCACACACACTCACACTCACTCTCACACTCACACACACTCACACTCACACTCACTCTAACACTCACACACACTAACACTCACTCTAACACTCACTCTAACACTCACACTAACACTCACACTCACTCTAACACATGATTTTTTTTTTTTTTTAATATAATCCCCCCAGCCTCCTTACCTCTTGGGATTATTCCCTGGGGTCCAGTGGGGCTCCTGGGCGGGTAGCCGGTCGGGCAGGCAGGCGGGCGCGCGAGGGAGCACTCAGTGCTTCCTCTTCAGCTCCCTCGCGCGCCGCGTAGGGATGCCGGCGCCGGAAGATGACGTCATCTTCCGGCTCCGGTATCATTGCGGTGCGCGAGGGAGCTGAAGAGGAAGCACTGAGTGCTCCCTCGCGCGCCCGCCTGCCTGCCCGACCGGCCACCCGGGGTCAGCAGGGCCAGCCTCAGGGGGGCCCTTGGGTGGTCGGCTCCTGGGCCCCCCAGGGGAAGAGGCTGGCCCTGTGGGTACATACCGTGTCGCAGGGGCGGCCGGGCTCGGTCGCAGTCGCGACCCCTGCGACCCTGGTATGTACGCCAGTGCCATCATCTCACAATTTGTTTCTGTTATCTTTGAATTGCATCCAAATTTTTAACTCTTCTGTGATCGATATTGTGTGCATACAATGTAATGTTGGCAGAAAAAAGACCAAACACTGACAAAACAGACTTAAAATTTATTTTTAAAATATCAACACAATGCAGTAGCTTTTAATTTATTAAATATTGCTGCATAATCGGGTTCTAATGCAACAAATATATGTCTTGGATTGTCTTTTTATGGAAATGGATGCTCTGTTTAACATCTTGAACCAATCACCTCCTCAAGGGTGTGGGTTCTAATAAGCACCATTGAAGAGTGGAGGCGAACTTCTTATAACAATATGGAAATTTGCAATAGTTTAAATCCGGACATTAAATGAAATTAGATTTGCAGAACTCTGGCTAAAATAACCACTTTGACTATAGCTGAGTTGGAGAATTTTTCCAGATCTGTTATTTTAGCCTTTGTTTTGCTATTCTGATTTAATTCACTATAATTCTGAATTTAGTGAAAAGGCCCGTTTGCATTTAATGTAAAAATATATTATTGTGTCAGGTGGTAGAATCAAATCATGTAGACTAGATTTGTGCAGAATTACATCTTATTTTATTTTGTTATTGTATTTTAAAAGAAAAATAGATTTGTGTTGGTTAGAATATTTAAATTCCCATGTGTTTATTTGCAGGTATGGTGTAATTGAGCAGTCTATGGATGTCACGACCGCTGAATTCCGCCTCCAGAATGAATGCAAACAAATGGTACGAGTTGTTTGCATTTGTCCTTCTCCCCAAAATGTGATCTCAATTATGGTGTCTTCATCCCTTTACATTCGGAAGGTTACTGTATTTTATGTGTTTAGAAATTACAAAAATAACTCTAAAGTGAAAACGCGATGGTGCGTGACCTATTTTGTGATGCCAAGGAGCAAATTACTCTCATACATTAACTTGTCAAGAGTGGAAGGCGTACAGGTCCTCCCACAAGTGCACATTTTTTATTGGTTTTGTGTGCGTAAACAATGGAATCTTGGTTTTACAGTGCAATATTCAATTGCATGTAATTTTACTTTATGAGGGAAAGGCTGACAATGATGACCTAAAAGTGTAGTAACAGAATCAACTTTGTTAACCCTTTTGTTAACAAATTGTGCATAGAGTTGATCTAATTCAATGTAAGCTAAAATAAAAATATATATTTTTTAATGATTTTGAACTAAATGTTAGAAATGTACAGGCCAGACTTATTTTTCATGGCTTCCTGTAAATCTTCTACAATAGCCATTTGGTTATAAGTGATGTCTTTTATCCTGCGTATATAACAGCTTGGTGCTGTATATTACAGTATTATTTAATGTTACAGCAAGACGAATTGAAGGAGTGCACCTTTGAAGTTCTTGAATTACAGTTGCAGCCTTGGGAAAGTCGGAGAGTTGGAATAGTCTTTACACCTTTGGACTATAAAAAAGTCACTTCACTTATAGTAATCAGGTAAGTCTAGTTGCAGGAATAAATGCTTTCACGCTGGTAGTTACTATCGATTCTAGTTTTCACTGGGGTGGAATAGTAACACAATGAAGCACACAGTGGAGATGGAAATGTTGTATAATGACCATGTGACTATTTCTAGTAGATTTGCTGCAGTAGAATGAAACTTGCACCAGGAACATTTAGAGTCTGTACAAATAGGCAGTGATGGAGTCTTTAGCAGTATAAAGACCCACACTGAGGGTTAGTGCGTTAAGGTGCAGTCAACAACATGCTGGGGTGCCTAAATCCTCAAACAGCAAACCGGTTCCCTGCAGTAAGATGTCAGAGGAGCAAAGAGCGACTGATGGCACTCTTAATTGAAGCAAGTTAAGAACGCACTTGGCAAAGCTACTCCATATACATCGTTCAAATATTTACTGCTTAAACATCCTCAAAATATTTTCTCATAGGAAAGCATTGGGAGGCTATTGCACATGTGGCGAAAAGCCACGCTAAGCCAATAAGATTCTCCTCATAGAGATGCATTGAATCAATACCATTTTATGAGGAACAGTCAGTGCCTCCATGCAGAGCATAAACACACTAAAACACAGTGCTGCACGTTGTTCAGCAGTGACCCAGGAAGCACCCCTAGTGGCTGTCTGGGTGATGGTATGCAGTGATGTAAAACACTGGCTTTTCTCTGAAAAGGCAATTTTAGTATTAAAAAGCCTGCAGGGACTGACTATACACAACAGAACAACTACATTAATCTGTAGTTGTTCTGGTGACTAAGGTTTCCCTTTAGTTCACTATGAACTTTCTTTGAATTGTATTCAACTTAGTTACCTCCCAGTGAGTTATTCCTGCTGCCATGTATTCTTATAGAGAGTCTAAATCCATCATCCCGATGGGAGTTTATTAAACATCTATCAGACCAATGAAGTTATAGTTCATGTAATTTTTTTTTGCAGGAACAATTTGACCATATTGGATATGATCACTGTGGAGGGTATTGGTGCCAGAGAAATGCTGCGTGTAGGGGGAAGACTGCCCGGTATAGGAGGATCTTTAAGATTCAAGGTTCCAGAGTCCACTTTGATGGACTGCAGACAACGTGAGTGCCACACCATATGGAGTAAATCCTACTTTACATTCACTGAGCTGCCAGGTGACCAAGCTCGTGTTACTTTGTAATTCTACCAAAAGAGAGCTTGACTTTTCAAGTTCTGATATGAAGTATGTATGTTACGAGTTGTAACTTTTTCAGGTTACATTGACCATAAGCAGATCCGTCTCTTCTTTGGAAGTAAAAATCATATCCTCATCCTACTTATTGCGATTTGCAGTGCAGCAGAAGTGTGGGACACACCTACCTTAATGCCACTTTCATGTCCGAAGTGATGGCTTCACCCCACAATGATCAATCATTCCTTCAGTAGTGCTGTACCCGTGTTCATTTTGGCGGCAAATTTCGATTTAGTTTTAGTCAGTCTTTTGAGTAAAGAGCCATTTTAGTCATCTGAATTGTTTTAATTTTAGTCTAGTATTAGTTGATTAAATCTGCAGTAGATTTTAATCGACATGACTAAAATCTAATGGGTTTAGTTAAAGACTCTATCTGTGTCTTTTGCCCCTATCCCAGCACCCCATGTGTCTCATTTCCTCTCCTCCCTCCCCCATTTCTCTTACCTGACAGTGTTAATTTTGGCGGCAAATTTCAGTTTAGTTTTAGTCATAGTCTTCTGACTGAAAAGCCATTTCAGCTTTAGTTGACAAAATTAACACTGTGCTGTATGTGCTCATGGCACTCTAGGTGTCAGATCCCTTTATATTGTTTTCTTTGTCTGTAACACGACAGCCAGGTATACAATGTAAATAATAATTTTTTAAAATAAGTTATGCGACCCATTGCTAGCTTTTAGTAAACTGTTGGAATGTAAACAAATTTTAGATGTGGCAGTTTCACTTTGTCTCTTTAGTGGCCTCATTCACCACATTTTAATGTTAATTTAAGACATTTTGAAATCCGTACAAATCTGCTTTTGTCACTGAACAGTTCTTACATTTGTTACAAATTACAACCGAAGTTGTCCGACTGCCAAGTGAACGTGTAAACAAATTTGTTGCTCCTGAACAACAATTTCTACTTGTTTTTATTTTGTTTATATATCTACGTTATCCAAGATATCGGCATGCTCACCAGTAAGACATTCCCTTATGTTCTTTGTATTTATTGCAACCTTGGCTTAGCTCAATGTAAATATTAACTATTGTGATCAGCCAAAATGAACCATCAAGACTTGTCCCAATACTGTGTTTTTATTTTTTTTACATTGCAGAGCTTAAAGAAGGCAGGCAAATATTGTCAATCACAAAAAACTTCAAGGTTGAAAATATTGGATCCCTGCCCATAACCATTCAGTCTATGAAGATAAATGGATACAACTGTCAGGGATTTGGATTTGAAGTTCTAGATTGTAGCACATTCACGCTCAACCAAAATACTTCACAGGAATTAAGTATTGTGTGAGTATTACTTTGGCCCTTTGCCTACTACTTAAACACGATACTAAAATGTTTGTCTGTATCCTACTGAGCCTATGTTGATAATGGACAACTCTATTGGTGTCAACAGCTATCTCCATGCTCACATGCAATACATTAATATATTGTTTGTTGCTCACTAAATGTTCAGCCCCGATGGAATGACCTCGCCTTTTAAATTGATAATTTCTTGTTGAATACTAGCCTTTGTCAAGGAGAACTGTTGGTTGCTATATCCGCTATGAGGTTACATGTAAGAACTAGTGCATTGATATTAAAAATATATAGTCAGGAGCATCAATGTACTTTGGTGTTATCCAGGCTTAGGCGTTTTAGGTCAATCTTGTATTTGCTCAATAAGCAATATTTCAAGAGAAGTTCATCGGCTAGAAAGACAACCTGCACTGTAGTGTAAATCAGGCAACCGCAAATGTGAATTCACAAAGGCTGATAGATTAAAAACTATTAACTGAGACTCGTAGGGTACATTATCCCACTAATACAACTTCTTCCCGAGTTGTAAATAGATTTATGTAGCGCAGGCTGCAGTGCAGGCAATGTTTGTGTTTCAGAGTCTCTTACTTTAGATTTACATAACTAATTGTGTGAAATGCCCTCTTTGCTTTTTTGTATAGGTTCATTCCAGACTTCACATCATCATGGGTAATCCGTGAGTTGACTCTTGTGAGTGCTTCCAATCTAGAGTTCCGCTTTACTCTCAATGTGACTCTTCCCCATCATTTGTTACCTCTGTGCGCAGACGGAGTGCCGGGACCAAGCTGGGAAGAGTCTTTCTGGAAACTCACTGTTCTTTTTGTCAGGTAAGTGGAGTCCTCTTCAGTGCATGCTGGAGAGTTTAATTTTAGTGATCCGAATCTGTTAAATGGCCTAAAAATAATTAATTGGCCCTTTGGGAATAAATCAACTGCATAAAATTTTTATGGATGAATTCCTAACAAAGTAAATGTCAGTAGTTTAGTTCCACTGAAGCTATAGACTTCAAGGAGTGGAGTGTGACACCAGTGGCACAGAAATAAAACTAGTTAGCTCTCACCTTAAGGGGCATTATAGTCACCAAAACAACTTTAGCTTAACAAAGCAGTTTTTGTGTGTAGATCATCCCTCTTAAGTTTTACTGCTCATTCACTGCCATTTAGGAGTTAACTCACTTTTGTTTCTCATCATGCAGCCTTAGTCACATCTCCCCTAACTGTGACTGACACACCCTGCATGAAAATAAATGGTTTCATTTTCAATCAGATGTTACTTACTTTGAAAGTGTTTTTTTTTTTTTTTATCTCCTGCTCTGTAAAATGAACTTAACATACAGGAGGCTATTGCAGGGTCTAGCAAGCTATTAATCAGTAAGGCTGCAGGGACATGATATATACACAAACACTGCTTCATTAAGTTAAAGTTGATTTGGTGACTATAGTGTCCCTTTAAATAAACTGTATTTGTTCTCTGGAGGCATAGACAAAAACAATCTAACCAGGCTAGACATGCTAACTTAAAGAGACTCTCCAGTGCCAGGAAAACCCCATCCCCAGTTGCTGAAGGGGTGAAAACCCCTTCAGTGACTTACCTGAGACCCCTGACGATGTCCCACGGCGGTGGTTTCGGGTTGCCGCCGCTCCTCTCCTTCATCACGTCAGCTGGCGGGGGAGACTGATCCCGCCCGCCGGCTGAGGAGACCTAATGCGCATGCGCGCAATGCCACGCATGCGCATTAGAGCTCTTCATAGGAAAGCATTGAAAATGCTTTTCAATGCTTTCCTATGGGGAATTGAGCGACACTGGAGGTCCTCACACAGCGTGAGAACGTCCAGCAATGCTCTAGCACAGAAAACCTGTGCTATGAAGCAGGAAGTGCCCTCTAGTGGCTGTCTAGTAGACAGCCACTAGAGGAGGCGTTAACCCTGCAAGGTAATTATTGCAGTTTATGAAAACTGCAATAATTACAGTTGCAGGGTTAAGGGTATTGGGAGTTGGCACCCAGACCACTCCAATGGGCAGAAGTGGTCTGGGTGCCTGGAGTGTCCCTTTAATACTGTAGGGCTTTATTACTTAAATTAAAAGTTGTGGTGCTTTTGGAACAGAGAAAATTCCGAGCTTTGAGGTTAATTAGAGGTAATCCATTGTAGTATCAAAGTTAGAAGGCTTCATTCAGTGCATATCTACTCTAGTTTTATCTTATGTATTTATGCCAAGTAACCATAAAACTAGATTGTAAATTAACTAGATTAAGAAAGAAGTGCCCTTTTATGTACCCAACATAATGCGTCCTGATAAAGGCTGTTGATAACCTGAGCTTTTTATTTGGTGATTAAAAGCAGTTATCATTCATCACACAGCGGTAGTCTGTAATGTTTTATATTGGTGGATTTGGCTGTGCTGAATTAGTGACTGTGGTATGATCAGCATGGCCAAGTGACTATTGGTTCTTGTGGTACAGCTGGTTGGCACAAGTAACCAATAATTTTATAGATATGAACTATTCTAACTATATTTAATATTGTTATAATATTTTTGTTATGAAAAAAATATACATGCAAAAAGGTTATGATTAAAAAAAATCAGTATGTTAGTTTCCCTTGAATGGAAATGGGGCAGGGGAAGAGAATAATATATTAGGGATTAGGCTCAACATGAAGATTGTTTTATAATCTACTTTAAAATTATGACTATTTTATTTATTTTTATTTCAGTTTTTCTCTTCTTGGTGTGATAATAATAGCCTTCCAGCAAGCACAGTATATTCAAGCAGAATTTTTAAAATTGAGACATCGAAACAGCACAAACTCTAATTGCCAGCAGATTAGTAACCCTGTTGACACAATCACGTCTGAATCCTACAGGTATGTTATGTTAATAAAATGTTATTGATATTCTGTGACTGTGTAATGGCCATGTAATGTAGACAAGTCAAATACAGCCCAAATAATCCTCTGGGTTTGTATATTCCAAAGTTCCACTGGAATTGTACAATAGAATGACACTTCCATAATAATCGGTAATGGTACAAAAGAAAAAAGTGGAACCAGCACTGGTATTCCTTAGCCCATGTAGAAGCTAAGGAATATCCATGTGGAGCACACTGTTTTTAAATATATTGCTTGAAAATTGTATTTCTAACTCACCTAACCAAGCTTAATTTGCAGAACTAGTTACAAAACTGAAGCTAGACCGTTCCACCTCTTACTTAAATAGCATTTACAGTGGAGGCAAACAATCAAATTTACCTCTACTGTACTTATAGGTAATTGGTGCCAAGTTTGACATTTTCCCATGGTTCTCTGTGTGATATGCAGAGTCACAAGATATTTGGAAATAGCTTCAAATGCCAGGCTGTGCGTGACCGTTTAAAATTAAAATATCATGTTAAAGTTCTATGCTAAAATGTTAAATCCATATGAAAAGCTTATCCAAAAACGTGAACTTGAGACCTTAGTGGTTCCACAGTCCACGCTACTCTCCTACCTTTCAACGCTACTTCTTTCCTGCACACCTGTTAATCTTGTTCCCCACATGTTTTTCCTCTTGTGCTTTTATACGACACCCAGTCTAGATTTTAAAATCATTCCAGCAGGTGGTGTCTCTAATTTTGCTCATTATTAACACTTGTAATATTTTGTTTATTATTGTTTTCTGTTATATCCCCACATTAAAATTGTTAAGCACTGTGGAATATGTTGGTGCTGTATACCTGCCAATAATCTTTTACAAAAAAAATATATATATATTGTGTTATTTTATTTTTTCTTAATTGCAGGAGCAGTTGTAAAAGTTTTACAGACTCTTGCAGTCCTCCTGATAAAGGCAAAGGAAAGGGTTTTTTAGCGGTTAGTGCTCCACCGAGCCGTAGTCAAAATGCTTCCAAAAGAGGACCTGCCTCGTACAGCCATTCTCAAAAGAAACACAAGTGCTCTGTCTACTACAGCATAAAGCAAAAACAGAGTAGTGCCGCAAGCAGTGCTGCCTCTGCCTGTGATACAAGTCAGCAGCCAGTATCTGTCACACGGCCTTCCTCACCGAAGGATTCACCTTGCAATGATACCCTGAATGAGAAATGGCCGGACTTAAAATCTTCAGACATAACCGATACTAGTGGCCAAAAGCACGCACCCAGCCCAGCCAGCTCTCTGGGCAAAGAGGAAATTGCATTGCAAAACACACTTCTCCCTCAAAGGACTGCAAGTGAAAGCACTTTGAAGGAGGAACCAATTTTATGTATGTTTCCAATGGAAACGAACTTTAAGACTTCAGAAAGTGTATCTGAGCCCAAGCAGCAGAACACCTGTATACCTGCACCTTGCAAAATGGTGGAAAATCACCTGCCACGGAACCTGCCACAGAATACCTCCAGAAAGATGGAGGGTAAATGTGTTTCTAACTCACATGTTGAGCACTACACTGGTTTCCTAGGTTAATTGTATTTGGATTAAGTTGTATGTATTTTTTTTTGTTGTATTTTTATTACATTTTTTAGTCATTTGGATATTTACTAGACTGGTTCAAAAATGTATTTTGTCCAAATCAAATTTCTTCAACTCCGCATCTAAACAAATCGATTTGTTCAGAAGATAAATTATTCCACGGACATATCGATTTGTTCAGGTGTTTATTACAATGATATTGAATCAAACAAAACAAAATATGTTTACGGATGAAACAAACATATGCGTATGTCCACCATACCCTGATGTTCCCAATTATTCTTACTGGTATACTTGTAGGGGGGGAACACATCTTATTTTACTGCTCAGACAGATTCACGAAATGAAAAACATTTCTTCACAGGATTAGTTTCTCATTTCTTAGTTTTCTCTCGTTTCTCATCCACTTGTACTCCTCCTTGGCCTCAAAATGGTTTCCCTGTTTTTCCTATTACACATTATGTGATGATTCCAGTCTCATGTAATAGAAGGCTCGGCGGGATATGGGACTTCCTCTGGTCCCTTACATGAGTGGGTACGATGTTCAAGTACCCTGCACGGTCACCTCATTAAGCAGTGATTTCACCCAATGTGACTTGGTGCTTGCATGCAAATAGCATAACATAGATCTGAATATGCCATTTGTGGAACAGATGTTTTTGGTGCCTTTAACTCAAAGTCCATTCTCATTACCCTTCTCTGTTCATCCTGTAATTGCTTCAGTCTACCTTTTCTTCACCCATCCTTTATATCGAAGTTTGTTTGTGTTATGTAGAAAGCTGTTCTCAAAAGAGAGAAATGTGTTCACTTGGTTTGACTTTTCCAACTGGGCACAATTTGGAGCGAATACCTGTAAATTGAATAGAGTTGGATATTTATTTAAAGATTCACTACATTATTGTAAATTGTGCTGTGTAATTCAGCTGTAATTTGGTGTTTATTAAATAAATCCCCTTGTGTGCTTCCTGTGAGGAAAGTCAGATTAGAGATTGTCAGAATTCTAACTGATCGTTTTTCATACTTAACAAGGTGCAATATAGACAAAAATGCTTTACATGAAGAATACTACATGGGTATTCATTGCAATATGCTGTGTGATTTTTTTTTTTTTTTAAATGAAATGTTTTTGCTCTTTCTCACATCTTTAGGGAATGGGCTGAGGATTCAGCATGATGCACACAGAGTAACTTCTGAAACGTCAAGAAAGCCAGCAGTCAGAGACACCTCCACAGAAAAGGCCGTTCGGAATACCCCCAGAGAAGAGAGAATCTGTGAGAGATCAAATATATCCTCTGTAAAGGTACCATTTATGTAAAAAATAAATAAATCCAGTTGCAAAAACTAGACTGAAAAGGCAAATTAGAATTTTTTAAATTTTTTTTTATTGTCTCAAATTTTTTTATTTTCATGTAGATTTAGCAACTTAGTTTTCACTTCACTACAGTTGACTGTTTAGTAAACTGTTTACTTTTATCAGTACATCATACCATTTCAATATGGGCTCCTTATTTTGGCACTCAAAGGGTTAAACTCTCAAACTCCCTTATTCTATCTTCAGGAGAGTTTCCTTGTATCTCTGAGACCACTTGTAATGACATCATTATCATGACGTTTGTTCAAGTAGATTCTTCTCATAGAGAGACATTGGACCACACCAGCAATGTTTGTTTCTTCTCAGTAAAAAGCATTGAAACTAGTATTTCCTTGTGAAAGGTACTCACTTAAGCTACAGCTTAAACCAAGTGAGGCAGGAAAACCTCCTTGCTGCCTGCTTGACAGCTGGGAATATTTACTGTGACGATTTTCTCTTGAAATCAGCACTTTTACAAAGTACGCCAGAGGGGACAAACCATTCACACACTAAATCACTTCTTTAATCATTCATGCTACAAGCATCATTACCTAATGCATAAGCCATTAATGGTACTCCTGTGTATATAGAGGATTTTTGTTCTAAAAAAAAAGTAGTTAGGGGTCCATGCATTGCTCTAGGAAATTGTCAACGTACACATGTACATCTCACATACATAGCATACCAAGGATATTGATAGTTTGTCTTCTGAGTCTGCATGTATATCTTATCTAATCTAATGCAGAACCAAGCACTAATCAATTTTGATATCCGTAATCACAAAATGAAAGCATTCAAGGCTTTTTACAGACGTTTTCATATTTGTTATGGTTTGTCAATGTAGACTTTTGTTTTGTCACTTGACAGCAACTTGTTTGTGCCTGAAGTCAACAGATTACTTATTTCATTTAGTATTATTACTAGTTTTTGAATTATTTTATGGGGCTATTTACAACATGATGTTTAGGCTGACGTTTGTTAAAATTGTTTTAGAACACAGTAAATACATTGTGTTCAGCCATGCCATACACAAAATGTATATATTCCTTACCATTAAAAGCCTAATTGTAATACAACAACTGCAAGAAGTTTGTACACTATATTGGTGATGCTCTGTGGGGTGTTTTTAAAACTTCTAAAAAGTAAAGCATTAAAATTTTTATTTTTTATTTTTTTTTAGCTTGAAGAGCCAACTAAAAGAAGAAGCCCTGTGGATAAAAGTAATGGAATATTTCCAAATTTAAATTGGAGTAAAAATAGAGTGCCAGCCAGAAAAAGTAAAAAGAAGAACAACCTGTACCCAGTGAGGTGCGCCTTTCCCCACCCTCTTGAAACTAACCTCATTCTTTCATTTCCTAATTTGTAAGATGTTGCAATATGTCAGGAGTAATCTGTTATTTTTTCAATAGACTCTTGGATACAACAACATAAGTTTATTCATGAAAGTATTTGATACTGCCTGGAATTTGACTTAATTGGCACTTTTGGTAATACGTGTGTCAACACTTAAAGAGCTATACTCTGTTTGCAGTCCACAGATGCAGGAACTATATTTGTTAGACTGGCTTGTCAGTTCAAACAATACCGTAACATAAGCTGACAATGATCATCTTTTATGAAGTAGCTAATATATTCTGTTACCAGAAAAAAAAACACAATGGGAGATTCCTGGAAGCAGCCATCTTTGTTTTCTCGCAGACTTCAGCTGCAATAACTGCAAATAAAGAAGACAATCTGTAGTAGTTGTAATATTCACAGTGGAGAATAGCACCTACAAACCTAAGAAACGTAAGGTAGAAAATATCATGCCTGAAAAGCAATGCTTTAGGCAAGGGGGCACTTGTTAATTGTACTCCTATACTCCTACTAGCCAGCACTGTGTTTCCGTTATTTAGTAATGCTTTTCCCAGTACTTCTCCGCTCATGTTTGCTTGTTGTGGAATCTTTTTTTTTTACACATACTTTTATGTAGAAACACACAGTATGTATATTTAGATTGACATTAACAATTATTTAAAACAAACTTTCAATTTCTGCTCTCGCGTCCGCTGTGAAAAACAGCCCTCTTTGTTTTTAAGGATGTGTGCTCTTCTTTACTCTCCACTGTGTACTGGTTGCACCTCCCCTAATATTACAATACTTGCTAATCCTTGTTACCAGGCATGTGGTATTTATACATTGCAAAAACAGAGCGTGTTCTTCTCTGATCTTCATTAATTATGCAAGTCTGAGTTTTATGTTTCTTGTTCATGATTTAAAAATCTTGCTTAAACTAAACTAATTCTTTACCATGGTACAGGTATGCAAACCTTGATTCTACTTCATGGAAAGTGTCTTAAGTTTTTTTCTAAAAATCAACATTTATTTTATTTGTGTGTGTGTGTGTGTCTCTGCTTTGATAAGATGTGAAATGTTCACAGATGTTTCACAATGGCTTTACAGTCTTAAACCCTGCCTTGCATTAATTAAAACCAAATTTAATGAATAGATGGCACATATATTATAAATTGTAAAAGCTCATCGTTGGTAATGTCCATGTAAAATAGCAATGCTGAAACCATTTTCAGGATTTTAGTACACATGTAGCATGAAGATGTTATGTGAACTATTTTTTTTTTTTATTCATATTGTTTATTTTTTAGAGGTACAGAGCAAAATGACTTAAAGCACAAGCCTGAAAGGAAAGAGTTAAGAGTTCAGAACAGGGTAATAAATTGGAATTCTCAAACCACTGGCGATTGCAAAGGGGAACAGAAACCTGGAAGATTGCCACCGCGTGGTGACACAGGTACTGCTTATTCTGATCACTCATTTAACAAAGGCGAATGTAAATTAGTGTAATTGTATTCCCAAATGTTTAGAACCATTTAAGCCATTTCATTTTCTAGAGTCCTACAGTAATATTGACCAGTTAACCTAAAGCACATGTGCATTGTATTCTAGAATGTTATCAGATCCTCAAAAGGAAATGCACGGATAAGTTTTCATCAGACTCTAGCTCTGACTGTAGCAGTACCCGTGGAAGTGTGAGGGCGAGCCGTGGTAGCTGGGGGAGCTGGAGTAGCACTAGCAGTTCTGATGGAGACAAGAAAAATGTACTCCCTAAACAGCACTATTTTCCACCAAGTATGTGTATATTTTTTTTTTTATATCTTTTGTCGCAGAGGTATGCTACATGTTGCTCTTCAGCTGTTGTTGACCTAATACTCCCAAAACCGTCCCTCCAGATGAAGCGTCCCCACAATAGAACGACTAACTGCTCTTGGTGTGAGGAGGAAATAAAATGAACGCCAGATAAAGTGAACCACAAAATAAAGTCAGCCATAATTACTATCCAAAATGGGCAAAATGAAAATAAGATAAAAAAAAGAAATACAGCTCTTAAACGGGTTTGGTCATTATGGTTGTATTTTACGGTTTCTTTTAATTGTAACCATTTACTTGTTTTATTGATTTTAGAATGAGTAACTATTAACATTTGCTATATTCCTTTCCCTTACATGAATATAATGCTGAAAAGTAATTGTGAAGTGTAGTCTTTTATGATAACATAATGAAAAATGCGTGTGATTACAAAGGCTGTTGGAGATAGTAGTAGATAAGGTACTTGGCAGATTATTTTAATTAGCCCACATACTGGGTGTCCTGTACCAAATTATTTTTTTCAGAAAAGTGGTTCAAAATTGTAAAAAAAAAATCGCCACTGGAATTTACCTGGCTGTTCCGATTTCTATAGTGAATTGCTTCACCTTTGAGATCACTTTTAAAACTCTTCCCTGCTGTATGTGTGTATGGAAGCAGTTGGTTACATAGTAAAAGCCTGCTATCTGCAACACAAAATCCATTTGCTTTCCAGTAATAACACCAAAAGTTTGAAGGTGGGAGTAAAAGCCTAAATATTTTTAACTAAAAAGCAATGAGTGTTAAAAGATTGCAAGGTAGTATTTTTTTAATAAATACTACTATATATGAAAAGTCCTTTTCTTGTGCAAGTTTCCCTTAAAGTTACACATGCAGCTATATTGGTTTGCAATATTTAACAGATCAGTCCACTCAAGCCTTTCATTCTGTTCTATGGGGACTGTTTTGTCCAACAAGTGTTTATGGGATACGTAGTTTATCCACTACCAACAGGTTCATTACTCACGTAGGATGATTAAAACCTCACTGTAATTTGACAGAAGCCATACTTCGGATGCTAACCGTTTATACACAGCATGATTCACTGTTTAGTGAACTGTGCAGCGTTTTGTGATTAGCCGAGTTGCTGACAGTGAGTAGTCCACCATTCAGTCTCTCCAGGGAGGAGAAGCCAAACTTATAATACACGATCACGTTGCACCCACACTAAGGATAAATGTGATGCAGGACATTCCAGAACTAAATATTCCAGACTGTTTTTTTTTTTGCTGCAGCTATAAGCCATTCTGCAAATTTAGTTGGCCCAGGATAGTTTAAGCACCTTCACTTTGCAGTAATGCAGAATGCTTATGGTGCTTATACCACGGCTCAAAATGTGCTACTAGCCAGGTCTAAAAGTTAATCGCCAGTGCTATTTACCTCTTGTTACACGAATGCTGGGACGGCAGCAATACTCTGATCCACCATGACCCCAAATAACTTGTGTGCTCCTTATTTATAGTCTTTACTGCTGTGCTGATAACATAACATCAAATGCTAAGGAAGTCTGAATATAAATGGAAAATAACGTTTAGCCATATAAACAACACAGAGTATCCTGATGCACTGGGGAAGGGGTGGCATATCTAACCTACTAGCCGGAAGTTTCACTCACCAGTGACTAATACTACACACAATATTTCCTCCATGTTGGTTAAAAAAATAGAATACTGTGTTTTACTCATCACCTTTTAAAGAATCCAGTTTTGAAGAACATTTTTTGTATTTGTCTTTATTTTAGGGGACAGCATGTCACAAAATGGTTTTAATACAGAGACTCCAATTCATCTTAATCTTTCTCACAGCATTTGCAATACCAGGTAAGGCAGCATTTTGCTTAAATTATCAGTGCTTTCATTTGTCTTTACTCATTAGCTTATAGTTTTGGAATAGCAATAAATATATATATTTAGGTAAAATAAATTGTGACACTTACAGGGACAGTCCTTGCTCAATCTCATCCTCTTTATATACATCTTCCCTATAATGTATTAAAAAGCAACATTTTAATCCAAATGATACTTTTTAAATATATTTTATAAATTATAATTCCATGTTCAAATGCCTATTAAAGGATCTTTTTTTTAAATAAGGGGATGAAGATCCAAAAATAAGAATGCAGGAGGTGGGGGAATGAAGGTCATATATGGTAGTACTTGTATCACATTGAGTAATGATAACAAATGTGATAACGTTTTTAATCCATGTTCAAAAAATATAGTTTAGGGGTCCTTGGAGAATGGCTCTTGGATTCTCCATGGTGGTAACATACCAAATATTGGTAATTATGATTTCAAAAGCAGACACCACTCTAAAACTGAAAGATGACCATGTGAAACTTGGCTTCAAAGCATATTACATGAGTCTGATTAACTTGGTAAGCGAAGAGCAGAAGTATTCATTTTATTGTGTATAGGTAGAGTACATTTTACTGTGTGGCTCTATAACTCTAGCATTGATAAACTACAGGTGTTCACGTCCTTGATCAAATACATAGTTAAACTAAAAGCTATTTTGTGGATTTCTTTTGATGACTGTTTTCATTTTAACTAGGGTTGTGAAAGTTTTCTAGACTGCGTTAACTAATTGTTCTGTGTTTATGATCACAGTTCAGATGTAAATACCATCCCACATTACCCAGAGATCTTATCTCCTGCATTTACAGAGCTTTCTGGTACTGATAAGAACAAAGGTAAGCTTTATATAGCTGTTCAGCTTCAAACATTCCTTAGATAGAAATAAAGCATGCAATTATGTGATTCAAAATAGGTTAAGCAAATACATAGACCATTAAAAATAAAAGTTTTACAACAAATTCTTTCCAAATATTAAAACCTTTTGGACTTATTCCTTACACAAATCTACATTTTCTAGCTCTTGATTAAAGCAACTCTATCACCCCAATAATTGATTTTATAATAAAAATAAAATCTCTGAAATGTTTAAGGACTGTATTGGAATTTCATTGAAATCCCAATAGAGACAAAAGATATCGTAAAAGTAGGGGCTACTTTGACTTGTTATTGCGTAATTGACAAAAAGCAGAGCCATTAAGTTTTGTCACTTCACACAGCTGTCTGTAGCTCATCCATAGACAATATCTATGGGGGCTCCCACGATGTTGCAGGATTCTCCATAGATATCAGTATTATAATCTTGCGCAAGATGATGTGGGCTTTTGGCAGATGAATATGGCAGGGTCTGCAAGCTACAGCATCAGATTATTAGAACTCTTCTCTTTTGCACCTTCAGGGCACAGTGGCGTTTGGGGTCTTTGCAAAATGTGGCAGCCATTTTTAAATCTATCCTATTTTGAAAAAATACAGACTTAAAAAATGATATGTCTAATGTCAAATCTTGTAACTGAAAGAATGTTAATGAAAACTGGTTTAAATGTTGTTGATTGAAAACTATTTTAAAGTGTGCACTGTTGTTTTAATGTGTGTGTATATAGATCAGATTGCATAAATGAGTATCACAGATATTTTTGATTACCCTAATGTCGGCACTTGCAGATGTACTGGCCCTACTCTTCCCCTTAAGGTTTTCCCTGTGAAGGTGGAAGCCATAGCTCTTTTGCCCCCTTTTTTTTTTTTTTAAATCTTCATTTTTGTTGTGCGAGCTTATGGCAGTTATAATTACTGCACATTTTTAGATGGTTAGAGTCTAATATAAAATAAAACATCAGCTTGTTAACTTATAAAGAGATTTGTTTCCGTATGGACAGTGGTGTTATCGAAGGCATAGGTACTTTGGGGGATACTATAAGCACGTATGAGAGTTCTGGTGTGCGTTAGTATAATGCTATTAGTACTAGCTTTTGCGAGCCCTGCTCCCTTAGGGGAAGGCAGGTATACCTGGTTCTATAGGGGTGCAGAGAAACCGCATAAATTGGCCGCCTGGGGGCCGGTAGGCAGTATATGTAGTAGGGGCTAAGATATGGCCTAGTTTAACGTAGGCTTTCAAAAAGGAACAGAGGGTACCGACGTGGTGCCTATGTAGCTTATAAAACTGCTCCTCATCATTAAACTAAAATATGCTATGAGCAGATTGGAGCTGGGGGGGTTAGTTGGTATAGTGGAGCCAGCTTCCCGGGTTATTCCCGGTGTCTATAGTGGATGACCGTGGGTGTGGCCTTCCTTGCGTGTGCAGGAGGTTTAGGGTGGTCTAGAGTCAGTGGTCATTTTGTGTGAAGGGTAAGCTATAGGGGTTAACCTCTATCTATTAAGCAATGGTAATGAGAAGAGAGAGCAAACAAGAACAAAACAGAGAATAAAAACATGAAAAACAAAAGGGGGGTTGTAAGGCCCAGTTTTGCCATTACAGTGTCTATCACTGCTATGTCAATTACTCGATGTTCAGTGCCCTGATGCGGTATTATGAGCATGTGTGCTCTGGCCACAAGTGATGTCAACGGTAGAAGGGATTTTCGCCATTGCAGGGTAGTGCGAGACAGGTCTGAGAAAAATGTTAAGTCCATGCCCTCAAAGCTGAAGGGATTCTTCCCCTTGATGGCACTCATGAGTGCTGTTTTGTCTTGCCCATTTTGGAGTTTGACCAGGAGATCGCCTGTTGCGGAGCCTGTGAGTTGTGGTGGTTTGGGTAGGCGAAACATGCCATCCAACTGTATCCCCTTTGCTTTATCCTCCATGGCTGCTAGCTGGTGGGTCAGTTTTTTTGTTTTCTTCCCCATCAGTGTTGGGGTGTCGCTGGGCTTCTTGCCGTGTAGGTAGCAGCTGTTTTGGGCAGAATTTGGGTCTTTAGGGGTTCCTATCGTCGGAGAGAACGATGGGTATGAGACTGATCAGGTTGCGCGCTGGCTCCTCCCCCTCTTTTGATGTGGTTGCAGCCCCTACCACCGAATCCGAGGGGCTGGGATTTGTGAGTGGAGAATTGATCTCTCAGCTCACCACTCATGAACGTGCACACTGCATGCATGCGTAGTGTTGTGTTCACTGATTCTCATATAGAGTGCTGCTGTAGATCAACAACAATAATGCTGATATGTGGTTGCACAGCTGATCTACTTTGTTGCATGCTATGGATCGGCTGTGAAACCATATATCCGCATTATTGTTATTGCTCCACAGTCCATCAAAGACATCACAAGCAGCTTCATTTTCATTGACAATTGCCAACATGCACGGGAAGTTTGCTAGCACAGTGGTCTTGGGTCAGGAATTTTACTCTGAATCTGTATGAAGACCTGTGGCGATTACGGGATGTTGTTTAAAGCTTGCCGAAACTGTTGTTAAAAGCTACAGTAGACACTGAATTAGTTGCTTGCAGTAACTTTGTGGACACTGTTACAAATTGCATTAGGTTTGGCTGACACAGCTGTATCCTTATAATAATTGCATTTCTGTTTTTAAGTATGTACTCTTACCATCCATTTTATTTGTGTTTTTAGGTCTCTATCCTCAGGATGATGTGTGGTCTGGTCAACCTGTATGTTTGACAAATGATTTGAATTACAATGTTGAGAGCACTGTAACATGTGTTATGCGAGACCCTCCTTCTGTACAAAATCGGTAGGTTATGTTTCACATAAAGTTTTCGTCTTGTATGAGCGGGATAAGTCAGTCATTTTGGATTACTGAGGAGATTATAACCTGAAAACCCATTCTTTATACTTGGATTTTCATGTGACAGGTTAGAGGCCTCTACCATTCCAGATACTGTGGAATACATATCCTATGATGCTCTTCTAGCTGCTTGAAATTAAGATAATGAACAAAGTGAAAGTTATTCAAATATATTTATAACTTTAAATATTTATGCCATTCCTCATTAACATACAGAAGCTTTGCAGGATTGCCAAGTACCAGTTTATTATTTGATAGTCCTCAATACTTGGTCGTGTCTCTCATATAGAGATGATGGTAATCAATCGAGCCAGAAAGTGTTTGAACGGGTCATAGTCCCACAAACCTAGACAGAAATTTTTGTGTAATAATGCCCCTATTTTGGTGCATCAGTTTCTGAGCACTGGTTGGATTGCTGTTCATACCCGGCACCATTTATTAGAACTGGAGTATATTTATGTATATTCAGTTGCATTGCTTGCATAGACGAGCAGTTCACAAGAAGTGGTGTTACGTTGGCATGTATCTGTCAGTGCTAAATGTATGTGTGCTGTATTAGCTTTGTGTGTATTGGGAGTACTAGCTATGTTTTAGTTTCCTGAGACACTGCATGCATATTCATGGACATATGCAGTGATAAAGGGCGTTTGATCTTTGCATTGTTGGCAAGCTGTGTGAGTACCATGACAGTTAGACTTTAATAACACACTTTGGGGAAGATATTGCATTAAAACACAATTTCTTGGTATTCAGATATATATCTCATCCATCTGAAATCTGTTTTTCTTCCAGTTACCTTAATTGGAACGGCACATGTGATGGGCGGTTTTCCAACATGTATGGTTCTCTTGAGTTAAATGACTTCAGCTCATATACCGAAGGTAAGGAGCACATTCTCCTTTTTTTTATAAAAATTTAGTGGGAGAGTGGGACATGTCACCTAGAATCAGATCTTCTTTATTTGTAAATCGAAAAAGTTCTCATTGTTCCGTATGAGACAAAACTAATTTGTTTAGAGAAGCAAAACTGATTCCTTCCTCATCTTCTAATACAAGCAGAAGTATATTTAGCTGTCCTTTACCACTCAGCAGTTTACACACACTGGTGGTGGTTTATTTTCTCAGAAATAACTTAGATATGCCAACAGTTTGTTAAAATATGATCGTGTCCTTTATTACCTACATATGAAAAATCTACATTATAAACTGTATATGTATGGATTCTGCAGTAAATGTTTAAAAAGTTAAAGGGACACGCTCTAAGCAAAACTTTATCTTAAAGAAGTAATTTTGGTGTAAAGCACATGCCCCTGAAGTGCTCAATTTGCCGCCATTTGGGAGTTAAATTACTTTTTATGCAGCTCTAGCCACACCTCCTTTGGCTGTGACTCACACAGCCTAACTAACTACTTCCTGAAAAAGATTCCCTTATTGCAGTTTTTAGACTTTCTGCTCTAAATAGCCTGGTAGAGCATTCAACAGCTTAATGCGTGGTAATAAAGGTCGGTTAATTGAGCATCAAAAAGGAAAATTATTTTTTTTTTTGAGGCAAATGGCATGCAGATCTACAGCTTCTAGCTTGAATACGGTAAGATGTTGCCATATTTATGGAGGCATGAGGGGCCCATGGAGGCTAGATGGTGGTGTTAACACTATAGGGTCAGGAATACATGTTTGTGTTCCTGACCCTATAGTGATCCTTTAATAGTTAATGTTTAGCATAACATAATGTTTAGTTTTAAGGAATGAAGGAGCAGAGGTATAAATTACAAACTTGTATTGATGTGTCCTCCTAAATCTGAGTGTGTCCATATCTGATAGCCTGTGAATTCCCATCATTCATAGCCAGCAATGGTAGGATGATGGGCCACAGGAAATCTAATGGCTCACTGAATATGCTCCTTTACTGCAGAATCCATACATATACACTTCATAATGCAGATTTTTCATATGTAGGGAATAAAGGAAACTATCATATTTTACCAAACTATTGGCATATTTCTGAGAAAATCGCCACCAGTATGTGTAAGCTGCAGGGTGGTAAAGGTGGGCTGAGATTGCTTCTGTTTGTTTTGCAAGATGAGGAAGGTCTTGCTCTGCCTGGGAGTGCTGGATAACAGGCTTGAAGCAAGATCAGGAAGTAAGTACCTGATTTGCACCTCCTAAAATTGCAGGCTTTTTCATTTTGTATTACAGTGTCTGTACTAAAGCTTAGGAATGAGGGTCGTGGCAGCATGCTATTGTTAAACTGGCTGCGCTTTTTGTTTGAAATCATTAAAGGCACATTGTAAAGCTCAAACAGATTTCAAACTGTTATACTTCTTACCTGAGATCTGCCAGGTACTTCTCCACATCTTACTACCATCACCAGACCAGCAGAAATTCTGAAGTGTCAGCTGATCATCTCAGCCAATGATCTAACTTTAGTTCATGCTTAGGAACTTTCATCTCTCTGGCTTTGGTAGTGGAGGTGGGAAGCAGTGTCTTTCAGACTCCAGGTAAGAAGTCAAACTGGTCAAAAATGGTTTGACTATTTACAGTGTGGAGGCACCATTGCACTCATGGAACCATAACTGCTTCAGAAAGTTGTAGTAGTTATGGTGCTTGGAGTATTATTTTAAAAAGAATATTGAGAAATTCATGTTCCTTAATATTTCTATTTTTTTTTTTTTCCAGAAAACATGAATTACCACAATGACTTCTCATGTTCTGAAGTTCAAAACCCAGCGTTCATTGATCACCAGTGTCAATCAACTTGGAATATGAGTGGCCCAGCACCTCCACCTCCTCCCCAGACACCTACTGTCCCTAGCACCTGGGAGTCTGCAAGCTACGTCAGTGCTTCTGTAAGAGTTGGAATATTCTGCCATGTTCCTTTATGTACTTTCTGCTGCTTGGGCATCTAAATTAAAAACTACTTTACAACTTTAAAGTGCTGAAAAGTACAGCTACGAGTTTTTTTTCTTTTGTTTGGTTTTTAAATATGTAATAATAAGTAAGGAGAAAGCGTCACTTCTCCAGTTTTAGCACAACTACAAGCTATTTTTTTTAATACATCATTTTAAATGTAATTTGCTAACTTTGCTCAACAACAAAAAGCAGATCACGTGAGTTAACGCTTGTAGTGCCGTATGCAAAGTAAATGTATGGCACTGCTGGAGAAAAGTAATTTCTCCATTACTTGCCTGAGTGCACCTGAGGCATCTTCTCTGCTCTTTCTGGAGTTTAATTAAACTGCAGCCTTCATGGATAATGAACTCACACAGATGGCTGTAGTAAAATTGACTCAATAATCACAGCTTCTTTAATGTGTAATAAATAAATTGTATTTTGGCAGTGGAGGGACCTTTTTAAAGATCATGTTTGATTTTGTTCAGTTTTAACCATTTTCCTTGTTTGATTAGAATTGAGAAATATTTAAATCCTGGACGTCTTCTGGTGGTCATTGGCAACTGAATTGACCATGGTTTGTGAAACATTGCATGTTAAAATGTCCCTGTGCTTGACTTCACCCTTTGTTTTTTACATTGCAGCCTTACCTCTCAAGCACCAGGAGCTTATCACCCATGTCAGGACTATTTGGTTCCATCTGGGCTCCGCAGAATGATGTTTTTGATGGGTACTGCCCTGTGAGTAGTTCTCCTCCCCATTCAGACCACATTGGAAACCACTCTGTGATGTGCAAGCAGGATTACTCTTCCAGATTTAATCCTTTTCATGCTTATATGAACCTGGACATTTGGACCGCAACTGCAAACAGGAATGCAACTTTCCCAGTATCGAGGGACCCTGGATACTGTGGGAACATGTGAACTGAAGTCAATTCAAGACAATGTGAATAAAAATGCTTGCAGTTTTTGATCACTAGAGTGAGCAAGTTGTTGGAATAGAGTACCTGGTGAATATTTTGGCACTTTTTTTATGGATAATAAAAATTTTTTACTGAGTAAATGTTCATGTTTTTATTGACAAACACATGTTCTCAATTTCAATATGTGCAATATATAATATTTTATTTTATCCGAAATGATGGCTGCACTCCTCGGTCTTCATTTAAAATGGGTATACATTAAAATAGAAATCAACGTTTCAGCCCCACTCTGGGCTTTCTTCAGGATCAGAAAATACATACATATACATGTCATATATATGTATAACTGTTGATTCCAGAAGAATGTGAGGTTTAACATAAATATTGGCACATACCAGTAGCATATGTTTAAACATCATTCCTGAGCTGTATAGGAAGGTCTCTTGTTGGTCAGAGATTTACCAGTATTTCTACCGGAATAGGGAGGACGCAGTTTTCGCTTTTAAAAGTTCAAGGATGATGGGATGTTTGGGATGGAGCCTGGAGCATTTATTTCACAAATATTGACTATACTAATCTTGAGTATAGTCGATGGGTTTTATGCACTAAACTGGGCATTTTTTTATTTTATTTTTTTCTTTGGGGTGGAGGGGGAGAAAGGAGGCATACCTGGAACATGCATTTCTAAGCAATGGTGCTGCCGTAAAGACCAACATATATTCAAAATACAGACTAAAGAACAGCGCTCACACCAAAAAATAGTTTTGACTATTACAAGGCTACTTAAAATCTCCTGTCTTAGGAAACAAATATGCAGATTTAATTACATTATATGGCCATATCGTGTTAATACCAATTTTTCCTTTTTCTTTTCAATCTATGTTTGAGACATATGTATACAGGCAGTTCTAACTTACAGACTGGGTTCCCTTCTTACGACTTAGTCGTAAAACAAATTGATTGCTAAGTGAGGATGTGCTAGTGAGCATGCGCAAGAGAGCAGGTCTACGTTCGGGGGAATTCCCCCGAACATAGACGAGTTCACTAGTGCAGGAAATCCCACAAATGTACGTTTGGGGAAACTTTTCCTAACATAGATTAGCTCACTAGCGCAGGGAATCTCTGAAATCTATGTTCAAGGAAAATTCCGGAACATAGACCAAGTCTCTAACGTGGGGAATCCCTCAAATCCCCATGCTTGAGAGCTAGTCATAAAGTGAAGATCACCTGTAGTTCACAAAACATGCAAGCAAGAAGCACCGCACAGGAAGATAAGATTGAAAATCAACACACAGTAACAATATAGCCTCAATTTTGTCATAAAGATATTAATGCTAGAAAACATGCTAGGCCGTAATGAGAATGCATAACAAGACAGAGAGCATTATAAAATGTAACAAGATAATTCCCCTAGGGGTTCACCAGTCGGTAAAACAAAGCAATTAGAGATGTTGAGTAAGCCTAGACAAGTGGAAAAATGTGCCCCAGAATAAGTAATTCCATAGGTTTTCAGTATTTGGAGCCCAGTACAGCTCAGTCCAAAAACCTTAATTCACACTCTAAGCCCTTAATGGGAAGAGCACAGTGTATCATTCTGGGAGGAAACGTAAGGCCTTGGAGCCCAAATGGAAGCCAGCAGTACTGTGCATCCACCAGAAACAGAGCACCCCACAGCATTTACGATATGTCGAAACCCATCTGAAATCTTCGTCGGCATCTGCTTCCATGCCATTGAGGTGAACCATACTGCTCATTTTGTCACTATTGTTGGGCCTTCTTCACAGCTCTGGAGACTCTTGACCGCGATAAGGAGTTGGTTGGCTTGAAGAGCCTGAGATGTTGCATCCTCCAGAAGTCATCGAGGAGCCTCTCCAGCTTAGACATGAGGCATGTGGCATTCACCATTACAAGGGCGCTGCTCATGGAGCCTTTGCTGATCACGGTGCTACTGCATGTTTCTGTAGTAGTAGTGGGGCACCCAGGGTGGGATAAGCCCCCAGTCTATGGGGATGGGGGTAGCAGGGCATCAGCTTGATGCAGTCAGAAATCTGCTTGATTTGGGACGGGAGATCGGTCGCCTCTCCCATACTTAGCACTTGCTAGGCCACACCATTATCAGTGTATAATACAGTCTGGACAGCTACAATTGACCGCTGGAGGCAACCCCTAAATTCTAGGCAAAGAGGTAGCTCCACTAGCACCATGGTATGAGTGAAAGATTCGGCTTAATTCTATGGATTCAAGAGGAGCTCTCTGAAAATACGTCCAGTTTCCATTGCAGTCCGGCTTTGTACCATTTATTATTTTAGGACTTTTTTGTAGGTAATTTGCAGATTGTTTTTGTTTTGTTTTTTGTGCCTCTGTGGTGGGTGTGAGAGTAACCACTAAATATTAAATATGGAAAGTAGGTTTGTTAGATGGGTCTGTGATGTGGAGGTAAACATCATTCCATTCTTTTTATACTTCATTTTGAAGTTCGAATACACTGAGTAGCTATTCTCCTCTAATAAGTACCTATGGAGGTGTTTGTTCTTGTGATTGAAAAGATCTGTGTAAATTCTTGCTTTGATTTCCTTACCACCAAAAGGCTAAACGCATGATATTGCTGTATTTCTAATAGCCTGTAAAAAGGATAGATCCACTGAGCTAATCAACCAAGAAGTAACAGGACCTGTTGTCTAATTGAAACCCGGGAAGGGGACTGTAACAACCTTCATTTATAGAAGTGCCAGTTTGTTTATTGAAATCTACACTTTTTGTAAATGGAAAAAGAAGACATACTCTTTACCCATAAAGCACTTCAGCAAGCTAACGTGTGTGTCCATTTATTGCTTGCATTGTGGATTGTTACCATTAATGAGGTTCTTACACAAGGTGTCTGAAAAGTATTTAGCACAGCGGTTCCCAAACTGTGTGCAAGACATACAATACAAACACAATGGATGGAGCAATTTTGTTCTTTCCTCTTCTCCAATATATTGCTGCAGAGATAGAGAAATATGCAAAATAGTATAGACAGTTTACAATATATATTAAAGTGCAATAAGTGCAAGGAAACACTCACAAAATCAGAGCCAAGGAACCTGGCTCTGGTATGGATGACTTCTGGATCTATTGTGGGGTGATCCTAACCCTTCTGTAGTTGGTATGGTCTCCAATAAGTAGAAGAGGATCCAGAGGATGGAATAATAAAAATCTACTTTATTACAAAAATATATACATAAGATAATAAATAAAATATGGAAGAATAAAATATAAGTACTAAGTGATAAGCCAATACGCGTTTCGCCAATTGTGGCTTCCTCAGTCAGCTTTCAACAATACAGTCCAAATAATGTCCTTATATAAGTCCTCAATACCTTGTATTTTGCGGGGAAATCCGTTGTGGAACGCATTCATGCGTTCCATACCTCCGTTTACATTCATTTCCTGCTTCCGGCGGCATCCATGCTGTGGCGTCGCTTCCGCATTCTGACGTCACTTCCGGGGTTTCTCTCCGAGTGGAACGCATAGTGCGTTCCACTTGTTCTGCTGTCTCCGGTTCTCACAACAGGGAACTCCAATGGAACGCATATATGCGTTCCAAAAGCTCCCACTAGTCTCCCTTCACATCACAATGCTTCATACATTTTCGGTTCCCACAATAAGGCACAAATATATGTTCCAAACTCTTCTTAGTCTCTCTCCACACACCATATCTCATGTACATAAGGACAAGAGCATATTTAGATTCATTTTAAAATATAATATATTCATATGTCTCTATGGGTAATTATAATGTCTCTGTAAGTAATCATAATAAGAACCAATTAGTCATCTTGGCATATTGATTCAACTGGAATGTAAACAATCACAGTAAATACCAATGTATCAATACAATCATATATTTAAACTCTCGGTTCTTAAAGTGACCATGCTTGTTTTGTAAGAACAGTGAATTTAAAAAGACAGTGAATTTTAAAAAAAACAGTGAATTTTTCATAAAGTGACCATGCAGATATTACCAAAGTGCATATATATGTGATAAAATACCTACAATAATTTAATATCTTCCTAATATCCTTCGTTTAAAAAAAAAAAGTAAAAAAAAGTAAAGAAAGAAGGGGATTATCCCTATTATTTCCTCCTTATATATTATACTAAAATATAATGAAACTATCAATCTATTTATAAGAAGTGACATAACTCAAAATCTTGGTTGAGTCCATTTGGAATTAATGTTTTTAAGTTATAAATACACTTCATCTCCTCTTCCCCAATTTTTTTATTAAAATCGCCCCCCCTCCAATCTCTATGTACTGCTTTTATTGCACAAAAGGACATCTTTTTTGGATCTTTATTATGATATAAGTTAAAATGATTGGAAACACTGTGTTTCCAATCCTTTTTTTATATTTCTGATATGCTCTTCGATCCTTATATGTACATTTCTAATTGTTCTTCCCACATATATGAGGTCACAAGGACATTTTAAAATATAAATAACATTTTTAGAAAAACATGTTAACTGGTTTCTTATCATGAATGTTTTATCTTTTTGGTACTGAAAGGAGGTGATGTGTCTTTTCTTTTGGTTGGTTTCCCTACAGGCTAGACAAGAACCGCATCCATAAAAACCTTTATTTTTATTTAAAAAATGTTCTTTATGTTTAGTAGTAAAACTGCTTTTCACAACTATTTGCTTTAAATTTTTACACCCTCTATATACTACCATTGGTTTGGAAGGTAAGATTTGTTTTAAAATAGGATCATCTTGTAATATAGACCAATGTTTATGGATAATTCTTCTTATTTTTGTATTATTTCCACTATGATTACATATAAAGGGAATTTTTGATTGCCCAGTATTTCTTTTCTTTTTTGTTATATTCCCTTTATATCTAATGAGGTATTTTCTTTTTATTAGTTTGACCTCTTCCATGCATGTTGTTAGCTTTATTGGATTGTATCCTTTTTCTATAAATTGTTCTTTGATTTTTTCGGCTTGTGTAATGTAGTCATTATCCTGGGTGCAGTTGCGTCTTATTCTTAAAAATTGGCTTTTAGGGGCGTTGTCTAACCAGGGGGTATGATGACAACTATTCTTATCAATATAACTATTCAAGACATGCACACGGGGAGCCGCAAGTTATTTTCCCAGTGCTATGATGATAGCACCAGGAACGGTGATCTCCCCTGACTGCTCTTCAGGAATGGGGGAGAGAGATAAGAGATCTCCCACTCTCTGGCCCGCTAGCACTTTGCTGATAGCTGGCAGGGAGGGAAGAGAGGACCCGGGGGAGCTCTAACCTGCAGCTTAGTCGGGTTCTTCTCTTGTGAGCTCTGAGTGTTGCCACGGTTACCATGACAACGCTCTGAATCTCGCGAGAGTGAACTCTAGCAGCTCCTGAGGCTGTTAAAGTTCACTGGGACCACAAGGGATTGTAGGAAATGTGCCCCCTCCAAGGCAAAGGTAAGCAGGGAGGGGGGACATAATTTTTAATTTTAATAAAAAAAAAATAAGTTTATTATTTTGCCCTCCTACCTCCACAGATCCCACACCACACAATAGCTCCCCCATACACACACTGCACCCCTCATGCACAAACTGCCCCTCACACACACACACTACATCCTTCAGAAACACAATTCACCCCTGTACACACATGCACACTGCACTTACCCCCCACACACACACACACACACTACAGCCCATATCCCGGCAGACCCCAGGTAAGTTGTCAAACTGTTCATAAACAGTTTGACTACTTACCCTGGGAGGGCACTGCGGCACTACTGGCACAATAACCACTACAATGTAATTTAGTGGTTATTGTGCCTGGATTATTTCTTTAAATAATCTAGTGCCACTCCCAAGATTAAGGGCATAGTATATGCCGCAGCGCTGTACATATATACAACCTATAAAATTGTTTTGACTTGGGGTGACTTGGAAAAATATTGAAATATTAAGGGCGCCTTGAACCTAAAAAGTTTGGGAACCATTGATTTAGCAGTTCTGCTTTTCTCTCTCTCTCTCTCTCTCTCTCTCTCTCTCTCTCTGCCCCAGTATTTTTGAAAATTTAGCCTGGAGCGGTGTGGTATTTTTTGCCCAATTATCTTACAAAATTACATCATGTATTGTATTGTGTACTAATGCGAACTAAGAAAAATTATTTTCTTTAAAATTTCTACAGGTGTACTGATATACTTTTCAGTAATGGAATTTAGTTTCCACTGTTGAGAAATTATAATTACTCACTGGGTGGGGCTGTGAGGGGAATCAAGAACTGTGAGAAAATGTTTTCAGAATGTATTTAACGAGGTAAGATGTGGTCATGAATCCATTGTTAGCTACACTTAGCAAAAAAGCTTAAGGCTTTCTACAACAAATTAATATATGTCAACTTTGGCTACGAAAGGTTCTGTTTCCAGAAACACATGGAATCTGAATTGCTTCTAAGTCTGCAAAATAGAATATCATAACTTTCCTGAAGATTTCTGCAATTCAGATGATTAATATTGTAAAATGTGGGCTCCCTGGATTTTGCACACCCATTTTAATTGTTAAAGAAACAATCCAGACACATAAACTTTGTGTCCAGAGTCTGTCATTTTTTGACCGTTTATAAAAGTGCTGCTTTCAATAGAACTGAATATTTTTAAATTTATATTTTTGTATATTTTTTTTCATTTCGATTATATATTTTAGTAATATTTAGTTCTATTCTTGCTGTTAAACAATTTGATCATTCTGGCTTCAAAAGCTTTTCTTTCTTGCGTATTTTTAAAATCCCCTTTCAGTACTTTTGATTTTTAGGTCCTTAATAGAGTGACCAGGCTGGGTAAAGTGGTGTCCCACAGGAGTGCAGTAGAATTCTTTTTTGTGGGGTTTAATGGAGTGTCTGTGCATATTCATCCTGCCATTTAATTGCTGGGTGTTTACAAATAACAATCCTACTGCACTCCTGTGGGACATCATTTTACTCAGCCTGGCCACTCAATGAAGGACCTAAAAATCAAAAGTACTGAAAGGGGATTTTAAAAATACCCAAGAAAGAAAGACTTTTAAAGCCAGAATGATCAAATTGTTTAACAGCAAAAATAGAGGACTAAATATTGATTTGCGTTTCCTGTCCCACTACCAACACTACATCAGGGCCGGACTGGGAAGAAAATTCGGCCCAGGCATTTTTTAATTAAAGCGGCCCACTAAAAAGCGGGCGGTGCCAAATAGGGTGTGTTGTCATCACCAATGACAAACACGCCCCATCAAAAAGTCAGCATGTTGGTGCAATGCTCTTCCAGGGCAGACCATGCGCAGAACTCTGCTGAAGAGCTCTAGCATGAGAAAAAGCCCTGTATTTGTTCTGCATAGCGCAAGCAAATTTAATAACCTGTTTGCACTGTGTTTGCTTGAAATTTGTCTCTGGTGTCTCCACAGATGGGATACCAGGAGACAAAAATACCAGGAAGGAGTAGTGTGTGTGTGATCGGTGCAGTTTGTGTGTGCGCTGTGTTTGCATGAGGGTGCTATGTGCGTGTGAGGAAACTGTGTGATGGTGCTGTGAGTGTCAGGGGTGGTGTGTATGAGTGAGGGTGGTGTGAGGGGTGAAGTGTGGGTGTGTGATTGAGGGGACTGTGAGTGTCATTTTTTTCTAAATGGCTGGACCTCTTAATCACATTCATTCAATCACAAAAATGTAATCGCGTTGTTACTGTTGCCCTATACCAGGGAGAGGGGACCTGCAGTGCCAGGAAAACTGATTGTTTTCCTGGCACTGGAGTTTCCCTTTAAATGCCGAGGCCAAATTTTTGTACCAGTCCATCCCTGGTAGGAGTAACCATTTAAGTTTTCAATTCACTAAACTGAGATGTCACTTTAGCCCACAATGGACTCTTTAATAGACAACTTGAAATTTAGGTAGTTTTGAACTATATAGTCTCTGTAGAAATGTAAGCAGATTTATCAAACATTTTAACTTTTTTTCTTTTTTTAAAGACTGTTTTCCTTTGGTTCTTTAAAGCCCCCTAGCTTAGATGTGTTTTATTTCTGTGCCAGTTGATTCTGTGGTGTATACTGTGTATTAATTTTATGAACACAGTTGCCACAAATCTATGAATCATTTATCCATATGACAGTATTACAGGAAATATTACCCATAGCGTGCAATTATTTTGCCAGCCATCTGCCCAACCGTGTTTTATGAGGTTTGTGTTGGGCTAAAGGAGAATGTCACACAGAACAACAAGGATGAATCAGATTTATAAAATAGCATTGTAGTTCCAAAACAAACCAAAAGTCACTGTTCCTTTATAAATAAGACTACATTGACATAGTTAACCATTAACAGACTCTGTGGGAGTAATAAGTTATCAAACCTGTTTTGAGAGATTTGTTTCTGTGATAATATTAGACCGTCTTTGGCAGCATTAAAGGACATACGCGTTTTCCTGGCACTATAGTGCCCTGAGGGTGCCCCCACCCCCAGGGTCCCCCTCCCACCGGGCTCTAGGGGGAGGAAGGGGTTAAACTTACCTCTTTCTCCAGCGCCGGTGGGGAACTCTCCTCCTCCATAGTGACTTAATTGGCAGAATGCGCATGCGCGGCAGGAGCCGCGCGGGCATTCAGCCAGTTCATAGGAAAGCATTCTCAATGCTTTCCTTTGGACACTGGCGTTTTCTCACTGTGAAAATCACAGTGAGAAGCGCGGAAGCACCTCTAGCGGCTGTCAATGAGACAGCCACTAGAGGCTGGATTAACCCTATTATAAACATAGTTTCTGAAACTGCTATGTTTATAGAAAAAAAGGGTTAAACCTAGCTGGACCTGGCACCCAGACCACTTCATTAAGCTGAAGTGGTCTGGGTGCCTAGAGTGGTCCTTTAAATCATTTCTTTCTTATGACTATGTAAGCCTTTTTTGCCCTGCTCCTGGCAACAAGCCATAGCTAGCAGCAGTTACACCTTCTTCTGTCGCTGACAGGGATCCTGAGCCTCCGCTATAGTTGGGAGATCAGGTCATGACGCAGTGCCTCCACTCAGTGCAACTTCTATTTATGGGGAACCCACCCCACTGAGTAGATGAGTACCCTCCACTTAATAACTCAGAGACATGAAATAAATAGACATGGAAATACATACTGTATTGTGGTTAAAGAGATACATATAACAGCAGAAATAACAATGCAACTCCTGGCTAATGTTAAACACAGTCACAAGAGTCTTTAGCAGGAGGAATGGAGACAACAAACTTCCCTTAATAACATCAATAACTACATCTGAACAGTTAAACTCCTAGGTACCTGCAGGTAAATTATGTGCACAACGTTGGGGCCCTTAGGTGTAGGTAGCGCTACCCAGGTACAGTTATAAGGAAGAATCCTGAAGCAATCTCTGGAGACAGTACCTTTGAGTGACTTCTGTAACTGCAGATATCTCCAGCAGAATGTAGGACGGCAGCAGAACAGCAATGGCAATCCTCTCTCTTCCTTCTGCAGACAGGATACAAGAGCTCATTCACACTCCTGCAGAAAGTTCCAGAATCTGCAGGGAGCTGAACATTAAATGACAGTCTTCTAATTCTCCTGGCAGAGCAGTAGACAGTCTCCAACTTCTTGTAGTTGCAGTGCACTAGCCTTCCCCTGTTATTATTTCACTGTCCCAGCAGTAATAGACCATTGAAACAGGTAGGAACATACTTTCTTTAAGCAGACTCAGAGAACGTGGCTTTTCCCCTGTCCTCTTCTTTGTGCCATCTTAGCCCTTCCTCCTCACATGACAGGGCAAAGGGCAAAGTTCAATATCTCATAACTTAAAGCAAACAGTAATGTAAGGAAACCAAGTATATTTAAACCTCATTCGGTAGTTTCCTCCCGTACCGCCAGAGCCTTAGTGATTATAGCCCTCCGTTCGGTAGATAGGGTAGACGAATCCTATAGCAATTCCAATAGCTTCACAAGATGATTCCCTTAGTGAAACGCACGAATCCCCAAACATCAGCCGAAGTCAAGAAGAAGGGTACAAAATGAACTAACTTTTAATGGGTGCACACAGCTTTTATGCAAGTCCCCATGCAAGGGGACAACCCTCAGGGAGGGACAAATATTCACCAATTACATACAGTAAAACTTTAACACACACCCACAGTTCCCTCCCCTAGCCCTGGACATAATTAAGTCTGATAAAAGAATAACTTAATTATCTCCGAGCTGAAAAATCACTTTCTTCCCCCCAATAACATCCCTTTATACTTGGGGTATCCCCACAAATAATATGTCCCCTGATAGCCCTGATCTGGGTGACCAACATATTCGAATTTCACCCAGATCGGTTCAGGGGTTCGCAAAAACTATGGATGTCTTCTGTGACTGGCTCACCCTGGGCTGTATGCCCAAAACCGTTCCATGAATTTGGTGGTGGGTTTTGCCGGTTGTGGTGAAACCGGCCTCGCCACGTGTCCTTGGAGGGGGCTGCTTGCCCGCCTCTTGCCTTTGGACTATGGACCAGACTTTATGTAAATGTGTTAACCCAGATAGCTATGCCATGAAGCCCATTCGTGTAGTTAAAGACTTCGGCTCCATGGCAATTGAATTGTGTGAATAGGATCTGAGCGCTATTCGGTAGTTTTGTGTGCTCAGATCCCAGCTATCTGGGGATATGTGACATGTCTGTGTTTTATGTATAAAATGTGACTTTGTGTATTTTATAATATTTTAATGCTTTGTGCTCACCATGTGCATAATGGAGTCTTGTGTCTGTCCTGGGAGATAATTGAATTACTCTCAATTATCTCCAGGGTAGAAGACTTTGAAACTGGTTTGGGCCGGAAAGCCATGCTTCATTTAGTCACAAAGGACTTTCCCTTAACTTTTGAACCCCTGGTCTGATTCGTGCCATTTTTTAATATGTTGTTCCCCTGAATGGATTTATTATGAAAATGTATGTTTTATGTTTGTGACATGTATATTTTAGAAGTTATAAATATTGTGTAAAAACTGTATTCCTCTGCCGGTGATAATGAGATTACCCATTGTGTTCAGTAATCATATCACAGCAGAGGGGAGGATTTTGTGTGGGAGTGTCTGGGTGTATTGTACGGATTGATTGGTTGTTTTGTAACGCCCTGTGGGCTATACTATGTTTGTGGATTGGGAATAAAAGAGACTGTATGTGACAGTACAGGGAGTTCCTGTTTAACCCTCAAAGTGAAGTGTCGTCTCATTATTGGGGGAAGGATTTATTGTATGCTGTTCCAGTTTGACTGCTAGGAGAGTAAACCTATTTGTATGGTTCCTATTCAGCTGTCTACAGCATTCATATGCTTGAGAGGATTCATATGCTTCTCCGGTTCGGTGGTTGTGGTGTCTGCTGCAGTGCTTGGAGTCCTCAGGAAGCGCTAGGAGCATCCTTTAACGGAGGTACCCAGTGGGGGTGCCAGGTGATCCGTTACATTGGTGGCAAGCGGTGGGATGGCGTCCTAGTGCGAGGTAAAGCAGCTCGGAGACACAGTTCGTGGATTTACAAATTGAGGGCAACGCTAGTATCCGTACAGCGACCCTATCTACAAAAGAACTAACTTCAGCAGAGCAAGCATGGCGTATGACTACACTCAGGAGGAGTTTGACAGAGAGGTTAATGAGGTGCTGTCTACCTTTGGACCCAACCCCCAGAGAGAGCCGTGCAGCTCACCAGGAAACTAGTAGGAGAATACCTGCAATCTCTAGTAGATTTGGCCAAAAAGGAGTCCCAGGGAGCCAAAGGTGTCGTCCTTCCTCCCCAGCGGCAGTGTGTGTCCCAGGGAGCTGAAGGTGCCGTCCTTCCTCCCCAGCAGCAGTCTGTATCCCAGGGAGCCACAGGTGTCGTCCTTCCTCCCCAGCGGCAGTGTGTACCCCAGGGAGCAGAAGGTGCCGTCCTTCCTCCCCAGCGGCAGTGTGTATCCCAGGGAGTTGAAGGTGTCGTACTTCCTCCCCAGCGGCAGTGTGTACCCCAGGGAGCAGAAGGTGCCGTCCTTCCTCCCCAGCGGCAGTGTGTATCCCAGGGAGCCAAAGGTGTCGTCCTTCCTCCCCAGCGGCAGTGTGTACCCCAGGAAGCAGAGACCGTCTGTCTCGCACCCCAGCCGCAGGACAAAATATTGAAAGGGGAGACAGTTGGTCCCCCTCTCCACCAGCAAAGAGAGTGTCAGGGGGAGGAGCAGGTTACCCCCTCTCCCCAGCGGCAGTCTACAGTTCAGAGAGAGGAGCTTGTTACACCCTCTCTCCAGCGGCAGCCTAACCCACCAAGGGGAGATGTTAAGCCCCACAGCTATGCAGATGGGACCGTAGTCTCTGCACTTGCAGCACCAGGGGTAGGGACGGTCGGTCCTGTCCCCCAGCCACAGAGCAGTGTATCCAGAGGGGAGACAGTCGGTCTCCCCCTCCCCCAACCAGGCTCCAACCAGGCTACTTCGGTGGTAGCGCTGGCACCCGGGCAGAGTACCGCTGGTCTCTGCCCACTCAGCAACCCACCAAGGCAGTCTACCAGCCCCCCGCACAGCTGTGGTGAGGCACCTGGACATGGACAAGTTGCTATTTTATCCAGGTGTAGTAACAAGTTATTGTGGGTGGGCTGTATTGCTGTTTGTGCTTCGTGGGTGGGTTGCTGGACTAACCAGGGCACTGACCGGCAGGAGGTCAGATACCCTGTTAGTCTGGATGGTAAAGGGGAGAAATGTGGCGAAACTGGCCTCGCCACGTGTCCTTGGAGGGGACTGCTTTCCCGCCTCTTGCCTTTGGACTATGGACCAGACTTTATGTGAATGTGTTAACCCAGATAGCTATACCATGGAGCCCATTCGTGTAGTTAAAGACTTCGGCTCCATGGCAGTTGAACTGTGTGAATAGGATCTGAGCGCTATTCGGTAGTTTTGTGTGCTCAGATCCCAGCTATCTGGGGATATGTGACATGTCTGTGTTTTATGTATAAAATGTGACTTTGTGTATTTTATAATATTTTAATGCTTTGTGCTCACCATGTGCATAATGGAGTCTTGTGTCTGTCCTGGGAGATAATTGAATTACTCTCAATTATCTCCAGGATAGAAGACTCTGAAACTGGTTTGGGCCGGAAAGCCATGCTGAATTTAGTCACAGAGGACTTTCCCTTAACTTTTGAACCCCTGGTCTGATTCGTGCCATTTTTTAATATGTTGTTCCCCTGTATGGATTGATTATGAAAATGTATGTTTTATGTTTGTGACATGTATATTTTAGAAGTTATAAATATTGTGTAAAAACTGTATTCCTCTGCCGGTGATAATGAGATTACCCATTGTGTTCAGTAATCATATCACATGCAGAGGGGAGGATTTTGTGTGGGAGTGTCTGGGTGTATTATACGGATTGATTGGTTGTTTTGTAACGCCCTGTGGGCTGTACTATGTTTGTGGATTGGGAATAAAAGAGACTGTATGTGACAGTACAGGGAGTTCCTGTTTTAACCCTCAAAGTGAAGTGTCGTCTCATTATTGGGGGGAGGATTTATTGTATGCTGTTCCAGTTTGACTGCTAGGAGAGTAAACCTATTTGTATGGTTCCTATTCAACTTTCTACAGCATTCATATGCTTGGGAGAATTTATTTGTTTCTCCTTTAGAAATAGCAGAAAAGCGAACAAAGTACTGAATGGATCCCTCTGGCTCCTAGCAGCGTTCGTGCCCCTCTGTCGAATGCACCGAATAGCGCTCCTCTAGCTATTCGGTAAATAGAGTTCCAGCGTTCGTCTGTTTGAGACAGGTGTTCGGGAAGTTGAGTGTCCGTTTTCAGTTCCATACACTCGACGACCAAGTCACGCTGCCTTTGTTCGCATGAACAAAGATGGCCACGGTTTTCTCTGCCACGCGGCGTTCGGCTATACGAACACTGGCCGCACAGACAGAGGTAGCAATTGAATCAGTCTTTGATGTTTAACGAGCCAGAGGGGTTACATCTACCGAATGCAATGGGAAGAAATAGTGTAACAAAAGGGGGATTTCTTCACAAGTAAAATATAGCAGTCTGTTACAATTACATTATTTTGATTGATTATATTTAGGCTTATTGTTATGTGAATGTGTAAACTGTGAGATCTATATCACTGTTATCTTTTAAAATAAAAATGAATCAGATACTAGACTTTCAGTTCAGTCCAAATCGCACCTCCAATTTATTTGAATTAGGGCAGATCGAGTGATTGGCTGAATTGCGGAACTCCAAGCCGAATTGTACCTGAACTCATGGACCAACCAGACATGTTGGTTTGTGCAGTGCCAAACATGTTCATTTCAAAATCTTGATTCTGAATTCAACAAAAGAGATGATGGATGGGAAAATTAAAATTGACTGATGTCTAGAAGACAGTCACCAATTGTTCCTTTCATTCATAGAACAAATGTTGATTGAGCAGCAGAGGAGAAAAAGGAAGAACAATACAAAAATCCTTCTGTTTTTCTCTCAATTTTTTTTTCCTATTTGCTCTGTGCACTGATATATATATTTATATTCTATATTATCTGAGATTAAAATTTGAAATCCAATGCTACTAGCCAGGGGTAAATCTTTACTCGCCAATGGCTAGAGTAGAGTAAAAAAATTTTCCCCCCGATATATTAAGGGAAATTGTTTCATACTTTTCATTTCTTTTCCTGATCTTTATTCATGGCAGCATTTACTTATGG